GTTGTGAGGGAAAGTCGATAAAAAGATGAATGGTATGAAGGAATGGATTTGTGGGACGTTCGCTTGTCTGGGACGTTCGCTTATCATGTACGTTAACGTTAACTGTTAAGGACAATAACTTCATCCTATCATAGATTTCATTATAACATCATCCTATCATACATTTCATTGCAGCTTACTCAACACTGTTAAGGTGGGCCACGCACTGATATGGGCCACTCACTGAGAAGACGGATGGATACGTTAACATTAAACAAATTCCAATGATTCTTCTAAGCACCACCTGCCTGCCTATACCCCCGACTGTTGAACTCCGTCCCGTTGTGCCTGCTCGCTAACCCGCAGCCAAGATACCTGCCGGCCCCTACATCTATTGTTGAAAAGCAAGTAGCGAGTTATGCTCACGCCCCTGTCGTCTGCCTGGTTGAAACCCCTGAACACCCACCCCTGAAGCCCCGTCCGTGGTTGAAATCCGATCCAAATCCTCAGTGCATGCTGGCTGGGTATATGCGTTGCTGAACCTTGTTGAAACCTTGTGTTGAAGAAAGTTGTGATTGTTGAAGAAATTCCTCCCCCACGTTTTAACCCGAAGAAATCTCAAAAAGACGCCGCGTGCTATTTTCCCCCTTTTAATGTCTGAGGTGCTTTTTTCCCTTACTTGTTTCCTTAGGCATCCCGAACGGACGAGATGTCGTTGGAGTCCGAGACGGGAGGGCAGGTGCAGAACAGGTTCAGGTCGCCATATGCTATTGGCAACGTCAGTCTGTCGTCCGCAAACCAACAGCAAAAAAAAAAAAAAAGGAAAACTTACTGTCATCCACCCGCGCCACGCTCGGCCAAAACTTCTTCTCCCTCAACCACGGCAGCGGATACGCCGCCTTCTCGCGGGTATACGGACGCTCCCACTTGGCGCCTGCGTCGCCATCGCCGGCGATAATGTCGGCCATCGGGTGCGGCGCCATCTTGAGCACGTTCCCTTCGCGGGGTGCACGCCCCTCCTCCACCTCACGGATCTCCTGCCGAATGCTCACCAGCGCCTCGACGAACCGGTCCAACTCCTCTTGGGACTCGGACTCGGTCGGCTCGATCATCAGCGTGTTGGCGACCGGCCAGCTCATGGTGGGCGCGTGGAACCCGTAGTCCTGCAGCCGCTTGGCAATGTCGATTGCCTCGATGCCCGCCGTGTCGTGGAAGGCCCGCACGTCGAGGATGAACTCGTGCGCGCACCGGCCGTGCTCGTTGGTATACAGAATCGGGTAGTGTGGCTTGAGCTTGCTGAGGAGGTAGTTTGCGTTGAGGAGGGTGATGACGGTTGCTTTTCGGAGCCCTTCGCCGCCTGGTATCAGTGTTGTTAGCTGCCGTCTTTTGCTCTTCAGGATACGGGATGACTTACCCATCATCGCATTATATGCCCAGCTGATGGGCAGGATGCTGGCACTGCCGTAGGGCGCGCTGCTAACTGGGTGGTTCGAGTCTTCGACATTGACCACGGCCTTGGTCGGGAGGTGCTCAACCAGATGCTGCTTGACGCAGATGGGGCCGACTCCAGGACCGCCACCGCCGTGCGGGATGCAGAAAGTCTTGTGTAGGTTCAAATGGCACACGTCGGCCCCGATTTCGCCGGGCGAGCACAGCCCAATTTGAGCGTTCATATTGGCGCCGTCCATGTACACCTGGCCGCCATGAGCGTGCACAATCTCGCACACCTTCTTAATGTGCGGCTCGAACACGCCAAACGTGCTGGGATACGTAATCATCATGGCGCCGATCTGGCTCGAGTGTTGCGCGCACTTGGCCTCAAGGTCCGCCAGGTCCAGGTTGCCCGTCTTGGAGTCGCACTTGACGGTCACGACGCGCATGCCGGCCATTGCGGCGGAGGCCGGGTTAGTGCCGTGGGCGGACACAGGGATCAGGCAGATATCGCGCTTGAAATCTCCCTTGCTCTCGTGGTACTTGCGGATGGCACGGAGACCGGCAAACTCGCCCTGAGCACCTGAGTTCGGCTGGAGCGACACGCCGTCCATGGCGGTGATTTCCTTGAGCTGATCCTCGAGCGCGTTGATTATATTATGGTAGCCCTTGGTGTCCTCAGCGGGAGCCGCCGGGTGAATGTTGGAGAAGCCGGGAAGCGTGATAAGGGCCATCTCGGTGCTGGCGTTGAGCTTCATGGTACAGGATCCGAGAGGGATCATCGAATGCACCAGCGACAAATCCTTGGACTGGAGGTGGTGGATGTAGCGGAGCAGCTCAGTCTCGGAATGGTGGGTGTTGAAAACCGGGTGCGTCAGGTATGCCGACTGTCTCCGCAACGACTCGGGAACATGGTCGAGGGTGCTATGCGACTGAGCGTCCTCGAGAAACTGCTTGAGCAGCGGAGCGTATTCGGTAAGAGCTTCTGGCGAGCTACTACTGCCAACTTCAGAGAATACTTTAATCAGGGCTAGAAGATCGCGCTCCTCAACGGTCTCGTCGATGCTGATGACAACCTTATCATGGCCATCGACACGAATGTTGATCCCTTCGTCCCTGGCGAGGTCTCTGATCGCCCGGGCCTTGCCTGGGCAGGAAATGGCAACAGTGTCGAAAGCCACCGCTTCCGAGCCCGAGTCGAGGCCGAAGTGGCGGGCAGCAGACTGGACAACTTTCGCCCCGAGATTACATCTCTCGGCAATCTTCTTCAGACCGGCAGGGCCGTGGTACACAGCATAGAAGGCGCTAATGTTGGCGAGCAGCGCCTGAGCAGTGCAGACGTTGCTGGTGGCCTTCTCTCTCCTGATGTGTTGCTCTCTGGTCTGGAGCGAGAGTCTGAGAGCCCGGTCCCCCAGTCTGTCCTTGGACACGCCGATGAGGCGACCGGGCATCTTCCTCTTGTGCTTTTCCGCGATGGCAAAGAAGGCCGCATGCGGACCCCCGAACCCCAAGGGTACACCAAATCGCTGAGCATTGCCAAACGCAATGTCGGCGCCCCACTCACCAGGTGGAGTGAGGACTGTGAGGGCCAGCAGGTCGGTGGCGGCGCTAAGCAGGGCGCCTTGCTTGTGTACGGCATCGGCAAGACCATTGAAGTCACGCACTTGGCCGTACGTGTTCGGATACTGAACCAGGGCACCAATAAGATCGTCGCCCACGTGTTCCAACTCGGAAAGGTCAGACCCCGAAAGATCCATCACCTTGACATTGATGCCAAACCCTTCTGCTCGACTGCGTAGGACGTTCAGGGTTTGGGGGTGGACATTCTTGTCGACGACGTAGGTCCGGCCAGGGCGCTTAGCCCGAGAGGTCGGGAGAGCGTTCATCGACACTGTCATCGCCTCGGCAGCTGCAGTGCCTTCATCGAGAAGACTGGCGTTGGAGATGGGAAGGGCCGTCAGGTCCGAAACTAGGGTCTGGAAGTTCAGCAGAGACTCGAGGCGACCCTGGCTGATCTCGGGTTGGTAGGGCGTGTAGCTGGTGTACCACGCGGGGCTCTCGAGCACATTGCGCTTGATTACTTCAGGGGTGATGGTGCCGTAGTAGCCTGCGCCGATGAAGTTCTTCCTGCTAGACTCGTTGCTCTCAGCAGCAGCGCGGCCGATGGCCTGCACCTCCCATTCTTGGTGGCCTTGCTTGGTAGCGCGAGTAGCAGCTGAGTCGAAGGCGTCGCGGGGCCTGGGGAAGAGCTCGCGGGACGAGAGGATATCGGCAGGGATGACCTGCTGGATGAACTGGTCGAGGGACTCGGCGGGAGGCGAGAGGGCCTTGAGCATCTGCTGCGTGCTCTCCTTGTCGGGCCCAATGTGGCGGTTGACAAAGCTCTCGTGGGTCGGGAACAGCTCTGGTAACCTGACAAAGGGGCGGGCCCCGGTGGTGTCGGTAGCCGAGCTGGTCCATCGGAGGGTTGTGCATTGAGAGGAGCATGCCGAGTAGATGCGTGGCCGTGTAAGCCGTGCAGCTGTGCGAAATGCAAACACCGAGGCACCCAGAGTCCGGCCGAGACGGCCAATTTGCCGTGACGCAGTCATTATCAAGGGACAGCTTCGATGCGGTTGAGATGCAAGCAACGCCCGTCTGTCGCGCAACAAGTGACCCGCGGCCCTCAAGGCAATGACTTTGGAGCACTGCAATACCAACGAGTAGTGGCTTAGTTGAAGTCACAGGCCCTTGTGTATCCTTCTCCCTCCCAGACGCCGCCCTACGCCACCCCGAGTGTCGGGGCTATGGGGAGATAAAAAGGACGAAAATCGCCGAAACGTGCTGCCAAGACCAGGAACAGCCGGCGACAATTGACGTCAGGACCGTACCTCGTTTTCTCGAAACTTGCCAATTGACCCCGGATCTGCCGCTTCTTGTCCTGGGAATGGGAAGAAGAGTCGGTGTAGCACTGAAAAGTAACAGCAAACATGCATGACAATAGGAACCAAGACTCGGCCTGGTCAGCGGATGACCGAAACCCACCGCTATGTCGTGCTCGCTGATAAGAAGATACCGGGTATTCTCGGGCCGACTTAGATCAGGCCTGCTGCCAAGACCGTCTCTGGCGGACAGGGGCTCTGCTTCCGGCCCCTCGGCGCTCCATGGTGCACGTCCCTTGTCCCTTCCAGGAATGGCGTCACTTTGCACCCAACGAAAAATCTGGAGCCGCGATTCCATTGATCGCGGCAAACAAACTCTCCAAATCCACATCAGTGCAGCATTCGACCCCAACCCCCGTCACAATTCCAGCACTTCACGATGTTTGGCCGTAAGCCTCTTACCCTTAGCTGGGGTGGTACTGAGCAGGCAGTTCAGTGTGCTAAAATCCAGTCTAGTTCCGCCCCAAGCTTCACCGGAGGAGATCCGCGCCGCCGAAACCGAGGCTACCTTCACGCTCCAGCGCGCCCTCGCGACCGCTGCTGCCCTGTACCTATGTGCGCTCACCCATCGTCGGCTTCTAGAAACATAGCTCAGTGCTAAAACCGAGAGTACAGCCCCGTTCGTTATCGACGCCGTCTCCAAGATGTTTTAACGACGTCGTTCTACATCTCAGCGAGCAGGCGATTTAGACTGCCGTCGAAGTGCCGCCCTGCGAGCACGTAACGCCTATTTCTCCGTTCTCGAATTCCGATGCAATCAGGGACGATGGCTTAGAGACGGGCAATGGCAGACTCTCGTCAGTCCGCTTGCGAGGCTAAAGGAGAGTCAGAAGGGATGGCAATGCCAGACACAGCTCCTGCAGTCGGCGGTGGCGGATGGCATGGCACGTCCCATCTATTCCACATGGCTGTACGATATCATAACTCTTGACTTTGGCAAGTCGAGTAGTCACGGTTTTGAGGGGGAAGTGACTTTCATAGATTTCGAGGATCAAGGCCGCGGCTTACAATTCCGCAACGCAGCGGCGCATTGTACGAATTACACGCAAAAATGCGTCCAGAAGATAGACCTCAGCCTCACCAACGCCCGTGATTCGGTTCGAGTATTGTGCGACACAGTTAGCGGGTGCCACATAAACGCTACGAAGTGACCACGAGGCATATTTAACTTGTTCTCGCACCACGGGTTGACCTAAACATAGGTTTTGCGGCACAGGACCCGTGGGAATGCTCCTCTGGAGTCACCCGTCAACGCCGCCTTCGAATACAGCAACGTTGATCCGCCCGAGGCCGGTACCAGCCCATGGTCAATATCCTTGGCGTGAATATCTCGACGTAAGGCGATCATCTCGCCTTGGGTGCAACCCATTGTAGCAGGTGTGTGACGCCACAATCAGTGTTCATCACCGAGCAAGGCACCCACCTACCTAGGTAAACAGCTGCCTACATTGTACGTAAGCACCCAGGACATCCAAACTATACCTCCCGTATCCGATGGTGTCTCGAGGACTTTAGGGAGCGGCGATGCAGCTGGGACCGTCCTCAATACGCGAGTGGGCGAAGACAAGCATCTGTTGCCACGGCGGACAAGATACCAAGCTTCGCCATATACGTAACTTAGAGTACGGCAGGCAGAACAAACCGACGTTTTGCGGTCTCATGAACCGGCGTGTTATAAATGATGGGGAAAAGGGGCACTTTGGGTTGCACGAATGCATCCTTATGCATATGCAGGGCCCAGTCGAGGCTTGCTGCACAGCGGCCGACTGAAATTAAAGCTCTGGGCCCTGGCCGGCGATCAGACGCGGGGTTGGCTAATGTTCTCTTTTGCCCAGTCTAAGTTCGACAAGGAGAGGATTGGACAATTGGGTGAGAAATCAGGAGCGTTCGAATTCATGCGCTGTCGCTTCCGGCTCCCGGGAGGCAGCCCATTCGGGTGGGGAGCCGAGCTGACGTCCACTTCATGCGCTACTATCGTGGTGGACGTCTGTTCGCTCATCTGTGCAGGACGAAGGGGAGAGATGGATCGCTCTTGTATGGACAACACAGCGAGACACGGGCAATGGTGGGCCCAATCGGAATGTTGGAGGACATGTGAAATCGGCGTTGGCTGGACCCTTTTAGCGCCCTGAAACCCAGCTTTGTCTGCCTGCAACGCCTTGCAGATGCGCAATCAGGCAATTGACCAATGAATATCTCTTCAGATTTGAGGTTCGAAATGATTCCCAAAACTCCAAGGAAGATAGAAAGGAGCGCCAGCAGGCGGCTGGCTATGTCTGATGTCGCTTGATCGTCTCGTTTACAATCCGAGCTCGGGGCTAAGTTACAATTCATCGGAAAGCTCGGGGGGCAACACCTAATGAGGCGATGTCGGCTTCGTGTGTCCGGTTTGGGGAGACGTGGGAGGGGGTGCGGTGCCCCTCCTTCAAAGTGCGGGGTGATAAGATAAGCGGGTGTGATTGTGATGGTGGCATGAAATGGTGTTGACCTGATCCTGCTGATGGGAGGTCGGATGGGGGAAAGTGGATATGGCCTTAAATATTTTGAGTAACATGAACTGAGTCAAGTGGCTGCCATGTTGATTCAGGACGCGCTCGAGTGCCTCGTCTGGCCGGCGCGTGGTGGTTGCGGGATCATGTGGGTAGGATGGCAGCGGCGACCCCCAATTGAGACTGTGGAAGCAAGGCTCCCACATTGACCATGCTCTAGGTGGCCATCTCAAAATGCTTTGAAGCCCCGAAAACGAGAGACGAAGGCGATCAAGTTAAATCCTTTAAATCCGACTGAGAAACGCAGTCAGAAACCGTGGTCCTCCGATGCCAGGCAACATTGGTCTGAGCCGATGAGGCCGATACTCTGCTGAAAGTGACTCAATTCACATGATATCCCATTGTTCGGTCCAGGCAGCCTGGCCAATTCCACTGACAGCCGGTAAGTGACGAACCCTGAACCAGAGGCAGATGTGGTGGGCGACTAGAGTAGTACATGGGACCTGTTTTCAACTTTCGCTCCTGCGACGCATTAAAACAATTGGCCAGACTGAAACACAACTCATTGAGCAAGGCAGTGACTGAGATATGAATCAAGATGCCGTGCAAGAGAGAGCCTTGATGGCCATGTTTGATGTGAACTGCTACATCCACGCCTCTCCCCGCTTGATTGGGAGGTCAGCAGGGCCCATGGGATACCTTCAGAATGCCAAGAGTACAACGAAGCGGGAGTCCATTATCGATAGGTAAATGACCCCTTTAAGCCAAAGTAGGCAGGAACCTGTTAGCAAGTGCAACCACTTTTTGCCAGACCTCAACCCCGCGATGAGTCACACATACAACACTCGATTCGAGACCATGATTACGTCGCGATTGGAACAGACGGCACGAAAACGGACCGCCTGCTTGATTTCCAGGCTTCTAGCCATTGGTCAATTCACCTTCCTTGTCCACGCAACATGGTCAGGGTTATAGGCTGCAGTCAACGTCAAGGTATCGACGGTTGACGACGGCCCAGACGACCGCTGAGGCCTCTCCAAACTGAAGCTTGGTACGCCACAACAATACCGCCGGCTCTCAACTTCGATGCCCAAATGGCGGCCCAAACGGGGCTCAACTTGAGATTATCAAGTTACTAGAGCTGCTCGTTTGCCCGCTATTCGCGTTCAAGCTCCACATGGAGAGGACGCATGCAAACGGGAGTTACGAAGTGTTTGTTTTGCCCCTCTTTCCCCTCCTTGCCCCTCCTTTCCAATTGCTCCTTCGTCCAAGCGACATTGCGAGCTGATATGTCCTTTGCTGTGTGAGTTGGCGACGTCGGTGTCGAAACCATCGTCCCGGGCTGGTGAAGGTTGATTGATACATCTGCCAGCGCCAGTACCTCTAGAACAGGCAACAGGAACGGTCTGACATCTCTAACGACCTACTGTGCTCACCATCCCCCGAGACACAGGAGGGAAAAATAGTGTGTCTTGATGAATGTGCTACAACTCCGGCAGCACATCGGACAAGCCTTGGAGCTGCTCTTCCCTAGGACAGACCATCTCGAGCTAAGACACCGCGGTTGGAGACCTGCGAGCTTCCCCCAGAGCTCCCGATGTCACTCCGCAGTTGAAGCACGTCTGCCTTGGAACTCTCCGGCTCACCAACACTTCCACGACTCATACAGCGGGAACATGGCAGCAGCAGAAGCCAGCGGCCCGAACGGGACATGCACCTCACAAACCGCCCGAAGCGACAGGAAAGTGGCTAAAGTGGGCAAACTCAAGTCAGCTTGCAGATGGCAACTGAGACACACTGGAACAATCCGCAATGCCGCCCAAAAAAGAAGTAAACAAAAAAAAGAAAAGCCAACGGATTGGCCTTGACATCAGGAGGCTACACGGCCTCTGTCGACGAGTTGCAAGAAACAGGCAAGAGAGTTGTACTGAACACGGAAGAAGCTGTCCTGCTTGAATCAGCAGCGCTAATCTGGTTGGCAGCATTGTTAGGCTCAATGGCTTGCTAAGGTAGCCAGAAGTACCGCCCTTTAGGCAGAAGTACCTCGCGCTAGCCCCTGGCCTATTTTTGCCTAACACGGCAGTGAGCCTGACGGGTGACCCATTGGTTGCGCTCGGCATACTCAACATGATTGGCTACGCGGGCGGACATGGGGGTTTGTCAGAGGGTGTCTGACTGGTGGTGGATGACTCCTCCCGGTGTCCAGCATCCTGCCAACCAATGTCGCCACGCCACTCCATTTACACCTCAACCCCAGATTCGTGCCCGCCCACGCAAGGAGTTCTTGCTTGGGAGTGGCAGACGCGTTGTGCGCCGTGGTGACTGCTGTCGCAATCTGCCCCAACAACTGTCGCCCGTGTCTGGGGCCTTGGGCTCCCAGTCTCGTCCCAGCCCTTGCCGAAGCCTAGCCAGCCGTCAAGTGATGGCAACATGTCTTGGGAGGGTGCTCCGTCTACTTACAGCCCTCATAACCCCCCCAGCTCATGTTTCTCTTTCACCCTCTTTCACTCTCTCCGGTCGCCTACGCTCTTACCACCGTGTGCTCGCAACGGCTAGACACGGCTATTGTCATATTCGATTGCCGCTGTTATGAATGCGCTGCTCTTTGGGCCTGCTTCGCCACTCCGACTCTTTCCAACGGATTCCATTGACCAAGCTCATTAATTGCGAGGCTTACGCTAGCTATTGTTCCGCAATCGCTTCCTTTTTGACACCCAGGTCTGGATACATGAATAGCGGCAAACAGCAGTGCCCCCATTGTCTATTATTCAGCAATTGAGAAGATTTATGTCTTCTCACCAACCCTTTTCTCCTACAAAGAAGCTCCCTGCCGCCACCTGAGCACGCTCAGTCTTTGTTAGCTGTCCCTTCAAACCCCCAACAACCTCACAGTCAGTTAACCAGCTGCTTTGGTTGCGCAACCAACACAGATCTCCATCACACTCATTGTCTAATGCTGGCTGTCACCTCTTGATGACGGGCCACACATTCGCCACCTGCTCTCTCCATCAACACAGTCATAGGCGTTATGGCTGACAAAGCAACAACTTCCCTTGCGATGCAGCAGCCCGTGTCGCATCACCAGGACCAGACAGCAACAAGGCCACCTTGGGCCCCCTCATCCTCACCTCCCACCTATCTTCCCCCGACACCGACAAGGGAGATGCAGGACACGTGCTCGCTACCACCGGACAGGGCTTTAACAGTCCCGAAACTCCAGAAGCCCTGCGATATCAGCAATCTGATGTCGCCTCCCGAGCCCGCCCCTCTCGATATGTTTCGCTTAGCAGGGCCAGCAAACAAGAATGCTGCCTCAGCCCCTGATGCATGTGTTCTGCATCAACCGCTCTCACCCCCCGTTTCGCCCTTCTCAAAAGCGGCCAACACGATTAGCCCGGCGCCTTCTCAGACTCTGGCCGGCGGCAAAGACCCGATTCTCTATCCCACCGGTGAATTCCCCGCGAGCGCTCCTACCGGCCCCTTGTTCACGCCGACACCGGCCTCTGTCGAGACCTTCCGGGCATCGACCGAGCGGTTGGTGAGCGAGCACATCGCTTCAAGACCAGCCAGCCTTTTCCGAGACTCGACACCGCCGAGACCCGAGGATTACGAGCTTGCCCTCTACTTCAAATCCAACTGCTTCCGCATGTTTCAGGATAACCCGAAGGAATGGTTGCGCAAGGAGCGTGAGCTTCTCCGGGCCGACCGCAAGCATACCAAGCATCCGGCACTCTCGTTCCAGCCGCCCAAGCTTCCGAGGCTTCCCCACATTCTGCCAGCGTCCAAGGTTGCCGTACTGGGACCGCAGACAACCAAGGCGCCCACAGTTCGCGTGCAAAAGCTTAAGTCCCCGAAAGTTAAGGCGCAGAATCCGAAGCCAATCCGGGCCACGCCATTGCCGCCCCCTCGCGAGACGATCCGCGTCGGCACGCCCGAGCCTCGGGTACGGACTGTTGCGCCGAACCGCGAAGACAAGGATTTTGCGTCCTTGAAGGATCTCTCTCCGCCGCTGAGCACGCTTCCGCCAAAGCCGAACAGCCTAAAGGTTGACTGGAAGGGGAACGCGCTGGACCTGAGCAACGACCCGCACCGTCACCTGCTGCACCCGGACGAACTCATCCTGGCGAGCAACCTCCGGCTTGACTGCGCGACCTACCTCACCAGCAAGCGGCGCATCTTTTTGCGGCGGCTCGAGTGCGCGCGGATCGGCAAGGAGTTCCGCAAGACGGATGCGCAGCAGGCGTGCAAGATTGATGTCAATAAGGCGTCGAAGCTGTGGCAGGCGTATGAGCGGGTTGGGTGGTTGGATATTGAGTGGATGCGGGAGTACCTGGCCCGCAAGGCTTGAATAGGTTTTTTCTTGGGTTCGGGCGGATTTCACAGTTGGGTTTGCCATGATTTTCTCTTTCTCTTTTGCTATCAACACCGCTGATTTGGTGCTCGGATTTATTGGGAATATCACTTTCCTATCTCCTTCTCTTGGTTTCCCTTTCACAGCATCACGTCGCGGCACAGCATATGCATCATTACGAATCTCATATGATACCCCCTGAGCGCCCGAAATACGGGCAGCTCCACTTCCCAATTACATTTCACTTCGTTTTTTTTTTTTTTTTTCCAGTTCTCCCCGCATTGCATTTGCGTGGTTTGGGTGGTCGGTCGGTCGGGCTGGGGCACGGTATATGGCAACACTCAACAGGCGAGTAACCTGGTCTGGCAGATGGGCGTAGGGTAGGAGGCGGGAGGCAGGCTTGTCGGTATTTTTGCATTTCACGGCGTTCAGATTTAGGGGTTGGGAGGAGGGTCACGCAGGACTTGGTTGGTTGCGAGATTGGGCTTATGCATGGATGGCTATACCCCGTCGCTGTGTTTCTGCTTCCCCAGATTCTTCGGTATGTCGATGTTGGCAAGGTCACACTAGCCCGCTGGACCGGATCCCCTCTCATTTGTTTTATGGGTGGAAGGATGGGATGGACAGAGCTGGCCTGCTCGGGACTACATAGCTCTCTCATCTGCGGTGGTATGTAAAGAAACACAACGCCGCTGGTTTCAGGACCCTGGCTACTTGACGGCCTGGACCAGCGGTGATAATCGCCCTCTCGTGGTGTCTTAATGGCGTCTGTGAATGCTGAACCGTGATCTTCGAGCTGCTGGTCATACTTCGTTGATACGTATTTGTGCTCTGCCTAGTACGGGATAATGCAATGATTCGAGTTTCACGATGCCCTGGAACCAAGCATGTTGACTGTTTCCGACTCGGACCAGGAACAAGGGGACAACGGGCCCTGGTTCCCGTCGACGGAGCCGGGCTTCCCGTCAGCCCTGCAGCTGCTTGATGATGTCATGATCCATGTCGCCGTCAAGTGACCCACTTTGTTCAGTTGTGGAGTCGGTCAGGGCACGTTGCATGTGACATTTCTCTTTTGCACCAAAACGACTCTTGGGAGGGTGGACATGGAATCTCGAAGTCGGATTTAGGACTTTGCATTGTGAAATCCGGTTGATTCCCTAAGCGCATGGCTACCGTGCCTACTCACATCTTCTGAGACCGGGACTTCTCTCCATATTCGCCCTCCGCGTCATCCGAGCGATCCGATACTCCCGTGGCACACCCCGCTCTTCGATTGCTCACTGCCCCAAGGACAACGTGTAACCTCCGTCCACAACTAGCGTCTGCCCGTCAATGTACTGGTTGCACACGAGCGCTAAGATGCCCTGTGCCATGTCGATGTCCCGCCCCGGCCGGTTCGCGGGCACCTTGCCTTCGTATTTTTCCTTGTCCAGATGGCTCTTCTGGAACTCGTCGCTGCTGTCGGCCGTCATCTCGCTGGGGAACACGCCCGGCGCGAGCGCGTTGATGCGGATCTTGTGTCCCGCGGTCGCCACCTCGGCGGCCAGCATGCGGGTGAGGTGGCTCGCGGCGCCCTTGGCGGCGTTGTAGGCAAAATGGTGCTGCGCGCCCTTGACCAGCCCGCTGATACTCGTGATGTTGACGACGGTGCCGGACCAGTGCGGGTGCCGCTCCGAGGAGCGCTGGAGCAGCGGCAGGAATGCTGCAGTCATGAAGTAGAGGGACACGACGTCCGTCTTGTACGTCTCGAGCCAATCTTCTGCCGTGGTCTTGTCCGTGTCGAACAGGTTCGCCCTCATCTCCGCCGCCGACCCGGATTCGGGCTGCACCGTGTTGCTGCTGATGCCCGCATTATTGACCAGAATGCAGAGGCACTGCTCGCGCGATTCGACCTCCTTCACCAGGCGGGCCACGTCGTCCTTGGACGTCACATCGCCCGTCAGCGCGATGATCTCGCCCTCGATGTCCTTGTTGTATGTGTTGACCACCGTGTCGAGCTTCTCGCCCGAGCGGCCAACAATGTACACCTTGGCGCCGTTGGCGGCCAGCGCCTGGGTGATCATCAGGCCGATGCCTGAACCGCCGCCCGTGACGAGGGCCACGCGGCCCTTGAGGTCGAACAGCGAGTTGCGGTTGAAGTCGGCGTGTGTCGCGGCGGCTACGCTCTTGGACATCTTGGCGAAGTTACGGTTTGTTGACGGAGTAAAAGTGCTGGGGATGCCAGCAAGAATTCTCAGTGTTGGTTTGAGGAATCTAGGTTCGGAGAATCGCGCTGCCGTGAGTGTTCTGCTGGTTCGTATGAGACAACTGGTGACTCGGAGTCGAGTTGTCAGAGTGAGGCTCATGTCGTGATGAATCTGAACGCGAATTGAATTGGGAATTGGAATGGGGACATGGTTTAAAGCATTCAAAGGCTTTCTCGTCTGCTACGAGCTTCTTCATGACGAAATTGGGACTCGAAATCGTAGCAGTCATGAAAGTCGATGACGAAATCGATGAAAGAATTTACAACGGGATTGGCCAATTACATTGGCACCTAGGAATATGCCCACTGTTTCGCAACGGCTTTCCCAGGTTGTTGGCCATTTCTATTAGATCTGCTGCAGAGAAGGACTTACAGTTCATTCCGGTCTTGCCGAGCTTGCCTTTTGCGATGCGGTGTTCGGATGAGGGGTACATCCTCAAAACATCTCTCAGTACTAACACAGTCTCATGTCGATTATAGATATACAGGTATCAGTGTAGGTAGGAAGCCGATATTCGTCTTCCCCTGCTCAACTCTTTTGAGGTCACTTCAAGATGGCAAACTCTATTTCGAGTCCGTAATGGTGGATGGAGCCTAGGAAGTCAAGGTGGTGTCTATCAAAAGAGATCGTTCTCGAGCTCCCAAATGATGTGCCTCGATCGTTGAGAACAACTTGGAAGGTAAAAGCATCAAAAAGTTCACCAGCGGATAACCAGCCGGTTACGAAAACCCCCGTCAGGATTTTACTACGTATGCGTCTGCCTTTGAGCGTTCGATCTTGCACCCAATGACTCTGGGCCGGTATCACAAGATGGATTCCTCGCAGGAGACAGCGTCTCGCAGGACCCAGGTGACTGGGAGACGGGGGGCCAACTCCCTGCAACGACTCGCTAACACGGTGTTTCTCATAACGCCTGCCCAGCAGTTCGTGCGCTCCTCACTCCGGTCATGATGATGATGAGGCACATGTACCAGCAGAGAGCGGCGGTGGTAAACAACAAGGCCCTCTGCCCTGTTATTGTTAGCTATGTCAGCTGGGTTTTGATGTCATAGATGATGTGTTCGGGTCTGGTACCATTGATTCATTACTTGGGGGCATGCCGATCACTGGTGATATCCTGATCTACCAGACTTACTCTCAAGCCAGCTAGGCGAGGTAAGGGAGGACTTTGTCACAGTGTCCACGAGCAGCCAGAGTTCTGAACGTGTCAGTGCCTAGGCACTCACGGGCAGATTGGAGGATTATACTTATCTGAAGGTTAGAGTCTACCGTTTTTGTGGGAATGTGACCAAGCTCAAGTGTGTGAGTGCCACAGTGTTGAAATTCTGCTATCTGCCTCACAGTCTGTCCATTGTAACAGGCAAAGCATTGTCTCCTATTCCTTGGTCGCCCCTTTTCCACCACTCTAAGCACACGTCTGATGGAAACGCAACCCGAGCCGCAACACCGCTCGCCTCCGCTGTAGACCCCCTATTCCCCGACTTCCAAGCCCTTCCTCAATTCGGCTGTTTTCCGTCACTACCCGTCCCCCAAAGCATGTTGGTTTGGGAAGTCTAGCCGCAAAATGGGCTGTACGCCGGCGGGGCAGCCTCGACGGGCTCCAGCCAGTACAAATCTCCTGGTTGTTGATGAAGGTGCACCATCCCGACCTCTCGTCGAGTCTGGGGCAATTGTCAAAGGTTTTGCCGGCGTTCACACCGAGATCGCGGCGCGGGACGATGAAGGAGCGGCAGTTGCTCTCGTTACGGACGCCCGCTTTACAGCGGCCCTGGCTGGTCCGGAAGGTCCAAGAGCCGCCGGGCTTGAGATAGTTGGTCAGGCCCCAGCCCTGCAGGGCTTGGATGAGTGTCAGACAGTCGTCCTCGTAGGCGTCTTGGAGCTGGAAATTGGGGAGCCAGTTGTTCCAGCATTGCGCGTGGTCACGGGCCTCAAGGCCGCCGTCGTCGCCGCTGGGAGTGGGAGGGCGGTCAAGAAATCACGTGCTGTTGACTGGCATCTCGCCGGGCCCGTATACGGTGAGGATCAGGCCCTCGTCTGTCACAGTGATGCCGGGCGGGAGCGAGGTGACCTTGGTCGTCGGCGTCGCGCGAACGTCTTGGCCTTGTCCGCCCGGAGCAGATTGAGCAGCTGGAAGTGCGGCGGCTTGGAGGCCGAAGAACGCAGCAGCGACCAGGAGAAGGTGCATGATCGCGCTTGGAGTTGGATCGTAGTTGGAATATTTAAAGCTTGATATCTGGGAGTGGAATTGAGGTTTGGAAGCACGCTATACCAGTCGAGGGGGGAATCAGGACAGCTTATATATGCTTGAGAGTAGATAATGTTCGTCGGTCCCTGGAGAAAGTCAGAATCATCATTGCTACCTGACTTTTCGATTATACGCGCTCAGCAAGTGTATTGATATTGCCGGGCTTACGATATACTGCCAGCACGTTGTTTGTCTGATTTTCATGCTCTAGCGCGTCATTTTTTGGGTCCTTGGATGGAGTGAGAGTACTAATTGCTGCTGCCTAGCTACCTTGTAGTTCGATGATACGAGCGGAGCGATCATATTGGACATGACAGCTCTTACGATGTCCTAGATGTAGCCGTAGGGCTAGGTGATTCCCCTGGCCTCGAACCCCAGCAGTATGTGATTTCTAGGACGTTCCACAAGTACGACCGACGCCGGTGCTACTGAACTTACAGATGATCTGCAGTCCCAGGCTCTCTTTTGAAGGACGTGTGATCCATATGGACAGGTGTCAGGGGTTGTTTCCTCCTCTCTTCCCTCCCACCTCCGAACCCCTTACCGTCCTGGTTAATCTTTAGCCGCCGCACTCTGACCCGTGCCATGACCGCCCAAAACCCAACCCTACCTTATTAAGTAGGATCATCTTCACCTCCCTTGCTCATCTCCATTTTATCCACTACTGGTAACGCGCCTTGGACAATTCCTGAATTGTAAGGCAATGACCTACTCGAGCGCGCCTTCTCGTCAAAGGTCCAATGTGCCAGCTCTGGAGAACCTCTTGCCTTCAGAGCATCCGTCAAGGCCCAATCGCGAATCGTCAGGCCAACCTGGCCGCTTACGAACGCGTTCGTGTCCGCTGTTCGCAGTGAGGGTCCAAAGGCCTCCCGAGACGGTACCACTCGGGCTATTGCCAGTCGATAGTGCCAGTGATGTTGTTATCTTGGTCGACGAGGATATGGTGCCCAACGTCGTCAACGTGCTTCAGAAAGAATTGCGCCGAGGCCGAGGTCTCAGTGGCGACCGTGTTGTGCCCGTAGTCCTGGACGAGCTGCCAGGCATTGTCCTTGAGAAAGCTGTACACCAGATAGCCATCAACGGGATACGCGCCATAGAGGTGCCCATCGGCATCAGTGCGAAGTACTGGTCTGCCCAAGCCGTGTAGTAATCGATGGCGTGTTCGAACGGGCCGCAGGGGTCGAGCACGATGAATTTGTCGCTCGCCACGGGCCCCACCTCGACGCGTCCTTCTTGGTCGACGTACAACGAGTCAGCTTTGGGCAGCGGTTGCCTGGCCAGCTCGGCATAGACGTCAGCGAGGCATCTCCAAAGGTTGCCCCGCCACGCATGCTCGGCCGCGTCGAGCTAGGCCGTTCGCTCTTCCGAAAGTCCCCCCCCATCCCGTGGTTTTCCCGGGAGCTCTTCCATGAGGATGAAGCCAACGCCGACGCCATGATCGGTCCCGGCGCCGCGTATGGCGTAGCCGAACGCCTTGGGTGCCGGCACAGCGGTGCCTTTGAGGAACTTCAGAGTCGCGTATTCGCTGAGGATCAGATAGTCTATCAAGGACGAGTAGGGCAGAAGTCGAGCCACCCTCGGGACCCGGATCAACCACGAGGGGGAACCGTCGCTGAAGCGGACACCGGTGTGGTAGTTGACAGCTCCCGTCATGGTATTGACGGACGTGGGGCCATGCTCGATGGTGCACTCCCGGCCGTGGCTGAGACAGGACGCATATTCACACAGCTGCGTCGTTGATCCGAGACCGGAGATGGTCAGACTCAGCTTCACGCGCCGAGTGCCCGGCTGCCTCAAATGTGGCACGGTCGATGAGCTCCCCCTGCACATCATTAACATTTACCCTCGGCCTTTAGCACTCGAGTCCGGGGACAATGGGGGCATTGGAAGCATCCTTACCTCCCCACACCGATGGAACCAGCGAGACAAGTGTGGATAACACAGCAACCTCTCTCTATCTCTTTAGTGGGTGAATGATTTCTGGGGAAAGACAGCCCCTTTTTTCTTGAGCGGGGAGATGATGGACGCGCGCGGCGGGGGGTTCAGCCGCAGCGAGGCCGAGCTCGAGGCCCTGGCCGGCCTGACCTTCGAAATAGTCCCAAATTGTCACTAACTACACACTAGTCACAAAGCAAAAAGATTAGGAAGCAGCATTGTCCAATATATATAGGTACTTGTTGAAGAGTTCTTAGGGCAGAGCAAGATCTCAATAGATAATAGCATAGAATCATCAGGCAACTGCCAGATTAGCCTAGAGGATAAAGACAGAACTTACTTAACTTAAACAAAGGCCCTATAACTTATCTAGTTATCCTATAGTAATGTTATAAATATAGTGCGTACCGTAAGGACACTCTAAGCACTCACAACCTCATCACATGCACACATATATATACACAAACACATAGTTATACAAGTTACATACAAACACACACACACACACACATACATACATACACACAAATACACACACATACACATACCTACACACGCACTCATATGCATACCAAACACAAGAATCACGAACTGAAAAAGAACAGCTTTGGCGTCAATCCACCATCTCGCCATAACCAGGCACCCGCGTTCCGATCTCCGACAAAGACACCAAAAACAACAAGGGTAGCGGAGATATCAAGACATGGACGACAGGAGAAACGGGCATCAATCCAAACAATATCATTGAGCTTATCAAGGAGATTATACTGATGCGTTTGAGGCGACTGCGGTGTGTGGTGTCTCCACGGCTCAAAATATTGTACAAATTGTAAGTGATAAGGTCCCCAAGTTAGTTTCACACCGCTCTCTATACCTATACTCCTCCCCCCTTCTTACCTCCTCGGGATAGTGCGTAGGACATAGGGCTAATAAATGACCGCTTCTGTTGAGCTATGCTCGTAAAGCCAACACTAGATGGTTCTGAGTCTTTATATAGAAGTTTGAGGAAAGTGGAAGGGGCTAGGACAACATACCTAAGTAAACTTTAAAATTAACCTTATACCCCTTCTCTGTTTGTGAGACTGTAGCTTGGCTTTGGTTTTTTGTTCATTCGACATCATGCGTATCAAACGAACGTTGGGACAAAATCCTGAAACAGGTAAGGGGACGGGAAGTTTGTCCGCTTGTTTAGCGGCAGTCCAAGCCGCCATCATTGCCCATACCAGAGGGAGCCAAATGAAGAGAAGTCAAAAGAAAGAAACGTAAAAGAAGAGAGGGATAAAAGGGTGTGGAAGGTGAACCCAGTGTGCATTGGTCTGCTGTCCCTGGGTGGGACTCGAAGTTCGCCAGGATTCAATTGGCGTCGTGTCAGGAGGCCGAGGGAAAGGTTGGCTTTTCTACCCGCCGCTTAATAAACAGTCAGATCAACAGAGCTGGCATGCCTAAGGTGCCTTACCTTGGACAACTCGAGCGAGCAGAGAGCTGGCTGTGCTTGCACTACCGATGGCTTGTTTCGCTAGCAACTGGTTGGGGTCAAGAGGCAGGCCGCAGGAAAGCCGTCAAATTGTGTGAACACCGTTGGGACAATGATGATTCAAAAGAAGGAGAGACCGAAAGAAATAGCTCAGCCAACTGGATGGGTAGATGAAATGATCGAAAGAGAACCAATCTATTTGTAGTATCCCTTCATAAACCACTTATGATGTCCGCGTCCCCGGACTTCATCATGTATTTACCCCCTTATCAAAACGTCACCTCCTCAGTATTCTCCCTCACCTCCTTCATCAGCTCCGCCAGCCTCTCCTCATCCTCCGCACCCACCACCACATCTGCAATGCTCCCCCCTTCCTCAGGATCCTCATACCAGCTCAGGATCAGCATCCTCCCATCCTCAAACGGCCCCCTCCACTTGTCAATAAACTCCCTCCTCCCGCCCTTCACCTTAATCGAGAAGCTACTCGCGCACTGCAGTCCCCTCCCCGTGAAATGCCCCCTCAGCAACGGCAACGAAACCGACCCGGACGTCCGGACGTTCAAGTCAACAATATGACACCCACCATCACCACCATCCTTCCCTTCCTCTCCCGTAGCCGTAGACGTACACAAAACATCCGCGCCAACAGGCCCGACATAGCCGTGCGAAGCAACCCACTCAGCAATCCGCTCCATCAGACCCTGAAACTTTTCCCGCAGCGCCTCCTGCCGACCGTAGTCGATCCGGCTCCCGATCCAGGCCGAACTCCCATCGTCGGTGATCATCTGCTCGGCGGCGGCGAGGAACAGCGGCGCGCCGGACGCGGTCACGAAAAACGTCAAACCATAATCGCCCGAGAGGTCCTGGACGAGGTCCGTCAGCAGGACGGTGGTCGGGTGGAGATGGGCGTTGGACGGCGTGAGCAGGGGGAGGAGTTTGCGGAGGAGGCCTTCGCCTTGGCCTTCGCCAGTGCTGCTGCTGCTGCTGCTCTCGTTGTTTTGGATGGTGGGGGATCCGAGTCCCGAGAGGTCGGCGAGGAGTTGGGCTTTTTTGTCGTCCGAGGTGATCAGCCAGGTGCCGGCGCCGCCAAAGGCTTGTTGGGTCTTGAAGACGAAGGGGACCGGGCGGGCGCGGACGGCCGAGAGGATACGGTTCGTTTCGCGCGAGAGCCACTCGCCGCGGGGGCCTGTGCAGGTCGGGGGGATGGAGGGGAGACGGGAGGCGTCGGTGGCGGCGTCGCGGCAGACGCTGCAGCATGAGTCGACGGCGGGAGGGTAGCCCTCGGTCTCAATGATTTGGGACTGTGGCGTGGGTAGGCCGGAGCGGGCGAGGCCGGCTTTGCTGTTGAGCAGCCAGTGGGTTTCGAGGTCGTGGGTGAGCGGATACGCCTCGAGCCCGTCAAAGACGACTTTGTACTCAAGCTTGTCGATGCCGTGCTCCTTCATGGGGATCTTGGACGGGCCTGGGCAGAACACCAGCTCGGGCCGCTGCGAGGGGTCGAGCACCGAGATGGTCGCCTCGGCTTCGCGCCGGTCGTGTTCGACCTGTTTTGGGCTCCGTCCCAGGTTGAAGAAGATCACTGGCGTGGCACCGGATATGAAGGCATCGCGCTGGGGTATGAGGCTAAGGTGCTTCTTTGCGAGGGCATGTTGGAGCCTGCCGTTACCATGGCTCAGCTTACGGCTGGGCGTCGAAACGAAGGTCTGGTCTTCGTAAACGAACTTGACATTGCGTGGGAAGTCTGGGGTGAAGTCGACGCCGCTGGTGATGCCGCAAGACACCCAGCCGAGTCGGATGTTGGCGTTCTTGGGACTTGCTTGCCGGTAGAGCTCGGTGAGGGTGGTGTCCAGCTTGATGGTAGGGAGCTTGACTTCGGCCGGGGCTCCTGCTGTGCCAACAGACCCCATGTTGCTCACTGAGCGACGCCCCGTATTCGTTTGATGGTATCGTTGGGTGGCTGAGATAAATACTGGACTCTTCGCAGCACGATTGTGAAGGCTGGATTTTTTCGGGTTGTAGAATTGCCGCCAATTTGGATGCGAAATGCTCTTGACTGCGAGGAAGCTTCGGGGCGGGAATGCGAATGTCATGGAATTTTGGAGTTCTTGGTGTGTCCGGAGAGGAAAAGGGATGGTGCTGAATTTAAGCTACCATCTCGGGCACGTAGATCCGTCGATCGTTCAGCATGGGATCATCATACATTTGTAGCACCTCTAAGGAGAGCTGGCAAAGATGATCAGCTAGTTGTGACCTGGGACAAGTGCGTATGTTAGATGACATCATACCTAAAGGTACGCCTACCCGACTCTAACCTGGACAGGCCGGGCGATGTGCCTGCCAACCATCAATGTAGCCTCAGGCCAGTGAAATCAGCGGCACAGGTAAACACCAAAGCCTGTCTTCGTCATCGTCCTCCAATGTCAACAAAGGCTAAGTGTTGTAATCAAGCGTGGAATGAAGGAACTTCCATCCCTTGGGTAGTTCAGGGTTGCCAAGCTCGTGTCGACTGACATGATGCTGGACTCCTAGCACATTCTGACATGTGAAGTCAACTTGGAGGCTTGGAGGACTGAAGCCCCTGACCCTAGCCCAGATATCAGGTACTGTGAACATGACCAACTCTATCCGCTGTCTATCAGCCAGATCGCTATGCAATGATCCCGCGATGCCGCAAACACTTGGACCGTTAGAAGCTCACTCCCCACTTCTTGCCCGACAACAACCCATCACCATGCCCAGAAGAACATTCCCCAACCAGCCTGGGCCTGACCGCATTTCCCACCAGCACCGGACATCCCACAACTGTGCACCAGCCGACTGTCCCTTCATCCATTCAAAAGCCCGGCACCTTGTCATAGAGTCCATCATACAACTTGCCCACCCACCCCAGCGTCTGCCCTCCCCGCGCAACAACCCCGAGCCCTCCAGCGGCCCACAGCGCTGCGACCGCCGCCGCAACGGCATTAATGACCACCAACCGCCTCCGCCTCCTCTTCCTCGCGGCCCTGTCAACCACCGCATTGCCCGTGTGCCGCTCCAGCCTCCAGCCCGCGCCCTGCGCCAGCCCAAGCCACTTGGCCCACCCCCACACCATGTGCCCGCACCCGGCCGCCAAAAGCACGCTGTAGGCGAGCCACGAGACAGCGCGGTGCCGCGCGAACCCGTGCGCGACGTACGCCAGTCCGATGTTGGCGCTGTCGCCCTCCACCAGCAAAGGCAGGCCGCGGTTCATGAAGGCGTGCGCTGCGAGGATCGCGGTGAAGGCGTAGCCTGAGCAGGCGATGAAGCTGAATGCCGGCCAGCCGGTGTATGATGCGCCGCTGGCCTGAGGAGCGGTCCCCACGAGCGGGGCGGTGAGAGGCTTGGTTAAGTGGTGGTGGTGGTGGTTGTCGCCGTAGTAGCGTTGCAGGTTGTGGGTTCTTCGTAGCAGGCGTAGGGCGACACCCGCGCCGACATGGGCCACGACGGGCAGGGCGACGAGGAGGGGTTCTGAGAGCGGGGTCTGGTAGATCTCGCGGGCGAGGAGCAGGTAGGATTCGGAGGCGGGCACGGACTGGGCGGCGAGGGGGATGAGCGAGGTTGTTGCTAGGTGCAGGGCACCGAAGAGGGTGAAGGTGTAGGACGAGTAGCGTTGGATGCGGGTTACTGCGGCAAGAAGAAGTCAGTTGGAAGGTATATTGAAGGGTGTCGGAGAAGGAGGTAGTACGGTAGTAGATTGCGCCGTGGCTGCTGCCGCTTAGGCCGAGGCTGGTGGACGTTAACGGCGCCTTAGGGGAAGGTGTCGAGTCAAAGGGTGAGCCGTCGGCGTGGTCCGGCAGCGGAGGGAGGTCCTTCTCCATATTTGGCGACTCTATGGGTTCCGGGTCCAGCTCGAGCAGGGACGCGTGCGTGGCCTGCGAGGCTCCCGAGGGTAATGGTTGATCGTCCATGATGCGAAAGAGCCGGGCAACCAGCCTGGCACAGTCTAGACCGGGAAGTATCAGTGTCTTTTTTGCGATGCTGTGCGCTTCATTAAGTACCTTAAGGGAAGGTGCAATTGTTGAGCTGGGCCATCTGAGCACTGGAGTTGGTTGAGCCGCGGTCTCAGCGGACCCTGGCTCTGAGCGGTAACGTCAAAGCCCAGACCCACAGAGGCTCTGGCAGGCGCATTTCTTGGCAGACATCAGCACAGAATGAACCCCTTGATCCTGTCGATTTCCACTTCGACCTGCAGCGAAGACCAATTCACCTGCAGTATCACCAACGCAGCACATCATCCGCGATAAACTCGCCAAATTCTCATCAGCTATTCGTGACGTATTCATACGGCAAGACTCAACAATATCAAAAACACAATCACCACCGCCAAAATGCCTCCCGTATGCGGACCCCTCTACCCATCCCAACACCCTCAAAATCGCATTCCCACAGAGAACTAACAACCCATGCCCGTACCTCAAACATACAGCGCCACCAAACCCTCCCACCAGCCCAAACGTCGTCCGCGCGCGAAGCCCTCCAGTCCTTCTACTGCCAGCTCTGCCAAAAGGGCTACTCGCGCATGAACGACTACGAGGCGCACCTCGGCAGCTACGATCACAGCCACAAGCAGCGTCTCAAGGACATGAAGGCCATGGTGCGCGACCCGACCGCCGCCGCCCGCGCCCGCCGCCAGGAGCAAAAGGCCGAGGGCGTCATTAGTATCAAGCTCGGCGAGGCGGCGGGTGGTGCGGGTGGTGCGGTTGCGGGTGCGGCTGTGGGTGGGTTCAAGAAGGGCGGGTTTAAGAAGACTGGATTTAAATCCGCTTTTTTGCCCGTTGGTGATGGCGGTGGTGCGGGTGAAGCGAAGGGAGATGTTGCTGCTGCGGGGGAGAGAAAAGAGGGGGGAGAGAAGACGGGGTTGAGGAGTGCACTTGTCGAGAGCGATACCGAGGATGAAGGGTACGAGGTGTACGACCCCCGCAAGCCGACCGACTGAGCGGCGACGGGTTGCAGGCATGGTTGGCATGGATTGGATGTTCAGGGCAGGGCCACATTGCGACCGGTGATGGTTCCTCTTGAAGGACGCTGCGAGGTATACGTGCACCGAGCGGCAAGGAAATTCCCCAGCCTAAATCACCCTAAAAGCCACATCTACCGCACCCTGAGTCTACAGCGCTCACCCGACGCCAGTTGCCTGAACGCCGAACACCAACAATAGCAACTCCCAGTCAACCACCCATCGACGGCCACATGCGCGGCTCAAACTCGGACAGATCCTCCTCCAACAGCCCGAGAATATGGGTATTCCCCGAGAACCAATTCCCCAGCTCGCTCCCCTGAGCGCCGCCTGCATTGTTGAACCCAACAGACGACATCTCCCCCTGAGCGCCGCCACCACCGCCAAACTGAGAAGCCTCGCCCCCCTGCATCGGAGGATGCGCGGCACTTTGAATGGTACCAAACGGCGGCATGAACCCAAGCTGACTCAAATACATGTCGATATTCTCCCCGACCATGGCCATGTCGTGGTCCTGCTGCGGCAGTGACGGATCCTGCTGCTGCTGCTGGCGCCGGGCGCGCGCGGCTTTGCGCGCGCGCACGCACAGGGCCGCGACGTTGTGCAGGACCTGGCAGACGCGGTGGAACTTTGCGATGCCCTCGGCCGCGTGGCCGTGGGCGCAGACGACAGGCTGCAGCGAGTCGACAAAGTCGGCAAGACGCCGCAAGTCGGCTTCGTCGGAGGTCTCGACGATGTGGCAGAAGAGGATGATTACGGGGGTGAAGGGGACGTAGATGAGGTTCCTTGGGAAAAGATTAGAAAAGGGAACGGGAATGGTGGGGAGGCGGTGTGAGTGGAAAAGGGGTGTGGATTTGGTAGGGGAGGGGCGACGTTACCAGCGAATACACCCTGCTTTGACGGCCAGGCTGTCGCCCGCCATCTCCATGTACTCCTGGTGCAGCGTGAAGGCCTGCCTCGCCGCGTGGATGCACTCGTGGTTGAAGGTGCTGGGCGAGCCCGGCGGGCTGGGGATGGCGCGGTACACGAGCGTCAGGGCCGACCAGTGCATTAACTCGTCGCCGAGGATGGCCATGTCCATCGGGAACGGGCTGTTGGCGTCGAACTTGATGCCGCGCACCTTGTCTCGCGTGTGGCGCATCAGCGGCTCTTGCTCCTTGGCCAGGTTTACTTTACGAAGGTATCACGCGCCATTATCAGCAGTTGTCCTGCGCCGAGAGTGTTTTGGACAAGAAAAAAAAACACGAGAGGTTCAAACATACCCATCGTCTGGACAAGCTGCCTCGCGCTCTCGGCGCGCTGCTCCTGCGGCCGGGCCAGCGCGGCGGGGCTGTACAGCTGCTCGTACGCCCTGCCCAGGAAATCTGCGTAGCTGATCCACTGGTTGAGGACGACGCGCCACGACGCGTCGGGCAGGTCGACGACGCCGTCGCCCAGGCCGCGGGGCACGGTGATGTCGTAGTCGTGTATGGCCGGCGCGCGGCCGGACCGGATTGACAGCGCCTTGTCGAGGAGGTAGCACGACCAGAAGAGGATCGCCTTGGAGCCGCTGCCGTCGTTGCCGCGGATGCGGTGGTAGCCTAGGGTCTGGCAGAGCGTGGCGGCTATCGAGTTGAGGTCGCGGGCGACGGAGAACTTGGAGATTTCGATGGCGTAGAAGGCCTGGTGTGTGTGTGTGTGTGTGTGCGTGCGTGTGTCAGTTGCGCGGTAGGCTAGGAGGAGGGCTGGACGGGAGGGAGAGGGGTTTTTGTCGGATACGTACCCCTAGCAAGAGCACCTCGATGCTCTCCTTGCGGGCCGGCAATAGGAGCGGCAGGTTGACTAGGGCCGTCTCGAGATTGTCGCGGCAGAGGGATTGGTACTCGAGCAGCTGGGCCCTCTGCGCGCCTTCGGCCAACGACGCCTTCTCCTGCAACAGAAAGTACAACCCTGCATTCACAACACCCCAGGTCATGAGGCTGTAGTCGTCGGTGGCAAAGTACACCTTGCTGCACCGCTCGGCAAAGTTCTCGGCGGCGATGAAGGTGCAGATGGTTGCGAAGCTCGCGAGCGGAACGTCTGGCGAGTTATCAGTGACCTGCCGTCAACAAAAGTCAGGGGAAAATGGACACCTTTCAGCTCGCGCAGCGCTGCAACAACGACATGGGCCGGTGGCATCGGCAGCTCTCGGACGCCGCCCTTGGGCAAGGGCTTCGCGTTGGCAAAGCGGGACTCGTGAGGACTGGGTCGGTTCTGCATGTTGACAATCTGCTGGAGAGAAGACAGGGCGGACTTCATGTCCGGGTCAAGGTCGGGCTGCAGCGTCCGGGTTACTGTGTTCTCGAGGAACTCGCTCGCAAAGACAGTTTGGGCCGCCATGGAGGAATCTCCTTCGAACGCAGAGTCATTGTCGTCGTCATCTTCGACGCCGTACACGATATCGGTGCTGTCTCGGGCGGCCGGCGAGGAGCCTGTGAGCCCCTGGGCGAGGCTTGGGGGTCTACCTTCAGTGACTGACACCGAAGGGCTCCTGTTATGGATGGAGATGGCCAGCTCGCGGAGCATGTTCTCGATGTTGGCTAGCCGGGACTCAAAGTGGTCTATTTTTCGCTCGCTGTGTTACATGGTAAGAGGGGATGTCAGGTATATGAAAAAGGGAGGGGCACCATGGGAGGAATAAGCGTCGTGTATGCTTGGTCTCACTATTGGGTTGATATCAGCACCCGTTGGCGGGCTTCCTTGGGCCTCTGCCCGGCGCCGGTTGAGCTGCATGTCCGATTTGCTGTCCTGCAGTTTGCGCACGGCGACTCCTTGTCACATCGTATCTAAGGGTTGTCCTTTCAGCATGTGGGCCCGTGCTAGAGCGCATAAGGGGGAGGACTTCAGATGATATCGAACTGGGGATGACTTGCCTTTCGGAGCCGGCATTGATCGCACTCCGCAGGGTAGGTTAGTGGGAAGACATCTGCTGTACGAGGGTGGTTGGCTACAGAAACCTACGGCTCTCTTGGCCGTGCTATCGCCCTCGTAGTGGTCGCTTTCAGGCATTGCAACTCCTTATTCAAGGTCAATGTCCACTTGGCACGTAGGCTATATCAGTAGTACACTAGGTAGTTAAATATCTTCAGCTACCCGTACCAATAAGCGTATACAGTAAACGGCCAATCAGTACATATTGCGGGTCGTGTGTATCTGTTGACTTACGCAAGGCCTATGCGGCCTGTCCAACCCGTCCTGGCAAGGTGACAAATGGACTGTGATGAGCAACGCCGGTGAATGCGGGGTCCGCGGGCGCCGAGGACACGGGAGAGTGCTCGGGGATTTATCAAAGATAAGGAGGATCGGGGATTGATGGGATATATGCGAAGGCTCGGCCTGTGGGGGGACCCAGGAAGAGTTTTCTCAACGCCAGCGTGTGTCTGGCCTGTTGACTCAGCTTGAAGGACGCTGGACGTTGAAAGCCAGCTGCGTAAACTGTAAAAACACGCGTGGTCTGCAATAAACTACAGGGTTAGGGCAAGGGTTACAATCCAGAGAGAGCCACTGAAACCACTTCTGCCGACAAAACTTGGCATCCTTCATGGACAATGACCATCAGGTCCGACGCTCTAATTGCACAAAAGCGGAGAGTCTGGTGTTGAGACGACATTCGGGGGTGAAAATCCTGAAGTAATACATCAGGCAACTCCCAAAGTCGCTATCCACAAGAAACCGCTCAGGGACCGTTATACCATGCCTTATCGGTACATAACGCTTCTCGCTGCTCGTCTTCTTCATCTGCGTCCGACATGTGTAGCGGCAGCTGCCTGACTGCCTCATCCAAGGATCTGGAAGCCGAGTTCGAACGGAAGTCGGTCAAACAGGGTACCGAGAGCAATCGTGACGTCTTCTCCGTCGTTTGACGACGATGCCCCTGAACCTTCGAGGGAGTCGACACACACCCTCCAGCAAATCAAGTTGCTGTGGGGGGCCGAAATGGCTCGGTTGCTCTTCAAACAATACGCACATTTTCTGTGCGTCGAAGACTCCTGAGGAAGCCGCTGTACAGCTTCCTTAACTCACTTTCTTCAGTGGGTACGGTCACGATGGCCCCTCCAACCCGCTCGTACAGGGCATCATCCTCTGAGCCCAATCGTCTGAGTATCATATACCAATCTTTGTCATGTTTCAAGTCCGTGCTGTTTCCCATGGGATCCGGGTCCCGAAACCACTCCCCAACCAGCAAACAAAACAACGCGCCACCATCCGCAATCGGGCAAGTCGAATCCCCCCAGATATCGTAGTCTTCCTCGAAGCGAATAGCTCGACCAGCCGACCTCAAATACGCCGTATGATGCCGCCGTCGCTCCTCGCAAGTCTGTGGCTGGTGGACCGTCACCTCGCCCAGCAGGCCCGAGACCTTCAGTAAAGCTGACCTGAGCTGTCCCGTCTCGCTTTCCCCGACAAAATCAAGGTCGAGGTTCCAGCTCGTCAGCTTGCACTCGAAGCCTGCCAACACAGAGTCGTATTTGACAGCCGACTTGACCGAGGCCCAGGACCAGGTCGGCGCCCGCCACTTAGACGGGCGCGCTACCCGCTCGTACTGTTGGAACTCGTTGCTGATGGGGAGGTTCGTGTTCTTGGGCACGCGCCAAAGCAGGTCGTAGATGAACGAGTCGCTCCACAGACCGGCGCAGTACGTCGAACCTCGCATGGCCCGCTGCAACTCGGCCACGCCGGACAGCGCGGGGAAGACGTCCTGTTCGTAGGAAAGCTGCGTTCTGGAGTAATCCATCACGATCCTCTGCCATACCAGTACGAGCCAGTACTTCCCCTTGTCGTTGACAGGCCGATATAGGCTCTTTTCGGCAAGCTGATGCTCCCCGACGCCAATGCAGTCGTCGAGTTCACCGCATTCGCAATCGTTAGTCTCCATGCACTCCCACGCCAACTCAGCTGATGAGAAGTGAAGGACTCGCCGGGAGAGCAGCCGTTCCTGGAAGAACCAACCTCGGCCTATAAGCGGATGCTCGCGCAGCGAGTCGATGTGAGGGATCTTGCGACGAGTTCGAATGTGCTGACCGTTCAGTTCCCAATCCCGTAGACGATATGTTGACGAAACAGGGCGGAACAAACCGCCGTCAGGCCCGGCACTCCCGGATGCCGCAAGGGTGAGATAGCCGCCCTCGTAGACAGTGTGCATCTTGGCTGACTCGCGTCGCCAGTCGTCGGCGTTGTCCTGCACGATGCAGAGACTGTCGATCCAGAGATAGCGGATACCCAGAGCCCTGGTTATTATGACAGCGTGCTGGAACGTTCGAGGCACCTCGTCCCATCTAATCCCTAGCTTTCGAGCCTCGATGGTCGAAGTAGTGGTCTTGAGAGGCTGGTGTCCACCCCAACAATGGCTCAGGCAGATGTACTGCCCGGTCTCTCCACTAGTCGTCTCGTATAGGCTGAGATGGAATTCTTGGTCCTCCTGGGCCCCGACATCAAGAACTCTCGTCGGCAGTGGTGATGGTTCGGCAAGTCTGCAGTCCTCGTGCCTTCTTTCGCACTTTTCGATCCAGTCGCGGACTCTGTCCATGGCTGCGGAAGAGGCTGTCTCTCCGCTGATATCCGGGACGGTAAGAGAGTATCTGATGCTTTTCGCGACTTCATCGGCCTCGTAGAAGGACCTCATCGGCGCATTCTGGCGGTCGTGCCCGTAGACCGAGACCTTGACCCGGCTGCACTCCTCTTCCCCGACTACCACCTCCTGGATACCACCGGTAATAGGCCGATGGCAGAGAGATATGGGTTCGCCCAGCGGCCGACCTGGAGCGTGAGCCATGACGGCACGACGAAGGAATTCGCATAGTGAGCAGCCGGCAACCTCGGCTTGGATCAATAGCTCGAGAGTAACGGTAGTGATAGTTGACCCTCCGCTGCAGCATGTATCGCATTCGGTCTTCCGCGGCAGGTCCTTCCCGATTGTGGACATGAGGCCTGGCAAAGTTGGCTCAGAGCTCAAGTATGGTCTGAATGTAAACAGAAAAACAAGCCAAAAAAAAAAATGGCGAGACAGAATGCGGGCACGGAATAAATTGCCGTTCAGACCGATCAAGGTGATTATTGATCCGACCTGCATTCACAGCATTTCCGCCGGTTCAAGCTTAGATAAGAATGACCTTGAAGTCTTGAACAATTGTCCAAACTGTCGAACCAGTTACATTGTCCTGGACCACGATGGAGATGGGTAAGTCGAGGGCACCCTGAATATCGGTAGAGATTTAGTATTCCGGCTTGGACTTAATTACCTGTCAGCTAGAGCGGGCTTGATATGCCCAACCTTATATGGTGTTCAAAGTGGCGCAGGGCGTGCAGAAAGTGTCACTCAGCCACATGATAGTCTTGAAAAGCCCACTGCAGACAACTGAGACAGGGCCACTTCAGCTCACCCCGCAGGCAGGTGCGAAGCAGGCTGCCGACTCCCGAGCTCAGACAGTCCCGACGGTATCCGACCGGGAATGTTTGCTCCCGGTAGCGATTTCGGACTTGACCGAAGCTTTCAACTCACCAAACACTTTCATCGAGACGGACTGCAAACAAAATGGCAGCGCGAAGCCTGGTGCTCGTCACGGGCATCAACGGCTACATCGCGGCACACACGGCAGCGACCTTCCTCAAGGCCGGGTACGCTGTCCGGGGCACCGTCCGCAACAAAAAGACCCCAAACGTTGACTCGCTTGTTCGCACGCTCAATCAATACCATGACGGCAACCGGCTGGAGCTGGTTGAGGTCCCCGACATCAGCGTTGATGACGCCTTTGACCGCGCCGTTCAAGGTTGTATTCCATTATGATGACAACGGGCCCTAACTACCTCTCAGCACTGACAAGTTTGAGAATGGATCTGAATCCAGGTGTGCAAGCAATTGCCCACCTCGCCAGCCCCGTTTCCATGACCGAGACCGACCCGGCCACGATGATGCGGGCAGCTGTCCAAGGCACCACGTCCCTTCTGACCTCGGCTCTCGCCGAGTCACAACGGGAACGCGAACCGGGCAGAGGTGCACTCAAGTCGGTCGTCTTCATGTCCACAATTAGCGCCATCTTTTCGCCTTTTCAACCTGCAGGCCACGTCTTCACCGAGACGGATTGGAACGATGCCGCGGAGGAGGAAGTGCGCAGGTTGGGCAAGGACACGCCGGGCTATGTCATCTACCAAGCCAGCAAGACCGCTGCCGAAAGGGTCTTTTGGAGAGTCAGCAAGGAGAAAAATACTCGACTTAACTTGACGGCACTCTGCCCTGCGTAAGTTCCTCATCTAATACCCAACCGCCCAGGGCAACCCAACATATGGATGCTTGATCACTAACGAGCCCAAGCCCCGTCCTGGGACCGCCGCTTTACCTACCGGACCCCATTTCGAGCCTCAGCATGCGTGTCAAGGATATCTACGACATGTTCCACGGCGGGCCTATACCGGAATTCTCGCCCATCAGGAGCACCTTTGTCGACGTGCGGGATGTGGCTGAGTTGGTTCTCAAAGCAGTTGAGAAGGACAAGGATTCACAGACTCAAGGTTGCCGGGAGCGGTACCTGCTGGTCGGAGAGTCGCCCATATCACCTCAACAGATGGCCGACGTCCTGCGGGTAGAGTTCCCGCAACGGCGTGACAGGATCCGTGAAGGCATTCCCGGTCAGACATACCCCGATATGACATGGAGGTTTGACGCTACAAGGGCAGGAATGCTGCTCGGCAGGGATTGGATCGGCTTGCGGCAAAGTGTGGTGGACAGTGCAAAGGTGTTTCTTGGGGCAGAGACCGTCTGAGCAATGGCTCTGATTCTGCAGACGGCCTGCGGTGAAGATGGGGGAGACGCGGGGATGAATACCCTTGGCGCCCGGTGAAAGCAGCCGCAAAGAAATAAATTCATACGGTCTTGAAATATTTGTAGGCTAATGTTCCTGTCCATTGCTCATCCACCAGTACCATCAACACCGTGAGTAGGTACGGTGACCCCATGATGTGAACCTCGTGTCAAAATCTCCGAGTCCCACGTTGCTGCCCTGTTTTGTAATCAGAGTGAATTTACCTTGAAAACCCACCTTGCAAGCCAGATCTCCCGCATAGTTGCCGGTGTTGTACGATGGACGAAGGAGCTCCTATGCGAGCGAGAGAGCTGTTGACAAGGCCTTTATGCTCCATAGGTACTGTCGGGTGCGTGTCCAGCCTAGCCGTTGATGAGACGGTTGGCTGGCCCTCCAGCTGACCCAAAGATGTGGCCATGACGTGCTCAAAATTTCGAGATTATTACAAGACAAAAGACGGATGGCCAGAGACGTTTGTGATCCTATTTCCATGCATCATCTTCATCTTGCTAATAACGGACCAGCGTACATCCCCCTGCCTCAATAGCCGTCCAGCACGTGAAGAAAGAGAAGGGTATCCGCAAAATGTCAGCATGTATATCCCACATATGACGAATGAACCAAAAGCAAACGCGACGCAATGCTGTAGAACGCGAAAGCCAGACCATCACCAGACACCATCACCCCGATGCAAAACCCGTCCGTCCTTCCCCGATACTCCAAGGGCGCCGGCGCCAAGACCGGCCATGCACCTCCAACGCACCCACCATGACCCGAAACCGCCCTATAACACCCGCTTCCACCCATATACAATGCAAATGCGTCCCTTCTTCTTCTCCCCTCACACCACCACCCCCTCTATTCCTTCCCCTAACCCAACCCTCCCCCCTCCCCATCCAGCACCAACCCCCCCGCAACCCTCGCCATGACAACCTTCATCCTCTCCAACAACTCGGGCATCCGATAAGGCTTGACAAGGACATCGTCGCAACCGGCCTCCTTGGCCTCGACAATCTGCTCCATCCTCGCATTGGCACTGACAGCAATGATGGGGATCCGCCCGCCCACGATCTTGCCCGCACGCTCGAGCTCCCGGATGTGGCGCGTGCACGTCAGGCCGTCCTGGATGGGCATCTCAATGTCCATGAGTATGACCGACAGCGGGAACGGCTGCTGCTGCTGCTGCTGGCTCGTCATCGTCGTCGTCGAGCCGCTACTAGACGAGGAGGAAGGGTAGTGGTCGGCCGAGGAGGAGGGCAAGGGAAACGACGACGTCGTCGTCGGCGGCGGCGGCGCGGGATGATGATGATGAGCGTAGTAGCGGTTGGTCCGGCGGAGTTTGTCCAGGCACTCGATGCCGTGATTCGCCACGTCGACCGTGAAACCCATGTTGATCAGGCCCCGGCGGGTAATTTGCTGGTTGATGAGGTTGTCTTCGACGACCAGGACCCCCGTGATCTGCGGAGTGGACATGGGCGGTCCCATCGGGCTGACGCTGGTCTCGCTGCTGGGCGTCACCACCGAGGTGGGTGCTGCTCCTGCTGCAAGGCCAAGGCCCGGACTGGAGACGCTTGCCCCGCCGCTTGTTGTTGTGCTGGAGACAGTAGTATATTCGCTGCTCATCGTGCTGCTGCTAACAGCGCGCTTGGTGCTGCCACGCCTGCTTGGGCCGGGGTTCACACGCAGCGCGGACAGTGCTGCTGGCTCGGTGGAAATCTCGCCCGCTTCGGCCTCGCGCAATGCTTCTTCGGTTGGCCGATACGCTTCGATGTAGAAGGCAAAGGTGGAACCAACTCCCACCGTGCTTGCGACGCCGATCGCGCCTCCCTGAAGTTCTGTCAGACGGCGGCTGATGAACAGGCCCAAGCCGCTTCCTCCGTAGGTCAAATGCGTGCTGTACTACTGGTCAATAATGCTCAAAACCAGTCTTGAGAATGACAGAGGACGTACCGTGACGACGCCTGTACGAAGCGCTGGAACAAGCTGTTCTTCTCGTCCTCCGTCAATCCCTCGCCCGTATCTTCCACTTCAAACATGAGGTACACAGGATTGTAACGGTTGAGCGGAGCCGGCTGGTCGTAGATCTCCTCGAGAGACTCCTGCGACCGCGGGATGAACTGCACCTTGCTGGTGGCCTCGGTCGGCTGCGTCAGGCTCGCCCTCAAGGTCACCGTGACGTTCCTCGTCGGTCCCGCCTTGGTGAACTTGAGCGCGTTGGTGAGGAGGTTGATCAGCACCTGCCTGAGCCGGGAGGGATCGAAATCGAGGTATTTGATGCCGAGGTCATAGTAGCCAGGGTCGACGACCATGCTCAGATTGATATCGACCCGTCGGGCCTCCACCTCGAACATCTTGAGGGCTTCTCTGACCATTTTGATGGGGTTGACCGTGATCCTCGTGATTGACAGCAGGCTCGAGTCCAGCTTCGACATGGTCAAGATGTCGTCGACAATGCGCTTTTGGTGCTGCGCGCAGGTGACAATGGTTTCGGCGTTGTCGATGCTGCTCTCGACGAGCTCGTGCGCTTCCGAAACCCATTCTTCGCTAACTGTGGGACTTGATCTCAACTCTGCCGTACCCTTGCTGGCCACGTCGCTCCCGTAGACGCCGTTGTTCAAGAGCTCCTGGACGCGGCTGAGCGTGCCGGTGATGGCATCCGCGCAGTGGATGATTGCGCTCAGAGGGTTCCGCATCTCGTGGGATGTCATATCGATGAAGTTCTCCTGCTGCCGTTTCGACTCAAGTGCTTCTTCCTTGCGCTCCTTTTCCCATGCCAGCTGATAGCTTTGTCTGCTCACGTCAAATATACAACCAGTGAAGCTCCGGATAACTCCCTCCGTATCCTTGACGGGCATCAACGTTGCCTGGACAGATCTCGGCATGTGGCCCGAGCCGTCCTCCGCAGTCCAGGTGGTGTTGAGCCTGACCTCGACGTTCTGCACCTTGTCGTCAATCACCATGCGCTCAAGCTTCTCCGTTAGCAGCGGGAGGTCTTCCTTGCGGACGCATAGTTCCCACGGCCGGATGTCCACTTCGAGTGGATCGACATTTTGCAGCCCGCACATCTCAAAGAAAACCTTGTTGGCCCCGAGCAGTCGACCGTCGAGGTCCATGTCGTACATGCCGACGGTGGCGAATTCGGCCATGCGCTTGAGGTTTTCGGCTTGCTGGGCGCGACGTGTTGCCTCTTCTGCCGCAGCTCTCATGGCGCTCACGTCCGTCAGGCAGGTCAGCACACGAATGACGCGACCGTCCGGACCGCACTCGGCCCTTGCCATGGCCAGAATGTGGCGCTCTTTCATCTCTTCCAGTGAGGCAAGGTCCAGGCCTGCTTTCTCGAAGCTGGGCGAGGTACGAGTCAAGGAGGCTGAGAGATCATCAGGGGCGGCGTTGGGATGCCGCTGCACGCGGAACTCGAACTCGACGTTGCGCGCTGTCTTGAGCCTGTCGTATCCAGCAATGACGACGGGGCGATCCTCCTCGTTGACGCACGAGAAAAAGCCGTTCCTCGAGATTGGCGCCGACGCCGGATATCCAGTGATCTTGTACCAGGCGTCGTTGGCGTACGTGATGTTGCCCTGGATTTCGTTCTCGTCAACGACCTCCATGATACACATCCCAACCGGGATGAATTCAGCGACTGCTTCGAACTTTTGTATCGACTCATTCGCCTCCTTGGTCTGGACCTCCAGCTTTTCCTGCAGCATAGCCTTGTCGAATTTGGCTTGTTCAGCGGCGTTTCGGCCCCTCCGGGCTTCCTCCTCGAGGAGGACAATGGAGGCGAGCGACGTGGACAGTTTCTGACTCAGCAAAGAGATGAACTGCCTGTAGTCATTGTCGTATGGACGCCGTGGGTTGATGCCGAGGAGAAGGAATCCCATAACATCTTCTTGTTTAGTAGGGCGGATTGGACAGATAACGGCTTCTCGGCAAGCGTCTCCTTCAAAGCCTCGCCATTGCAGCCCCTCGAGGAGTGACGGCGGCAGTGTCCCGTCACTTGTTCGCAGCAATGTTGGATGCCGCGCCGCTATGGCCTGCCGGAAAGAGTGTGCCAGTGCCTCGTCACTGGTTCGCAAGTTGACCAATTCAGGTGCAATGGGGTGATTCTCGGGCACGCCCAATGTCCCTGCAAGCTGGCATATCTTAGCGGGGTTTTGTGCATCGGGCGCATCAGCCGCCGTTGCCTCGGGATCGTTCTCAACCTTGTAGAGAATTGCCAAAGGGATATCGTAACGCGGCTCGACAGCAGCAAGCTTCTGAATCGCCTTCTCCCAGTAGCTGTCGACGTCCCTCGCGGTGACCAAAACCTCACCCAACTCCGTCAAAAAAGCCATTCTCCTCTCCCAAAGGCGCACGCTAGTCGTCTCGGCAACGGGATGCATAAATCCGAGACACTGGTTGTTCTCGACGATGGGTATCATGGACCACTTGAGGTATGTCTCCTCAAGCCAGGGCGAGCCGCCCTCAGCCTCTGGATCCCTCTCAACGAAGAACCTCCACTCGTCCTCGACAAGGCTCCTCTGGTCCGGGCAGATACCTTGCATCGTGTCCTTCAAGCGCTGGCCGGCTTCAGCCCAAGCCTCTTGGACCGGCATGCCCAGCATCGAAGGATGTTTTGATCCGCAGAGCTTGCTGAAAGCCTCGTTGTAGATGGTGATGTATGACGGGCCCCAGTAGATGGCGATGGGACGGCTGTCGACGAGGATCTGGTTGACCGTCTCGTCGAGCTTCCGGTGCCAGCTCCCCATGGGACCGAGTGGTGTCGCAGCCCAGTCAACACTGTTGATGTCGGCTAGGAATGGGCGCTGCTCGGGCGTGATGTCGGGCAATATCCAGCCGGGGTCCGAGACGGACCCTCCGAGAGACTGGACGGCCTCTGCTCGAGATGGCGGCCGCTCCTTTGGATTCATGGGTAAGGGGGCCGGGGTGGGTTTGGCGCGCAGCTCAGACTCAGGTTCACAGGTGGAGGAAGTCGGGTCGTCCCTCGCGACGGCCACCGGGTCGGTTTCGACAGGCATGATGCGTCTTGGCGGTGAGGCAGTGGGTTGAGGGTCCGTGATATCAAGCCGCACCTTACGCGGCAGTTCAGGCGAGGGATTCTGGTCGTTTGCGCCCACCACCACCATCTGGTCATGGACTACGGACCTCGTCCAGTAAATGTCCGAATATGAGAAAGACGGCGGCGCAGTCCGACGGCCATTTGGCAGCGCCTCAGTGTCAGTGCATGCCGAGGCGCCTGTGATCCATTCCCACAGTGGCGCGCAGTCGTGGCGCTTATTTGTGATGAGGTCGACGAGGGCAGGATAGGCGGCAAATGCCGGATTTGTATAGACGACGGTGGGCGGGTGCGGGGTGAGGGCGACGATCAGGGTCGGCCTGTGGTCGGCCTCGAGCAGGTCGATGATGCTGGTGTCGAGAATTGAGGGCTGCATCTTGACCGGTTGGCAGTGGACAACCACGCTTTCAGCTTTGACGAGGGGCGGGTAGGTTCGGGCGCGAATCGCAGCGCATTCTGGTGTTGACCCCGCGGCAGTCGGCGCTTGAACGTAAGAAGTGTCGCCTGAACTGCTCTCTTGTGGTTCAGAGCACGGTTGTCGGTTAGCCTTTTGGTATGCTCGCTCGTGATGGCGACAATAACCCCAAGACCCAGCAGTGGTAACGAAGGATGTCTGGGGAAGGTCGACCGACCAAGTTGCTCAGTTCGTTGTGTGCTGATCCAGGGTCCTGGTGTTTCGGGCCAAAGACCCGTGGTCCCCCAAGTTCCATAACCGATGAATGGAAGTGGATCCGCTCCAGTTGAGCCGGAGTTGTTACTCCAGGCTCAGGGGCATGGTAACAAATGTGGGGTTGATTTTCCAACCAAAGTTCAAACCCGGTGACTCGGCTATTTCTGTTTTTGGTGCGCTTCACCCCAAGTTCTTCCCCACACAAAAACACATACAAGACGAACGCTAACCAAGGGAGCGCTTCGCTAGCATTTATCTCGCAAAGGCTCCTGATGGTCGAATTCGAAGCTCTTTCTCGGCATCATTTCCGCTCAATGCCGCTATTTCACGCTCCATCTATAGCACGTTACGCTTTGTCATATATGCTCAGGAATCATCAAGCGCAGAGGGCGGGAAACTGATGCTCTAGATGGTCCGATTTCCCCCTTGACACTCCTGTCAGCTTGAGGCGTGCGATAAAGGCTGTGGTTGCCTCATTCCTTGGGCATCATAATCCAAGAATATCAAGGGATTCTCCTTTTTCTCAAGAGAGTTGGAGTAAAGTCAAGCCTTAAGGGGCGCTCAATAGTTCGTCGTGGGTGACGGGCAGGGCGATGTGTAATGCCGCTATTACTTCAGCTGATCGGTCAATAAGGTATGTGCTTACCATCCTGTCCGAACTCAATCGGGAAACATGACGTCTTCGATCAACACCTTAAGATGCTTCCAAACCGTCGGGTCCTGAGGAATTGCGCTAGCAACTTGTCGCGCTTTTCCATGGACTTCGGACCGACGTTCTAGACCCGTTTGCCTCTCGCACGAAGTAACAATGGATGTTCGCCTTAACGTAATGCTCATGCTTCAGCAGTGATTGCTGCTACGTTCTGTTCATGTCGGGCTTCAACACTCAAATCAACAAGTAACATTCGGTTTCTTACCTTACCTCACAAAAACTATGACACCCGTCGCCCATCATCGCCATCGCACAAACCCTCCTCGCCATCGTCTGAACTGGCCGTCTCAAAGGCTCCGTCCGGTAGGGGAGACAACTAGCACATCCGCCCGCTGCGCAAAGTCACCTGCCAAACTATCTCCGCCAGGTGATCATGAGAAACTGGCAGGTTGCGAATCGGCCACCGACAGTCGCTCATCGCGCCGGGTGTCCGTGCTGCGCAATCGCCGCGAACAGCGCTCAGCATCTGGCATCATGCAGTGTGCTCCAAATTTGAAGCCTACTCAACAAGTAGAGACTCGAAACGTCGAACGCCACTTACTCACCATCCGACCGAAAGTGTTTCGGACGTCATTGGAGACAGCCATTAAGCTTACAGTTTTTGCTCAACGACCTAGACGTCATTGATTGTATTGGATGCAGAACCTCTGCATATATAGAAACATAGTGCATTCAAAATGTCTCATGACAGCCAAATCTCCAATCTCACACCCACGATTTCCAGTCATACACTTCCCCGGCCTGCACCTTCACAGCCATATCTTCAAGAACCAACTGTCTCCGTCAAGGACCTCATCATGGATAGAGCCAAAGCAACAGTCAACAAGTTCATGTTTATAGCCAGACACCATGACACGACGGTGCACCACGAAAGTGGCTTGGCTGTCCAGCACGAGACGGTCGGCACGAAGAGGTCAACACGGCTGTCAACAAGGAAGTCCACCAGGATCACTACCGGCACATGGTGCAGCCCGTCCGGGACGGAGAAGTCCTGCCGGAGCAGCACACCCACAAGGCTGGCGAGGTGGTCAACCGAGAATGCGACCATCGCGACGAGGCGGCCACCGAGCGGGCTCTCAGGGCTGAAGCAGCGAAGTTCACGGACCAGCGCGTTTGTGACGGATACCACCCACACCCAAGTTATGCGCCGACTGTGCAGGGTGAGGAGGTCCACCAGTAAGTTAACAGAACTCCGATTTTGTCTCGGCCTCCATCAGGCCGAGGAACACGGGACCGACAAACCGAGCAAGGCTTCCTCGCTCAAAAACGCAATTTCCGCAGTAATTTTAAAAATTATCCAAGTCTAAGTCACGCGGCAATGCTGGAACAGCCTCACACCACGGGAATTGTATGTATATAGCGTTACGTAGAGGGGTGATGGCTGCACCTGTGGGCGTCTGGCCGGTCTGTCGGGGGGTGTTGTGGCCCCGGTTTGGTCTTACATCCTGCATACCGCCCAGTATTGCCATCTACACTTAGAGCAGGGGTTTCCACCGACACCAGAACCATCTTCACCACAGAAATCATCATACATCACACGCCACTACAGTTGGCTGGCACTGCATGCAACAGGGGCCGAGTACGAAGCACAGAACGAACGTACTCCATCAATATCCAGTGAGCTAAGTTCAGCAAACAAAACTCTGCAAAATCATGTCCTCTCTAGTCGGCAGTTTGTGTTTACGGAACATCCACGTTCGCTTTGACCGTCAGCCGGTCCAGTTCCTTGCAAAGGCGGGCAATTGTGTCATTCCTAGTCTGCAGCTTGGCCACATCAATGGCGCTTTGCTCGCGAAGAAGGTGCCCCAAGTACTCTCTTGTAGATGGCTTAAGTAGGACGCCATCTGACCTCAGTCGGGTGATTATCTGCGGGAGCAAAGTGCTGTTGTTGCCGTCCTCATCATCCTCATCGTTCTCACCATCTGTTTTGATTGACGATAAGCTGGCGGCCTTGCCCCGGGACCGTGTGGGCGTCCCGTTCGAAATCGGGAGTCCACGAGTGCGCGTTGGTAGCGTGCTATCCCATGCAGCTGTACTGGGTGTTGGTAGGTACAGCGCGTTGGCTTGGGTGGTCGTACTGGTGGGCGTGGTAGGCGGTTGGGAAGATCGCTCATTAAGCTTCTTGCGGGCGTTTTTCTCATGCACTTCCCAGAGAAAGAAGCTACATTGAGGCTGGGAGTTGCATCTCAGGACTGCGGCGGCAGTGTAAGAAACTCTGCTCAGATCGTGCGGGAGAGGTGAAGGGGGCCTTACATCGCTGGCCTTTGGTTTCGCCCTCCTTTGAGACAACACGCCATTGAACCGGATTGTCGCAAGCACAGAGCCACTTCCCATCACTGTAGCTGCCATTTTCGAAGGTCGATGAAGTGAGCGGCATGACTGGAATGGTGAGATTATCGTATAACTGGTTCAGTGATGACTGACTTATTCAAATGACATCAGCAAAGAAAGCAGCGTTCGAAATGCAGAGAACGAACGATAACATAAATATGAACAGAAGGTTCGTCTCTGACAAGCACAAGGCTGAGGCTTCCCCGTCATCTGAGACAACGCCATGCGGCTTGACAAAGTTTTTTGAACGGTAGTTGCAATGAACTGCAGCAAGGTGGCGCGCGGCGTTATGCGAAGTGGTCAATTAGTCGATTCGTCGACAAATATCATACCTACAGTTCAATTGGACACCGGGCCGTTCGCACGGTCGAAGGAAAACTCGTGCTTTGCCCGGATTGAGGTATCCGGGCTGATCAACCCTGCATGTCTGCATGCACGAGGCGTTTCGTGTTGGCCAGTGAAAGCATCACTAGCTCTATTTACGCTTCTTGCCTGTTGACTGTAACGGGCTGGGCCCGGTGCGAGCCTCGGCGACTCTCGGCCAATACCAAGACCCCTGATGAGGCTATTCCCACTCGCCCCACAGCACACCGAACCTTCTAGCAACGCGCTCAGACCAGCGCGCCTACGAGGATAAGTATGCTTGCGAGCTACCAGAGTCTGTCGTCTCACCTTTTCTTCTCCAAGTTCAGTGTACTCGTAGAGTCGTCATCAGCTAGTTGCAATATACTGCCTGAGACCGTTACATTGACGACCGCGTGAGGGTGCGCAATCCCAGCCGGCTGGTCGCATGGCTGTGGCCGGTTGTGTGGACAGGCTCTATGGGTACTGGCTACAGATTCATGAGCCTCACAGAGCGGGAACTCTCGGGAATGGCGGCTTGGGGAGACTATATACATTTATTTACAGCGAGAAACATCTTGTAAGTATGCCCACAATCTATCGGAGTCCATTGTCCACAGCCTGGCTGGTGGCACTTGGTTTACCGCAGCGACGAAAACGGAGGAAATGTAACTGCATGAGTGAGCCTTTGTTCTATTTGTGTCTGAGCTGGCTGTGCACGAGTCGTTTGAGGCCTGCGACGCTGCTAGGCGAGGGTTGTTTCTACTACCAGCATAGGAAGTGGGTGCGTAGTATGGGGAACGCGTTTGTGATAGACTAGTCGATGGTGAAAGAGGCCGGGAGGGAAGTATGTCGGGAGAACGTGGGATGCAGATAAGATTCAGGCTTAGGTACAGCGGCAAGAAGGATCTCAGGCAAAGTAGCTGCAGGCTCATAGCAGGGTCAGGGAGTGAGGGGGCTGAACTAAGAGGTGAGGGCTATGGTCGTATTATACTGAGGAAAAGGATAGCTTTGTCCCACAAAAGTCAGGGCGCTTTATACTACCTGTATGATGCCTTGCATGTAAAATAGCGCGGAGGGACCGCTTGCCCAAACTGGGCGGGGCGATTGCCCTTGCAGCGTAAGATCAATATATATATACAGTATATATATATGTAGTTAACGTTAAGTTATATATAACGTTGTATACTACCTGTATAATAGGTTGGCGTTGGCTTGGGATGATGGCCATAGTTACTTACATGTGGAAACAGCACATTGGTTCAGACTGCGCGTTTTCTATTGTACTATGCTTGAGAGCAACACTGGGCCGTTCATAATGTTGCATTTCCTGATATCTGACATAGAAGTCTAAGCTAGGTACCTACTAATCAAGTACATTGTAGTGTAACCTCCAAGGCCTATCCTCTAGCTTTTCCTTACGACAAGTAGAAAAGCCGCTTATACCAATCTCCTAAATTGAAATGCTTGGCGCACTCGTTCAACATATCTTCTATCGACTTCATCCACTCCCGGTCAGCTTCGAAACCTAACACGCGACGCCTCTCATACGCCCAGCTAGTCCATTTCCAAGGCCATGCAAAATCTGCATAGAACTGGGCGTGACCGTCCTTGTCCCCAGACATGCCAACGGTTTCAGGATACGGTCGTATCCGGCGAGCACTTCGTCCCCTTGCGCCTGGGAGAGTTCATGGCGACCGTCGGGATGTAGAGGGAACGGGCAGAGGGGGCCGGCCATGGTCAACCGTAGTATGATAGCGGGAGTTCTAATCTTGTCATTGATCCAGTCAATGGTCTCAATCCACTGCTGCACAGCTGGATGCCCGTCTTGAGGCCAACACTTATAATTATAAGGAGGAAAGACCAACTCGAGAGAGCTTAGTTAGCTTAAGCAGTCGGTGGAGACCACATCCCTCAGAAACTGGCTTGCTGTAAAACGCTCGGCCGGGTAGGCAGACAGAGGTTGTGCCGCGCGCCCCTCACGGCCATGTTCGGGCCACTGGAATGTCCTGACCTGCTGAAAGTGATGCAGGGGCGCGCGATGCTAGAGAATCGCTAACGATAAACCGATTAAGAGAAAAAAGTTGGCGACTTTAGAGAGAGCACGGCAGATGAGGAACAAGGGCGTAGGCGGGGCCCAGCATCTGCAGGTAGACGAGAAGCCAGCATGTCGAAGGCGGCAAAAACAGCCGATAAAGCACAGATATATCGCGTCGGCCAGCCAGATACGTTGCTGGTGATGGCATCCCCGATATTGGCATCCATAGTGCAAGGAGAAACTTGGGTTCAATGGAATGCACGGCCGTTGCAACCTGGTCCACATAACTTCCCTCCAAGGGGTGACAAGGTCGGTATATTCGAGAATATAATAGCGTAGCTCCCGCGGAAGGCTAGGGATGGGCGGGGGGTGCTCGATGGACTTTGAGAGGGTTCCAGCCCACCGCAGGCTTGTAGCACCGTCTGTCGTGCGATTCGGGCGAGTTGAGCATTTGGAGTTCTGCAAAGCTGAACATGGTGGTGGCGACGGGAAGGTACCGCCTCGGCTTTCGTAGATGCGCAAGAAGCCGGTCGAATGGGCCCAGATGTAGTCCATCGCGTTCTTTGAGAGGTCAGTCATCTTGCAGTAGCGGCTACCGTCAGCTAGCAACAGGTTGCGTTAGTGTGATGCGAATGAAGCTGGATGGGCATGTCGAGAATGGAAGGAGGAGTTCACCTTTCGATGTTGTCGCGCCGTCGCCCGTGTTCTCCCAAGTGTGAAAGTTCAACGGCCCCCGTCACACTCAACCCAAACGTAGTCGGAACGCCCCCCCATGTGTAAAAGCCCACGGGTCGTTATAGACATTGACGAAATGGATTGACTCGCGGCCGACATTTTTCCCCATTCCAGCATGCGTGTGGTCCGCGCCGTCGTCTGAGTTGACACCAGTGCGCCAGAGAGGCGCCAGAGTCCCTTGGAACATCCACGATTGTTTATGTATATCCAGGTTCTGCCCGTATCGTCGATCCACAGCCAATCATCCCGGCCCTGGTATTGAAACAGTCAGTGAAGTTCCTGAAGTATGCATTTGAAGAGCATGCACTTACATCACCATTGACGTTCAGCGAAACAGACGCCGTCCACGTTCCTCATTCCTTTCGCGGTGGACACGACCCCAAGAGGGTTCCAACCGACGGGCAGGTCTCCACTGCCCCAGTTCCCCCAGCAGGTGATATCACCGTTGTCGGCAATAGTGCAGTAGTCCGCGCGGCCATCGCCGTCAATGTCCGCGAGGCGAACCTGGGCCTGCGGTGATCCCTCGTTGGACTTCCAGAACTGCGGCCCCATGAACGTGCCGTCGTAGTTGTTGATACTCACATGGGCGTCTCCGTTTGGTGAGATACACAGCATGTCATACAGCCCGTCTGCGTTCACATCGGCAATCCTTACCCCACGCGCGATACACTTGTCAGGCATGTACACGTTTGGTGGGTCGGCATCAGTTCAGCTGCCGCTGCCCTTGGCTCCTCCAGACGAGGTAGCGTCCCAGTTCCCCTTTGCCAGGGAATACCCAATTGATGTGCACAAAGTCATGCGGACCGAAGGGCTTGGTGATGCGTGCGAAGGTGTGGTTTGTGCCGCCGGCCGCTGAGTAGTTTCAAGTGGTTCCCTTAGACTCGCTGCCGTGCGAGTAGATGCCGACGTCCAGCCCGCTGCCGACTTGCGTGTTCACAGGTCCATGAGACATGCCAGAACAGTAAACTTTGTCGCACTAGCTGTTGCCATTCCCGGCTTCAGGGTCGTCGCTCATGCCCGTGTCCTTGGCCTCGGTGATGAAACCGCTTCGCAGGATTTTCTTGATGGTCCCCATGGACGATGGCCGCCAAACGCTTGTGGCCGTCGTCGTTAAGGTGGATGCCGTCAGAGACGAAGTGTCTTTTTGTGAAGACGGTGGCCGGTGCGTCCACATCGGTTAGGACAACCTTTGGCTGTTCGTTGTACCGCGTGTCACTGACCAGCGCTCGGATCTGTTCGTTGACTGAGCCCCTGTTGTCGACAATGCCCTGAACTGTTCCGGGAAGGACATTGGTCAAAATGATGGTGACACCGGGGATTTGACTGAAGAGTTTGTCAAGCAAGGCTCGGTAGCGAGCCTGGAGCTCGTCGATCTTGCAGTTCTGCATGCAGTCATTCGTCCCAACATTGATCACTACGATGTTGGGCTGGTATTTGATCGATTTGTCTGCGGCCGCCGCGATCTCCATCGATGCGGTCGCCCGAGGGAGCCTCTACATTCTGACTGGAAGGTTGCATCATAATATCAGAAAGGACGGAGAGTTGGATGCTCATATTTTCCACCATGCTGCCGTGGTTCTGAGAGCGACCATGTTGATCTTCCAACTATCCTGTCTCAGAGCGTCCTGAGCGGTTTGCGGAAGTCGTTTTCATTGCTGGAGCCCACAACGTAGACGATCGAGGCACCAAGGAGCAATATCCTGCCGTAGAATGAAGGCGCGTCGGGGTCGCCAGGCGAAAGAGGGCAAGAGTCCATCGTGGGATCTTGGACCAGCGCCGGATATCCATTTGCTTGCCCGTAAACGTGCATCATGTTCCAGATGACGAGGTTTGCCATCAATCGATGGAGTAAGACTTGAAAATGGAAGACCCGGCCGTACCTGACAGAGAGGGAAGAGTTTTTGTCAGCATCTCAACTGCCATGATGTGAATGTCTTGTTCTGTCATACCCGTCAAGTAAAAGGTTGGGAATATCTTCCTCGCCAGCTTCTGAGATTGCCAACGCTTGGTTCGATACAGCCAAGGCGCCTGCCGTTCCCTTTTCCACGTGCGGCGACGAGAACGTTGCGTCAGGGTATAGTTAAGCTTGTACTGATGAGCGCAAAGATGTTCGTTTTGACCTTTGGAAGGTAATATTAAGGTGCGCGATTGTGCTGCGTTTCCAAGGAGTGCTACCCAGCGGGTCCCTGGTGTTCGGTTCGTAAAACATCGATCCAGGCCAGTTGTTGCTTTCACTTGTGGCCTCATCCACCCCGGCTTCGCAAAGCCGTCCCCCAGTCTCCGGCATACTTATCGTAGTCGATGAGGATTACTTGATCTCCTGCTCTCCCAGTAGCAACCGCCTGAGTACAGTGGTCAGTATTCGAGCTTGTAGGGAGGGCTGGTGCCCATGGAGCTTATTCCGATGAAACTGACCAAAGTTTCAGGTCAACGAGATCGCTCATCTTGCGACTGCGGTCAATGGTGTGGTATTCTCTTGACTGGGTCGCGTCCCTGCTTTTCAGATAGCACAAGATTGTTCAGTATTCGACATTTGGCCGAACTTGGGGAATTGGGAAAGTAACAGCATGGGACAGACTGATGAAGATCCAACTTGACCATGAGACACGGTCACAATCCTGCGTGTGACTCGGCGAAGAATTCGCCATACCCCGTCCAATATACTTTGCCACTGGTTGATGTCCCTTGTGAGCCTTCAGGTAGCGGGAGAAACAGGAACATGGGATACGTACTCGGGAGCCAGTTTCCGCTTCGCCCCCTCCACGGCACTGTCGAGCTTCCTGCTGAAGTCATCGCTTTCCAGAATATCTTGGGTGAGAGATTATTTGTATTCGCAAGAACAGGAAATAGGCTCGAAGTCGTAGTCCCCGGCCCAGCTAGAGAATTCCCCCTCATTCATCAACCGGCCCACATCGATGACGGTGTGCTGTTCGGGATTATTGACGAACCACATGAAAATGCACACGTTGAGGATGTTCGTGTGCTCGGCGTCTTTTCCGCCTAGTATATGGGTGAGCCAACAAGATTGACCAAACGTGATTGGTTTGGGCCGTTGTTACCGATGGACAGCATAATGGCTTGCTGGCCCAGATTGAGGGCAGGCAGTTGTTTGTCGATAACGTCTTGCAGGATAGCACCTGAACAGGATAAGAACTGCTGGTTTGGTCTTCATAAACAAGGTTAGGGTACGATTCAAAGTAGCGGCTACAGGCATAATCTGTTTGCGAATCAGCTAATGGCCGCTTGGTCAATCCACAAGAGGCGAGGGAATACTTACCGCTCGCAGAACTAAACAATCAAAAAAACGCTGCCAAGTCTGCCACCAGCACCGATATCAGCCGAGTAAGAGTCTCCAATGGCGGCAAGAATGCGGATGGAGGACAGATCAGTATTGTCGAAGTCCTGGTCTTCTTGTCTGCGGATCAGCCGATTGATCCACTCGAAACCGTTCCTCAAGTAGCGAAGCATTGCAATGGTTCCTCAAATGAACACAATGGCCACCAGACTGCGCCATACTGTGTCCCACATGATAAGTGCCAGAGGGTGTCCAAGACGGCTAACGACTGTGGGATTCAAGAGAGTTTGAGATTCGAGAATAGTGATAGGGAAACGATATAACTGGAGGGAACGGCCGGTGGCCAACGGGGCTGGGGTGGTCAGAGAGAGAATGGCGTACTTAGGAGGAACGTGGCACATCGTCTCTCGCTGAGTACGGGATGTGAGCGTATTTCTACAGAGGCACCGGAGTCAGAAAGGATCCCCAGGCCCCAGGTTGGAATCCCGATTCGGTATGCCGTTGAATGCTCAGCAGCGACAGCTGAGCGCAACCCTTGATCTGTTCCTTCCGTGCCTACTCCGCAGTCAGACCGCAATATATCGTCGTGGATATTTTGACAAATATCAATGCCACAGGAGGACATCACGGGTTCACTGTGCGCCCTCCACGGCACCCTTTGCCCCCCTAAGCCAAGGAGTTCCGTACTATCCGCTCAACTTCTCCAACGACGGACCAGGAGTGCAGGACGATTCGGATGTACAAGCAACGGCACTCTTACCCTACTAAGGTAGCAAAATAAATTGATCAATGCAAATAAACTTTGAATGCAGCGCTACCAGTCTCTTTAGAGAATAACCTCTTTTAGGAATCTAGAGGCTAAAACCGTGGCAGAGGCATACCGAGATTCGAAAGGGGCCAAGCCATAGAAGGAGGCCTGATTAGCAAGACGCTTTCTTGAGATGCCTTGCAGCGACCAGTCAGTCTATCCTTCTACGTTGCTACAAAGAGTACCTCATTGCCTCCCTGTTACCCCATCTTCAGTAATCATGTTTCCTTTTCCCAAAATTTTACCGTATACAGTTATCAGTCCCTCTTCACCATGGCTTTGCGATTCCAAGCATACAATTCCGAGACTGAACAGTTCGATCAGGCTCCTGGCAGGATTTCCAGGAGCAAGAAACCTAGCAGCAACAGAACTCAATACAACAGCCATGCTCTGCTGCCCATTGGTGTCGTTTAAGATGATAACACGCCCATGTTGCACACCGACTCATCATCCATAGCGAAGGCCAACGGCGATGACCAAGATAGATCTCTTGAATCATTTAATGATCCCATCCTGCAGTTAGCGATTACGCCAGCGAAACAGGCAAAGCGGTGAGCGTGAGTTCCGTGTCTGGAAAGCGGTCTAAATTTGATGCCTCAGGATAATTATGCATTGTGGGGTTGTGGATTGTCCACCGCAATCATGCCTTGAAAAAGATCTCAGCACCGGAACCCCGTTTCCGGTCTGCAGGAGGGCCCGTGAATCCGCAACCGTACTCCGCTCGCCATGTTCAAAGGGCCAGGCCGATGTTGTGCGTATGATGCCGGTGGTTGGTACAAGTACGGATACGGTTCGCGCGGTCATCTTCAACGCCTACCAACATACTTCGTAGACAGCGCACTGAGCGCAAGGAGTTTGTTGAGAGACCCGTGGACATGTTCAGTCCGCCGAGACGTGTGCAAGACTCTGGCTTGCAAGTTCAGGACTGGGCAGGCCAACACAGAGGGACTGACACAGACCACATCGATGCCATGCGATGTTGGCCATGTCTTGGAAACCGCCCTGCCCACAACACTGCACCATCCCGAGACCGCTGATCGGTCTGGGCGCCAAGCCAATCTCCAGTCGGTTTGCGTTTCTGTTCGTTCCAGAGCGGTGCCGAGCATCCACGCCGAGACGACAAGACCCAAGTTCCAAGACTGAACCAAGACAGACCCAAGACCCCGACTCCCGCTCCAGCGAAACCGCCAAGCAAGAGAAGAAAGGGAGAGCTTTTAATAAAATGGCCATGGCAACCACGTCCAATCCCATGGGGACGTCCACCGCCCTTGCCATGCTCGCCGCCGGACTGGAATCTAGAAGGATATCTTTCCCAGCGCGTACCTGGCTCTGATCTTGCTGGATCGCTGAGCCTACGCCCAGAGAGACACGGACTGGAGACAAAACAGCTACGACATCATCGACCCGAGTCCTCAACCTGGCTTCGCCGCCGAAACCAGAGCTCCCTGCGACATGTCTTGACATCTCTCTGTCCATTTCCAAGCCTTTCAGCCTCAGGTATCTGACCGGAGCGTGCCGCCCCGGTGGGATAAGGGGGCCACGAGAACTGGCTGAGCAGGTCAACCAGATCTCAAACGACACAGGCGCAGGCTATCAAACAATTTGGAAATGAAGCTTCTGTCAGCCTCACTGCTGCTGGCCTTGGTCCCCGGGGCGCTGTCACAAAATGTCGTTCGGTTCAATGTCACCAAAGGCCTCCCAGGCGTCCATCTTAGCTCCGTGCCGTCGTTGGCGAGGAGGGGGACATACTCGGAGCAGCTCATTAACAACATCTCGGGGGGCGGGTATTATGTGCAGGTGAAGGTCGGGACTCCCGGGCAGACGCTGACCATGCTGCTGGATACGGGCAGTAGCGATGCCTGGGTCTTGGGCCACGACGCGGACCTCTGTACGGATGAAGAGCTGCAGGGTCTCTACGGCATGACGTGCACCGACACCTACAACCCCTCCGAGAGCTCGTCGAACAAGTTGGTGAAGAAGGACGGCTTCAAGATCACTTATCTCGACGGCGGCACGGCCGCTGGGGACTACATCTCGGACGATTTCAGCGTCGGCGGGACCACAGTCAAGTCATTGCAGATGGCATACGTGACCAAGGCCGTCCGGGGCACCGGCATTCTGGGTCTCGGCTTCAGCATCAGCGAGCGGGCCGCCACCAAATACCCCAACATCATCGACGAGATGGCCAATCAGGGTTTAATCGGCTGCAAAGGCTACTCCCTCTACCTCAACGACCGACGGACCGACTCCGGGTCCATCCTCTTCGGCGGCATCGACACAGACAAGTTCATCGGCCCGCTCGAGATTCTCCCGCTCCACAAACCACCAGGGGGCAACTACTCCTCCTTCGAGGTGAACTTCACATCCATCACCGTGTCCTACACCAACGGCACGCAGCTCTCCATCCCTACCACCATCCTCGACCACCCCGCCCCCGCCGTCCTCGATTCGGGAACAACCCTTTCCTACCTCCCCGACGGAATGGTCCAACCCATCTACTCCGCCCTAGGCACCATCTACGACCCGGACCTGCGCATGACCCTAATCGACTGCGTCTATCTCACCACCGAACCACAGCTCCACCTGGCCTTCACCTTCACCCCAACCCTGACCATAACGGTGCCCATCTGGGAACTCATCCTCGACATCCTGCCCCCCAATTACACCCCCTCCACCTCCCCCAAACAACCCCCACCCCAAACCCGCCCAAGTAAAACATGCGTCTTCGGCATCCAATCAACAGCCCTCTTCACCCAAACCGGCACACTAGAGTCGGACTCAAAATCCCAATCTCCCAGCACAGTCAACTTCACCCTCCTAGGCGACACCTTCCTCCGGTCCGCCTACGTCGTCTACGACCTGACGCACTACCAGATCGGCCTGGCCCAAGCCAACCTCAACTCGACCTCCTCCACCATCGTGCCGCTCTCGAGCGAGGGGACGAGCTTGCCGACGAGCCTGACAGGCGTCGCGGCGCAGCAGACCACCTACACGCCCACGCCGACTGCGACGACGAGACCCAATGGGGAGAATGGGAGGGGGTCGTCGTCAGCGGCGGAAAACGCTTCGTCGGATTCTCTGATGAGGGTGAAATCTCTTGGTGAAGTACTCCGGGTCCTGGCAGTAGCGTGGGGTATGGCGTGCCTGGGCGGCGTATTGGTTCCTTTTTGAGTCTTACATTATATGAGTCAGGGTGTAGGGAATGCATCTGGCGTGAAAGATGCTGGCAACCTGTTACTCATCTATATATGATGGTACATAATTGACTCATTACTTGCAATTCCACGCAGATATTGAGACGGGAACTAAGTGACTCCAGCGACCCAATAAGATGCAACACAAATGGTTCAGACACCAAGTTTATTGAGTCAGCTGACTATCAATCTGACCTCGGAAGGTGATGGTGCGAAAGGCAGACATCTTGATCCATCGCGAGATCGTAAAGATCAAAGGCAAACAGCAACTCTCCCAGCTCCTCCAAGCAATTCCTACACATGATCCCACACCCTGCGGTAGCCATTCGTCTCGCCCGGGACCTGCACTCAACACTTGCTCCTGGAATCCGTCGAGTCCCAGCCTAACACAGCGTAGGTCAAGCGACGCGCTGCTCACCATTTTATTCCCGCACGAGCCGCGCAAACCCAGAAGTGGTCACCCTTAGCAAGGATCGGACAGGCACCATCCTGAACCTTCTTCGAAGCGGCCGGAGCGGCAACGTACTGGTTCCCCCGGGTTGCACTCTCTTAGACCGTCTCTTTAACCTCCCCTTCCTCCGTTGAGTCAGAAGCCTCTATGCCGCCAGGGCGACCCAAGCATTTGATCGCCTCACGAGGCCAGAGGTCGGCGAAGGGCTGAACTAGCGTCGACTGGGTGACGCCCTGGGCATTCGCCGAAGTGGGCGAAGAGGCAGCGGCTAGTTCTTGAGTCCCCAGGGTCGGATTCTCTCGGACTGTGGCCTCAGTGTTCTTCTCTGTGGTATCTCTAGAAGCCTGGACACCGGCACCCCGTGTCGACCATTTGCTCCCCGCACGAGCCCAGAAGTCGACGCACTCGGCCAGGTTCGCCTTTGCACCACCATTCTGCCCTTGGCCGGCAGCTCCCGGAGTGACAGCAGCGGGGATGGCAGCAGCAGGAGTGGCAGAGGAATGTTGCTGATCCACATGTGCTGCACTCTCTTAGACCGTGGCTCCAGTGTCCTCATTCTCCTTGGAATCTCTAGAAGCCTGGATACCGGCAGGTCGTGTCGACTATTTGGTCTTCGCACCAGCCCAGAAATCGTCTCCTTCAGCAAGGGTCGCCTGGGCACCACCATCCCGGGCTTTGGGGGCGAGGGCGCGGGGCCCAGCGAAGGTACTGGCAGCGGCATGTTTCTGATCTACCCAAGTTGTATTCTCTTGAAGGGTGGGCCACATGGTCCCATTCTTCGTGGACTTTCCAAAAGCCTTTGTACCGGCAGGGCGTCCGGACAATTTGGTCCCAACACGAGCCCAGAAGTTGTCCCCCTCAGAAAGGGTCGGCTGGGAATTGTACCAGACATTCACCGAACTGCCTGGGGCGGCCGCAAGTTTCTGAACCTGCTGGGTTGTTGCACTGTATTCGGCCGTGGACCCAATGCTCCCGCCCTCCGTGGAAGCCTGGACGGCCTCAACCGCGACAAACTGGCAAAGGTTCTTGATGAACTCCTCGTCCATTCATGAAATTCCAGAACCCGTTACGCCGGCAGAGCGCCCCCCAACGGCGTACGGGGAGACGTGGCGTCGTCAATGTTCAGGGATGCCGCGTTGAAATTGCGCGGATCCATCTCCGGGTGGTCTGCGGCCACTTCAGCGGAAACCTTGAGAGGGTCAGGCGAAGTGCCGACCGTCTTCTCGGAAGCAATCTCGGCAGGTTCCGCGCCTCGGTCAGTTCCCTAAACGGGTTCCCAGAACGCAGCAGGCAGCTCCTCCGGACTGGTGTGCGGTTTTTCTCGGACATTACAGCAGTCTCATTGACAGCTTCCATTTCCTGGACAGTGACGGGGGCGCTCTCAGCAGCCCGAGGCTCAGTGGTGAAGCCAGCGGACTGCTTGACAAACCCTAGTTTCATCACATCCGCGATCCTTCGGAGGAGTTGAGCAACAGTCAAGGGATCACCGTTCAAACTGCTGGTGAGCAACTCAATCGACGCTGGGCTGGGTGACGAAAGGGTTGTTTTGGCGACAGGAGGCAGGGCAGAAGGCTCCGTTTTGGAAGGCGCAAGAGACTCATTGTTATGCTTTGCATCCAACTCAATGAGAGTCTTAGCTGACTCCTGAGTCAAAGATGGGCCTGGCTCAATTCTGTCTGGCCGGTGCGGACAGAGGGAGCGTTGTCAACTTCCTCCGGAGCTCCAGTGCCGTTGATGAGGACAAGGGAAGTCGAAGGTTCCGGTCCATTGCAGTTAGGAGTGATGGCTAAGTCGGCGGGCTTTGCTGCCTGGGAGCCAAGGCCTGTATCGAGATGAGCACCACGGAACTTGCTGTCAGCGGAGCGGGTCGGAAGGCTCGTGTGAGGCAAGGGCCGCCAGTTCTGGATATGAGCTGCTGGTTTGGCGGGAGCGGACTCGTTGCCGGCAGCATTGACTTTGAGTTCAGCGCCGTGAGTGTGAATGGGGGTTGAAGCCGAGTTCAACGTCTCCTGGGGTCCATGATTCATCGGACGCTGAGTAGCAGCACGTTGTGCGCTCTCTTCAATACCATGGAGCGCACCCCACTGAGTCAGGATGTGCTTTCGCGTTTTTGGGAGCTGGCTCCTTTAGATGACCCGCCCGCTGGAGCATTGATCGTCGCCGAGGGTGCGTTGGTTTGCTGGATGCCAGGGGCTGGAGAAGCGAAAGTCTTTGTGGCGGCTGCAAGGTCGATGACTTCTCCTCCTGAATCTTTTATGACGATCGGGGCACTCTTCTTGGGAGGGGCGGATGCGGCTTGTGCATCAAGGAAGGCGTCCGATGGCATGGTGAAGCCAGGTGGCAGCGGCCCAAAGTAGGGAATCTTCCCAGGCTCGAAGTTGTGGGTATCGGGAACCCCAGACGCAACCCGGGTGGGAATATCAATGGGAGGCATTTGGACATCGTCAGCCAAGTTGAAGGCAGCAGCGACTTCGGGTTCCGAAACGACAGCCTTGGTCGGAGACTCTTGGACCTCGCCACCCAAGCCAAGGGCAGCAATCCAGTTCAAGCCCTTGCGCTGAACCGATTGGTCTTCCAACAGCAGCATCTTTTGAGTGCCCCGAATTTTGTCGATGAAGCGTGCGACATTCTTCGTCATAAAGTTCGCAATGTCCTCGCGAGAGCCGTTCTGGAAGCGCAGGGCCGTCGCAGCAGCGAGCCAGCGGGCAGCCCTCGGATATCGCACATTCTTGAATTCATGCTGCTTCTCACTAGGAGCAGTGCAGCTTGTCCGAAGAAGAAGCCGAGGGCCACACCAAAGCCGTCCTGGAATCTCTTGTAGTACTCGTCGCTGACGCCATCTGACTTGTCATGCCAATACCGGCACTTGACATCGTCGGGCAGCGGAAGGTTGAAAGCTTTGGCTACCATCTTCGCGAGAATATTGGAGGAGGCGCGGAACTCAATGGCGTCAAAGACACGCATGACGTCGTCCTCATCCGGCATCAGCCCCTGGGAGAAGCTGGTGAAGAGGTGCCGCTGACATGACAATTCGAGTCAGTGGGACAAGTGTCGAGCTCGATGGCGGCGAGATACTTTAGATGGAAGGACTGCAGCTCCTTAGTTCCACCAAACGCCTCTCCAAAAGATTCGAATTGGTTGGCGTAGTTGATGGCGGCACGGGGCTGACCCCAGTGTTGTGCCCGTCTCAAGGCGATAACCGTGGCGAGGGGCATACTCAGTCCAGGAGTCGACGAAGCTGGCTGGGTCCCGGGCAGCGTCCGGCTAAAGAATGAAGACGTGGTCCTTGGCGAAGACTCAAAATCGCTGCTCCAGTGACTCATGGATCTGACGCTGGAACTGATGGAAAGATTTGACCTGCAGCTCCGATGGGCGGAGAGGCATCGGGTCGTCGTACTTGACCTTTTCGCGCTGATATTGCGTTATGAAAGACGCGCTCCATTCAATGAAAGACCGAATGAAACGGCTGGCGAAGGCACCGCCGCAAGATTTCGCAGTGATGCGCATCATGTTGTAATAATTCGGGCACGCGGGGTTCAGAACCGATGGGCGACATAGCCAGCCTCCCGTGAAAGGAGAGAGGATTACGAGCATGATCGGAAGCTGCGCATCGTTAACGGCGTCCTGGATGGTTTGGCGGAGGCGCTCGATGGTCATGTTATGTCCTTCTCTGATAGCCAAGATCGACACAGATGTCTTGCTCCGGGGTGATGGGAGCGAAGATCACGACGACCAACGTGGTCCTCCGCATGGCCGCAAGCCGGGCGCTCGCAGCGAGACGCTTCAAAAATTCCGCCTCGAAGCCGTTGTTATCATTTGGGATACTCGAGATGTCCTGGTTGTTGTCACCGACCTTGTCGATGATGCCATCGTTGACCACATCGACGCCGTCAATCCCAGCAAGGAACTCTGAGATATCGAGAGAGCTGAGCCCGATCTGCCGACTGACCCTGCATTCTGGTTTCGCATTTACCTGCAGCTTCTTTGTGTGGACTGCGTTGAACGCCGTCTTCCAATGCAGGAAGTCGGCAACCATCCAGCCGTACTTGTTTGGGTCGGCATTCTCAGCTGAAACGCCGCAAATGCCGAGAATTTGCGCATCGATAGGAAAGTCGGGTGGGCCCTGCTACTCAAGAATCGTCAGCCACGATGCAATCTGTAAGAGGCGACAGGGGCCTTGGGGCAGTCGAGTGGTAATTTCTTCAACATGAATTCGAGAACGGTAAACCGCTTGGATTTGGTACGCGCCAGAGAACGAGATAGGCTTCGGGCATGGCGGCCTGAAATATCTCAATCTCCTTGATACCACCTTCCCAAGGCGCCGGAAAGGCGGCCATTGCCTCTGGGTGGGCGTCAGCGAAAAAGTCACGTCACGGAACAAATAAAATATCAATCCAGCATGAAGACACGTGATAAATCTGATGAGGGCCGGCTCTTCCGTCAGATCGCAGTGCGGAAAGAGTCGAGTGGTTTTGATGGGTTGTCGATCAAGAAGTCGTGGAGGAGGAGAGAGGAAAGGGAAGAGAGGAGAAGGGAGCTGTGAGAGTAGAGTAAAAATACACGACCGAAAAGTGTAACAAAAGCGGAGCGCAGTAGAAGGTAAAGGCAGAAAAAGGTACCGACCTCTCGGGCAGTGTGATTACCGCTCAATTCTCAGAGAAGGACGGCACAGGACCGGGTCGTGTGCGAAAACTGGAAGGAACAAAGAGGCAAAGCTTAGGAGCCCTCGCGGACAGCGAGAGCATGCCCAAGCTGTCGCATCTGGCCCATTGCTTTCATATACAATGTGAATGGACTTACCAGGTACTTCGAATGTAAGTGAGCGACGAGCTTGACAAGTTTCTGAGAAAAGAGAATGCAAGAACCAACGAGCTATGGTTAAGGCGCTATGCACATGGGAGTCGTTTAAAGGGATGCACAGTTTAGTACTTGCAAGAGCCAAGAGTTATCCCCTGTACGGATACAGCGTCGGTGACCATTTGACCGCACCATGAAGCTTGGATCACTGTCACCAACCCCGTGCATTGCCTACCAGCCTCGACAGTTAAACTACATGAAAGACTCAATGATCCATCATATTGGGTCAGTCAAGTTGGTAACCTGAAGCCACATCAGGAACCTGAAAATACGAATTCAAGCTTGCTCTTTACCTAAGGCACCTGAGATACCATCTTATGAGCGCCCGGCCACTTGAAAGAACCTCGACGATTTCACCAAGGCTAACAGCTAGCCAAACACGCCGAAGTAGCCAGGGAATCATCCCTCAAATCATGAATGTGGTCATTGATGTAAAGCAACGAAGGTGTCAAGGAGCGCTATCTGGCGCATGACAGAAATATTCGATTCCTTGGAGCTCACACTTTGCCAAAACCTGGAGGATATGGATACCCTTCGCAAGCAAATTCAACGCAGAGAAAGGGTCTTTACATGGTGAGCATTGCACTTGAATCTCTCATGGAAATTCAAAAAGAGCGGAGCTGGGCGGCGCTAGGCGGCGCTGGGCGGCTAAGATCGATGCGCGTCTCTCCAAAACACTCGAGCGAGGCGAGTCCATCGCCGACGACATGAACAGGGTGCAGCACAAGTAGTCATGAACACGGTGATACCTTACTCAATGGACACGTCTACCATCACAAAAATCACCATCAAGTTGGCAGGCAACTCAAAGAATAATGTAATTGTTGAAACTTCTTTTTTACACTGGGATATCTGACCTGCCTGTTTGTTTACTTTACCCCTGAAAACGCCAAGCAAAATCCGTTGCCTCCCTGACCAACCAGACCTTCCGCTCCAAGCGTACAAGAATCAACATCATTGACGCCCCAGCACCAAAGGCAAAGCAAACTCCCTATTCATACACCACAAGAAAACCACCCATAAAACGACCGAAACCCAGTTCATCACATCTTCTCAAACCGCTCCCTCGCCCGCTCCTTAGTCTTCTGCACAAACGCAGCGAAATCCCCCCGTGTATTCCTCGCCGCCTCCTCGGCCGCATCCCCCAGCCTCCCCCCCTCGGCACCCAGCCCCACCCCAGGAGCATACACCTCAGTAGCAATAGCCTCCGTCCTGCCAGCGCCCTCGGCACCCAGCCCCGCGCCAGCGGTCCACCCCATCTTGGCCAGCATGCCCGCGCCCTTGGACTTTTTGGCGGCAGGCTCCTTGTTGTTATCTCTGTCACCGACCGTTTCGGCAGCAGGCTCTTTCCGTTTTTCAGGGATCGTTTGTCCACCACCACCACCACCAACACCCGCGGGATGAACAGACGAAACACCAGGCTGCTTGAACCGCCCAAACGCCCTCCTCCGCTCCAGCGCCCGGTCGCGATACTGCCGTCCCAAAAACCTTACGCGCCGCAGCTCCTCCCACTGACTCTTAAACTCAGCATCAGGCTCCAAGACCCTTAGCCTCTTCCCCATCGTCTTCAGCTCCTCCGTCGCGCGCTTGCGGTTCGCCGCGTCAGCCAGCATGCGCTTATGGAGTTCGCTCTGCTGCTCGTGCAGCCAGACGAGCCTCAGCTCTTTAAACACACGCTTGCAGAGGACGCAGCGCAGGCGGTCCAAGTCGGCGTACGACTTGTAGACGGGCAGACGCTCAGACTTGAGCCGCGGGGTGCGGCGGACAATGGTGCGCGGTTCCCTGCCCAGGGCGGCGAGGGCGGCCGAGGCTTTCTCCTTGGCCTGTTCGTCCCTGAAGAAGAAATGGTGGGCGCGGCCTTCGTGCTCGATGAGCAGGTCGCCGCGGGTCTGGGGCCAGCCGCGGTCGTCGATGACCTCCTGGGTAGGCGCCTCCCAGCCGCAGGCTAGGCATGACATCGCCTCCCAGTCGCCGTAGGAGATGTACTGGTCGCCCGGTTGAGGGCATACTGGGCCGTCTAGGTGAGCATCGTCAGCTTCCCGGGAATCACCGTGACCTGCCAGCTCGACGTCCTGGGGTTCCGCAACAACGGCGGCGGCGGCATCGGTAGAAGGTTTGAGACCGTGCAGCTCTGCCGACGCCTTTGCCCACAGTTGCATCTGCGGCATCATGGCGACCTTGGCGACGGGAGCGGGCTCTTTAGTGGTCTTGCCCTTTTTTGAAGACCTCGCTGCGGATTTGCCGGTGTCCTCAGGGCCGCCAGACCGATCGGGACTCGGTGCGCCGGGAAGGGGGTCCTCCGAGATGACGCGGACACTGGGATAGGCGCGTTCATCCCAGTATTTGACGCGCACAGAAGGGTTGTATATTGGAGTGAAGGAGACGTTTTGGTTCTCAGGCGCCGGGTCATCGAAGGCGGGAATGAAAACGCCGGTATGGATGAAAGCCACCACAACAGGTTTGGATGCAATGGTAAATCTTGGAGACGCACGGAACTTTGCGACAGCGGCCATGGCGTCCTCGACAGTGGCAAACTCGGCAAAACCGTATCTCCAAGACTCGTTGGTTTTGAGATCCCGCATTAGGAACACACGCCGAAGTGAGCCGGGCTTTGCTCCGAGGCCAACTGTGCTTGCGGTCGGCGCCGTCGACTTCAGTTTGTTGGTAGCGGTGGGAGTTTGTTTTGGAGGTTCCTGGTTCTCGATGAACAACTTCATGACGCCTTTGGCGAGCACCTCCTCGGTGACGGATCCCTCCAAATCCCGGATGACGACGTAATGGGAGGGTGTTTGCTGAGGACACTCATCTGTCTCGCCTGTCAAGAAGGGACCAGAACCGCCGTAGTCATCTTCTGCTCTGGTTAGCAATCGCCAGTGACACTAAGGTGTTGGTGGTCCTTACCGGGTCGCTCAGCTTTGCACTTGAAACAAACGGCTCGATGGGGGTAGTTGATTGCACCACACTTGTCTGGTCAGCAGATGTGAAGTACGCTCTTAGAGCGGTGTACACACTTTGATGCAGTCCCAGCCTTCGCCGTCTCTCCGGGAGTCACGAGATGAATCCATCTCACCGCGATCTCTTGGCGAGCTGATTCCCACCGTGATGGGTTCGGAGTCTAGGCCGCGGGAGTGTTCTAAGGGAAACGATATGTCGGGATAGTAACGGTCAAGAAAGTACTCGGCGTCGGATCGGCGGTGGAATTCGACGAAGGCAGTGCGATGGCCTGGCGGAGTGAGTAAGTGGACTTGACATGTGAAATAGGCAATGAACTAACCATTGTGGTCGTAACGAAGACGAGCGAGTCTCACCTTATCGCTCGAAAAGTGGCGGTCTTTGGTGACGTAGTCGAGGCCGTAGAGAATGTCGCGCTCGGTGGCATCCTCGGGAAGGCCGTCTAGAACAACAGCCCGGCCAGACGCTGCCAGTTGTCGGCGATCCAGATGGCGTCCGTGAGGATGATGACCATGCCTACGGGAATCAGGTACCGAAGGCCCATATCCGTCAGAAGGGCGAACAGCATGGGTATCCCCATGGCCCAGCCGAGGGCCGTGTCGCCCGGGGGGGTGTCTTGGCGAAGATCTGTCGTCTCGGTCCGGATAATGTGCACCGTCAGAGCGAGCAGGGACATGGCGATGCCGATACGTCTCCTCCCAGGGCCCAGATATGGCATGTCGAATATCCGAAACACTAGCATGTAGGTCAGCGCGGTGGACACCATCCACGCCAGGAGAATCTCCGTGGTCCCAGGCGGCGTTGGCGGAATTGGCGTCGTGGTTGGCGTAGGTTCCAGCTGTTCCAGCTGTTCGCATATCCATACCGGAATGCTGTCTGTACATTTGTGAATGAATCCGTCCGGGTTCCGTCCAATGTCCCGCGTCTTCGTCGACTGGGTCGTCATAGTTCAAGTGTCTTGTCGGACCTGGGGAGTCTTTTGCCGGCAGGAGACGAGACAGCCAAAGTTAGCCAATTCCAGCTCGACCGACAACCGAACACACTCAGATCATGGTATCGCCAAGTTCATCGCGAGGGCTTGCAGTACCCTTCCTCGACCGACGGTTGCCGCCATCTTGGCTGTCGGTGCGACGCGCGTACGGGCTGCGACTGCGACTGCAGCGGCGACGGCGTTCTCGATCGCGGTAGCTCCCGCCGTCGCGAGACGGGGAGCGATATCCGTCTTCGTACATGTGGGCGATGGCAAGGGAGTTGAATCCACTGGAAAATCGGCGCTTTGAAGGGACGACGCAGTTGCACCCAGGAAGCCACTTGCAGTGGAAGCCACCTCGAAGCCAAGAGCTTGAATGGGATGCAGTGACAGAGCGAATTGGAGAATGCAAGCTCACCTTTCCCAGTCCATCAATTGGAGGATGATGACCGATGTTTTGCCGGCGGCCAGTTATCGCTCGGTAAGACAGTGCACACTAGTTGCGATAACGGTGTCTGGGTGACAAGACCAGTGTGTGTCTCTGGATGGCTTAGAGTTGCCTTGGGTTCAAGGTTGTGAATGTCAATGCAAGAGTGTGATAGACAAACACGGCTTGTTTCTTGAACGTCTTGCTTGCTGTCTTCATTTTGGGGCCGGAGATCAAGAGTGGAAGTCATACCAGCGACCTGCCATTTAGGTGTCGGACCCACGTGCAGTCACTCAACCTCACCCTCATCATCACCTTCACGGGCTCATCTATGAGAAGAACCCGCCTGTGGTTCAATAAGAATACTACCGTGGCCTGTACCGTCCCTTATCTGAAGTAGGTTACCTCCTTCCGACGACATCACCTGCAACGCTCACTCTCACCGAGTTTCGTCAACAGACACTGTGCAACACACAAGCAGTTCATCGCCCCTCCAAGTCCAGGTCTTATTTATATCCCCTGAGCCCCTGAGCAGTCCCCAATCTGCAACCAACTATCATGGCCACGCAAGACCCCAATTCCCACGAATCATGCCTCTCCAAAGAAGGCTGCTACGTAGCCCTGACCGAATCCCCGCTCAACCTCCAATCCATCACCGACCGCGTCCGCTCCCCACAAGCAGGCGCCATTGTCCTATTCGCAGGTTCGCTTAACCCAACCCTTCCTTCCCTTGTTCTCTTCAATTTCACCCACTAAAACGTAAGGTACCTAATAGGTACGACCCGTGACTCCTTCGACGGCAAACCCGTCAAAGAACTGCAGTACACAGCCTACCAGCCACTAGCCCTCCGCACCATGCTGGACATCGCCACCGCTCTCAAAACCAAGCACGGACTGAAGGGAATTGCCATGATCCACCGCCTGGGTGTGGTGCCCATCGGCGAGGAGAGCATCCTGATCGCCGTGTCGGCGCCGCATCGCCAGGCGGCCTGGAGAGCCGGGGAGGAAGCGCTCGAGGAGTGTAAGGCGCGGGTCGAGGTGTGGAAGAGGGAGGAGTTTGAGGCTGGAGAAGGGGTGTGGAGGGCGAATCGGGATGGGGTGAAGGGGGAGAGGATCGGGTGAGGCCAACCAAGAGGCGAGGAACTGACATTCAGGGCGCAAACAGGCAGGCTGCTTGAAATAGGGAATGATACGGAAGTTGTCAAGTCAACGCAGTCCCTATTGCCTCACCAGCCTCTACCTTCAGCTCAACTTATCTATGCCAGAGACTGAACTTGTAAGAGTCAGTACAGCCATCATCCCCCTCACCATCATACAAACCGCACGGAACCGTCCATCACCTACATCAGGTGTTCCGCTTCAAAGCGGACCAAGTCCACAGCACTTCCACCACCACTCACTCATTCTATTTTGTCGGCGAGGACTTCAGCGTAGGGTCTGGTACGCGCGGATACGGTTTGGCCTCCGGCTTAGGCACCACTGGCCCAGCAACGCTCTTGCCTTTCTCGTCGTCGGGCATCCTGATAATGGGTTGTCTGTTTCAGGTAGTACAATTCGGGCGTCTCGGAGTTCTGTATGTCAGTTTCAGAGTGTACTGATGCTTTGCTTGACTGACTGATTTTCAAGGGAATCCCAGGGTGTTTTAATACAGTGCATAATAGACTTGTCGTGTCAATCAGGGCACCTGTTTGTTTAGATGGCACAGGACACGATGCCTTTGCTGCTGGCTGAACTATTGTCAAACTGGAAGCACAACAAACCTGGTGGAAAGGCATTGGCCATGATTTTAAGAGGCACGTGCGAAGAAAGGGAAAGTCTTGGTGAACCACATAAGAATAGTCTTTCATTATCGTTAACCGCCACATGACAAGACCACACCCTAAGGCTAAACTACCCGTTGGTTAGACGGGGTCGAGCTTAGCCACCAACACAAGAGGGCGGGGGCTAAGTTCAAGCAAACCGCCTACTGGCAGCCAACAAGTATGTTCTCACCCAGATGTCCAACACACAGCAGCGCTCCTATTCGCCTAGGTCCAGTCCCAACAGAAGTGCCACCCAAGCCGCCCTCTCGTTGAACGAAGGACACCACCTAGGGAGATTTTGCGCAAGACATTCCACCTTCATACCCAACCACGTCCCAGCATGACTCTCAGCAAGCACACATCTTCCCTTTGGTGACTTTCCATTGAGCAAGCAAGGTCGAAGCCAACCCATCAAGCCTTGGAATCGCAAATCAGACACGTCATTAGTCGAAACTCCCAACACCGCTGCTGATACACCTCGCTCGTTCGCCAGGGAGCAACAATCTACCGCTCGAGACGCTGATTGTCCGCGACGCGCAAAAGCGAGACACACCCTTTCCAAAAGAAAAAAAAGAACACAAAAAAGACAATCCAAAGAGGAACCATGCCCATGTTAACGCTGAAAAAAGTAACCCGACCCGCCCACCAAGCCAGAACTCCGAGACTCCTTCCCCCCCAGCCAAATCCCAATTTCCTCAACCATCCCATACGCCCTTCATGTCAAGGCCAAGAGCTCGGCCCAAACGTCTCGCCAGGCGGCACCGTCTTCTGCACCGCCTTAGCCAGCATATCCATGGTACTCAGCGCGCTGGTATTCCCAAACCACCTCGGGGCCTCGGTTTCACTCAGATACAGCGCAAAGAAGATGACAAGCGTCGAGACAATCAGCCCACAATCGAGCGCCGACGACGTGACATAGTTGTACTGCAACCACCAGCCGGTCTTGCGCCTCCTTATGGAAAAATTGAACACAGTCCCGACGATGCCCCAACAATAATAAATAAACACGGTCGCGGGCGGCAGCATGCCCGACCCGCCAAAGATGAGCGGCATGTTGACGTAGCGCCAGAAGCCGCGCTGGTAACGGCGGGCAAAGAACCACGTGATGACGGGCGCGACGGCGCCGACGAGCCAGAACCACTGCAGCGAGCTGTAGAGGGCCTCGCCCGAGAACATGCGGGCGGGGCCGATGGCGCCCCAGACGATTGAGGCCGTGTAGAAGACGCGGGCGCTCGGACAGTTCCACTGGTGCACCTGGTTCTCGGAGCAGACGTCGGGGATGGTGGCGAGGGCCCAGTTCATGACGGCGATCTGCACGATGGCCGACCAGACGGACGCGAGCAGCTGGGACCAGAACATGACGCGGGGCGGCACCTTCATGTAGTGGCCGAGCTTGAGGTCCTGGATGAAGTAGAGAGCCTGGGACATGCACAGGTAGCCGTAATTCTTGAACATCATCATGGCCAGGGGCTTGCCGGGGAGCATGTAGCCGACAATAAACTCGGTCAGCACGTTCAGGCCCAACTGGTTGTTCGTGATGGCCTGCACGATGCCGATGGGGATGGTCCATATGACCGGGATCAGGATGCAGACGATGTAGGCCCACCAGGGAAAGTTGGTGTCCCAGGCGCATACCACGGCGAAGGAGAGACCAAGCATGATGACGAACAAGACAAGGTACCACCAGTCCTCGGCATCGCGGTACTTCTTCATCAGCCGCATGTGGACGTCATCTTCTTGAGACCGGGCCAACTTCCACTGGGTCCAAATCTCGCGGCCGTGGTAGAACGCCACATGGGTGAGAACGGCAGCGACTGCGGCGAACGAGAGGCCGTAGCTAAGCGCGAACTGAGTAGGGAGATAAAGAGGAGAGTAAGCATGGTACTTGGCCTCGTCGAACTGCATGTTGTCCCCCAGGATACGCGACACGTTGTACAGGTGGCCGGTGTTGTCGTAGGCGTGCGCGTTTTGGACGGGCAGATAAGCGGCGTACCACATCCCCGAGAAGTGCATTGGGAGTGAGATGACCACAAAGAAAATAGTGATGCCTGCCAACACATTGGCGATGGCGTGGAATGGCGGAATGAGTGGCGAGTTGAGGTAGCCGGTGATGATGCTCCAGTCCTGGTAAAGTTAGCAGCCGCTTTCTCCCAGAACAACGGGACCATCCATACCAAGGTAATAGGTAGCAGGCCGTAGCCGGTAGAACCACCAAACAGTTGATTGACGACGACGTTTTTGGGCCAGATCCAGGTGAGGAAACAGAACCACGACAGACCCTGGAAGAGATAACCGGGGAACCAATACCACAAAAACGAGCCAGCAAACACAAGCATGAACCACTTGTAGCGGCTGATGCTCCAGCCATTGGCCCGTGCCGGGTCCGAGGGCGAGTGATCGTGGAGGGTGTAAAAGAGCGCACAGTTGACGAGATCGGTGGGCCAGATCATGGCGGCAGGCCAGACGAGGAACCTCCTCGCCAGTCCGGCCAGCCCATACCCCGTGCAGAGCGTGGTTATGCCAAACATGATCTGCCATAACCATCCAAAGTCCTGTTTGTACCACATCCGTTGGGCGATGATCACATCAGTGGCATACAATGCACCACCACCGTAGGCAGCCTGGGACCACAAGAATTAGTGACCAACCCCGCAAATGAGCAGACCGACCTACATTTGACATGACCACAATAATGACGTGCTCCTTGAAGTTGAACCGGCCCGGTTTGAGGTTGAATCTGACACCCCAGACGTTGAAGACGCGGTCCGGGAAGATGAAGTCCCAAATCAGTCCCAAGGGGTAAGCGATGAGCTGAATGACAAAGGTTGTGAGGGAAATGCTGGGGTTGCGCAGCGACAGTAGCATGTTGACGGCAGATCCGATGGTGCATAACAGCAAGCCGATTGTCCAGGCTCGTATGGTGTTGACCGGCATGTCGACGTCGAAGTTTCGGACAGAGGCTCGCACCTTGATGAGAAGCCAATGTTAGAACAGACGGGTCTTCCTCCCAGGACGTATCATCCGTCCTCGACCAGTGGCAAGCGAAAGTCAAAATCTCACTTCTGGGTATGGCGAGTTATCCTCGGCCAGGATCTGCTCGATTTCGGCCCCCTTCTCGACATTGGCCGTGTTCAGCGCGATATCCACCTCTTCCAGTTCATCCAGCGGCAGATTAGGGTCGAATCGGTGCATTTTTTCAAAGTGCTTCAACGAGGCGAAGCCGGTCGAGTCCCCTTCGGATGATCCATCCATATCTGGCACCACCTCATCCTCGCGCCGGCGGCGGAGGGACCTGAGGAATCTCAGCGCCATTTTCCCAACGTTGTTTTGTTCCGGCCCGTCGATGGGAGGCTGGGCCCGCTCCTCGCTTATCGGCGCCAGGCGGCCGGGGAAGGACGGATGGATCGGTTCTCAGTCGTCGGCGTCGTCGTGGTCGGCTCGTCGTCTGATGTTCGATGCGCTCGGATGCGATGGACAGGGCGGCCAGGGTTTGGGCGCAGCTAAGACAGGGACACAGGTTCAGTGTATGTTGAGCGTGGACATGGCGGTCTGCTGCTCGGCGCAGATCGCTGAGCGGGGCTTGGGACGGGCGGACTGGAATGCAAGACAGGGCAGCAAAGGGGGAGAGACAGGAACGGGTGCGAAGGAGACTCGTGGGTTTTGTTCATCGGCTGCGACTGGACCAGCCGGCAGCGCAGGGCGAACGCTGGGTCGAGCACTCAGTGGGCAACGAGGGTCTCCAGCTGGGTGACCACCTGCTGGCAGGCGTGAGGGGGCCCCTGTTCCTCCCAGCATGCACGCTAGCCGGTATCGCGGAAGATGCAGCGCCCAGTAACGTTAATTTCTGACCTGCCTAAATTGGTCTGACGGGCTGGACCATGGTTTGTGTTCCCGATGGGACGACAGGGATCGAAGCGGGGACTCGCCCTCCCAGCCCCAGAGCTCTGGGGCGCAAGCCGACCGTTTGGTGTTGCGTCTGGCGATATCACAATCCATCCCGCGATGAGGCGATAAGGGCCCATGCGTGGACCATGGCGCATGGAAGCCATCGGCGATCTCTTCGAATGATGACACGGAAACGCAGTGCGGATCACTCGTCTGGCTCAGTGTTCCTGGGAAGAGGTGTCTAGCTCTGTCTAGATCCAGAACGGTCGAGGTACAGATACTCTGTACAGGCACTCGGAAACGGCTGAAAACGCCGCGGCTGCAGGGAGCAAACGCTCGCCCCAGAACTCCAGATTGTAGGAGGCTGCGTGCCAATGTCTCGGCCAATGCCAAGGCAATCCTGTCCTTGCTCGTGAGTTCGGAATCTTGATGCTCTTATCTACTCTCCACAGCCTCGAATTTGGAGATGACGAGGGTGGCCTAGCAGCCTAAGAAGCGTACCATGTAGTTGGGCCACAGAAGGTCGGAGTTAACGCTGGGAATAATCAGGTGGAATCAACGCCGTGCTTGTTTACTAGGTACTGTCGACCTTTGAGAAGTGCCTTCTCCGGGATTTGATGAAGGCGGAATGAATTTTGTGGGGCAGCCATGCAAAAGCCGAGCGTCGGCCGAACTGACAGGACAGTTGCGTTTCCCCTGCCTTGGTTCCGGAGCAGAAACTGCCGAGTTTTTAGACGAGGTCTCACCGTTACGTAACGGAGCTGCCACCAAATGAAGAACCATGGACAACTGAACGAACGACACATTGTTAAAGGCTGAGAAGCACACAAACTTTGCTTCGTGCAGTCTTAAGGTTTGTTTCGAAGTGAGAGCGGTGCAGTTGAGCTGATTAGCAGGAAGCGGCACTTTCCGCATCAAGTTTGTTCGGCGCCATACCTAATCACTCATTCCGACTTGCCCCTCGTGCCTTCCTGCAAATCCGACTGTGAGCATCAGAGCCCTGATCTTGGCCGACATATTTGATACTCAACTACATATACCATCTGTGGCTATCCCGACTTCCATATCAGTTACTCGTTAGATATGACGAGCCCTTTGTTACAGGAGGCTAAACGATCAGATGCCTTGCTCTTTGAAGCTGCTAAGTCTGTTGATGTCCAGCGGAGGGTATTCAAGATGCGAAGATAATGCCCCTTTTTCCTGACCAAGACTGCTTGAGATATCCATAGTAATCGTGTAACGGGGCTCCGCACATGGCATGCATCGTTGACGGCGTCCCGCCTCCTCATGTACCACGCCAACAACCTTCAGATCACAGCTTCCTCTCCATGAACAAGCTCGGTCGATGGCATTCTAGTTCCTCGGCCACGGACTCGCCAAGCAGCACAAACGCGACACGGCCCACAAAAATAGGTGCGCATAGATTGGAAATCCTCCCGGCTATATTGGGTTGGTGATCCCACTCCGACTGAGTACCTACGCCACAGCCGGGATTAAGTATAAGATGGGTGTATATCCTGCAGTGTACTTGACGTGTCCCATATAACTTAGCACTCTTCCTCGGATACCGCTTCCACCAGATTCCCCGTTGATCATCTACGAAGCGCAGGTTAGAAATGGTCCACGAGAAGCCTTAACGACCAAGGCGTTGGATTTACCTCATCCCACTTGGCAGCAGCCTCAACACAACTGCCAATCCGGGAACATCCAGGCGTCTAAGCGGATGGCAATACCTATATGTAGGCCGACGTCAAATGACACTCCTCACTTACATCTCAACCACATCGACGGAAGTGCTGAGGGCGGATGACTGGACCTCTCTAGACTCAGCAGCACATGTTCTCTCAGCTCGTTGACGAAGTGCCAAAAACTGGGCTCCTATGTAGGAAAAAATGTGCAGCAGCAACCAGCGTAGAATTCAATGATTCAAGCAGGGCTTGGCCGGGGATTGAACCCGGGACCTCTCGCAAGCGTGCTATAGGGTGTAACCCTAAGCGAGAATCATACCACTAGACCACCAAGCCAATGACGTTGCCGAGCTTAGTAGCAGATCGGCATATGATTTAAGCAAAGGGACCTGGAAGGTGCAACTGGCCTGCTCTTTCCCAGCCTATGTAACTATTCAAGCCCCCTAAACCATTAAGCGGTTAACACACTGCCTAAAAGCCTCTGAGCTAGCCCAGCAGTGCCTTAACCGCCCGATTTTCGAGCGACTCAATACAGGAGGCGCTCCTTCCGCCTAAGCGGCGGAAGTACCGGCCTGAGCACCTTATATGAAGGAACAGCCTCACTTGGTAAGCCGCTTGCCAATCGAGCGACTTATTTAGGTTTGAATCGCTGATAACTTGGAAGGCGCTCATATGTATAAGCTAAAGTTTCTCCGATCATTTTTTTAGTGAGCTGTTGACGCGGCGTGGATGGGCTGGTAAGAATCAGATCCCTTGGGGCCGGAAACGGACGGATCCCCCAAAGGAATTTGCTCCACACAGTAGAAAGTCTATGATCATCCTTCTGTATACACATTCCACCCTCAAACTGTACACGCCAAGATCCAAAGTCAGAACAAGACCCGAGCACACAACCGCAACTCTCCTAACTCCTACCTCCCTCCCCTTGAGCCCACCCCTCCCTCTTCAAAGCCCACTTCACCGCAGCCGCCACATCATCCACCACCTCCCTCGGCGTAAACTCGCCCTCCAACCTCCCACCCCTCGCCTCGCTCCACACGCCCGTCCTGACCAACACCGACACCCACTCGGTTCCACCCTCACTAATATGCCGATTCGCGCCCGCGATGTCACTCTCCGGGTTATCCCCAACCATGTACACCGTCCTGAGCGGCCCGACCGGTCCCGGCCCCAAATCCTCCTCCTCCTTCCCCGCCTGATGATGCCCCATGCGAATAATCTCCCTCAACACCTCCCTCCGATGCTTCCCCAGCAACCGTTCCGCGAACCGATATGTCTCGCCATAAGGTTTCCCAATACAAACCCTCTCCAACTCGGCCCTCCCACCCGTGATCCGCCTCCAGATCCCCGCCAGCGCGGCCTGGAACGCGCCCTGCCCGAACCGCGGCAGGTGGTAGCCCGCGCTCCAGAAGAGGTCTGCGTTGCTGAAGTATAGCGGCGGCTGCCCGTCGCGCTGCCAGCCGAAGTTGGGTACGGAGGGGTTGTTGTTAAGCGGGGAGTAGGTCCCCGCGTACCCAGCGTGCGAGAGCAGCAGGTCGGTGATGACTTGGATGTCGAGGGCCCAGTCGCGCGGGTCGTTGAGGACGAAGATGGCGTCGACTTTGAGGTGGGAATGGAAGGTGGAGGCGGTGGTTGTGGTGGAGATGGGGTGGGCGGTTTCGTTGTAGAGCGGTCTGGGGAGGGGTTGGGAGGGGGTGGTGTAGGATTTGGGGGATTGGAAGGGGAAGATGGTCGGGTCGGCAGAATAGATGTCGGCTGGGGTGATGACGTTCTTGAAGCCGTATCTGAGAATGATGGTTAGAGAGATAATACCAGGGTTCGTCTTGTAAAATGGATACGTACTCGTGGAAAATGGCCCGACACTTTTCATAGTCGGACCCGGTCACCAGAACTGTCTTGTCCCGCAAGTTGTCTGGGCCCTCCAACAACTCACGGAAGGGCGTGTGGGACTGGACAAAGTTGTCGGTCGATAGTTGCACGCCGAGCTTATCCCCGAGGTCCTTGACGCGTTCCGTCTCATGCTTGCCGCCTCCGTTTGTGAGCAGGATGAAGGGGATGTTGTTGTCGTCCAGGAACTTCAGGACCTCAGGGGCACCAGGGATCGGCTTAGCGACGTGAAGCAGCACGCCATCGATACTGTCAAGATGTCAGTAAACCGAGTTGCCATACCAACATGAGTGCCGAAGATGCGGATGGAAACACCCACTCAAAGGCAAACGCAAACGAGGGCGGCTCCCGCCCTGTCCGTCCAACATGCACATCACTGCTGAACCTCCTTGTCGAGCCCGCAACTCGCCGTCTCCGCCTTGATAGCTGGTCATCAATCCAACATCTTCTTGCAACAGATGCAGCCCTGGATGACAAGGCGGGAGCGAACGCTGCTGCCGTCCGCGAACTGAGCGACGCTGTCAACCCCCTCAAGGAACTCCTGCATCGTGGTTAATAAACCTTGAAAGATGTGACACTAGCTCCCTTATCATTCATTGCTGATTTGGGTGAAGTAGTTGGAACATGGCGGGCAACACACATACCTGCAGAAGACAGCAGCCGCCATTCCTCCTATTCAACTTACTAAGCTCCGTCCTCGGCCCCTCTTCCAGCGTTGCAGTAACAGATGATGTTTGCGTCCAAATGCAAAGCATAACCCTCTGTCTCTGACTGGGGTGAGATTTGCTAGAAGAAGGGGAGGGTAAACTAAGTGAATGAGTTTGTTAATGACGGCCTTCACCTTATGATCCAACCTAAGGTCCAATCGTCATGTCATCCAGTGAGGTGAAGATGAGCATTGGCGATCACCGATGTACAGGGGTATAGACTGCCCCACTTGAGCCTTCACTGTGCTGTGGCAGCGGGTAAACCCGCAACGGCCGGGGTCCAACTTCAGATGAGGGCATGGCACCACCAACAACAAACCATAACGTCAACGAGTTGGGTATCCTTATGAGAACCGACATCTTTTGCTGACTCATATACTCAGCTACACAACGTTATTGGGTGAAGCTCACGTTTCGGCTTCCTCACTTCTCAATCCAGCCCGGGCGGAATTCAGGCGGATATTCTCGAGGCATGTTCTTGACCGCAGTCATTGCAACACAAAAAGCACCTCGACATCCCTCGCAAATGTAAAACATGACCAAGTTTATTCATTCCATTCATTCCATCAAGTGACCTACAAATACAAGCAGGCAATCTCTATTCTTCCCAACAACTAATTCCCTGGCTCCAAGGTCAGTCTCGCGGCCCTCTCACTTCATTCCACGAAACTCAGCGTTGCCATCCAACCCTCAACCCTTCTCCAACATTACGATTACAACAACCACTCAAAACATCCTTAACCTCTGCCAGAAACGCCCTCGCCATGGAAAGGAGTAAGAGAGCCCAACCAACAAAGCCAGAGAACCTCAGCCGTCGACCCAAACAAAGACTCGAGTTCCGCCCGATCGTGTCCCCGATCAAAAAGTCAAGTAGGACATGCCATGCCGCGCTGAAGTTCGTCTAATCGTACCGCTTTCATGATATGAGATTGAAAACCGAGCGCTCTGTCCAGTTATGGCCAAACCTCGCCGTCACGCAATGGTCTTTCAACATCAACCGTCCACCCCTCACCCCCCACACACCATCCTCTTTTAAGGGAGTCTCAATCATGAAGCTTCCCAACGACAAAAAAAGAGGGAGCTTGATGCCAGCAATAGGCCTCGAAAACTCAGGGGCTCAGAGAAGGGGGGTGGGAGTAGTTTGAAAGAGAGGTGGGAAAGGATAGTAAAAAGAAACAATGAATACATCCGCAATCCCATCATCCCCTTTTCCCTCTCACGAGAAAAACGCCGCGCCAGAGAAAGCAAAAACTTCAAAAAGTGAGAAAAACTGGATGGAAAACAGATGCCATGGAGAATCCCACAATCGTATTCACAGAGATGGTCGTTCGTCGTCTGTTATCGTCCGCATTATGCCTCGAAAAGGCTGAGAGGTCTCTCGGTTCTGTCCGGAAATAAGAAAATGACGGAAACCAAAAGTCTGGAACAAAAAATGCCGGCCAATGAGTCGTTCTGACAAGGTTTTTTCCGCGCCGAGGGCAACCTCGAGGGTGTGGTCATGAATTAAGAGGGTGACCAGTCGTGTCTGGGAGAAAGAGAATGATAGGTACCGAACCCTTGGTGCACATGCTGATATGATGACCGAATGCAAGCCGCCCCACAGATGCCATGCAACCCCAACGATTCATACCCGTTCCCTGAAAGAGGAGAAAGTCTAAGCAGACGAGACCGTAAGTCGTGACACCGTTCCCTTGCTCTTTGCCTTGGTGCCGAACATGGAACCATTGAGCAGGGCCTATTTGCGCCGAGAACAGTCTAGTGGCTGTCTTCACGCGCGGCTCACTTGGCTCACCGAGGTTCTACTCCGCTCGTCCTCCTCAATGACATCGCTCAGCCGAGTAGGGTGGTGGTGCCGGGGCATCGTCTCCCACCCAGGCGCAGCGAACCCCTGGCCGGAGTACTCGCCAGCCCAGTGTGAGCTAGACGGGGGATAGCTCGTGGGCGCCTGGGAGGCCGGAGTTTCAAAATCCTCCGTCCCGGCGTCCGACCTTCGCCCCCGACTTGGCGACGCGGCGGGGCTGTGGAAAGGAATCCTGTTCCCGTTCTCGTCTCTCAAATAATTCCCTCTCGCATCCATCATGTATTCACCCTCGCTGTACCCCGTGTCGGATCCCGCGCCGTATTCGGCTCCGGCATCAGGACCGGCGGCCCCGGGCTGTTGGTAGTACCTTGCGCCGGGGTCCCCAGCTGAGGTTGGCGTCGGCGGCGCCGCGGGTGCAGGCGCAGATGCATACGCCGGGTACTGATTTCCTTGGGCGGCAGCGACGTACTCCGAAGTATCGGCTGCATGGCTGTGCGATCGACCATGCCGACTTGCGGTTGTGCGGCCCGGTATGGTCTGCGTCATGGGCACGACTTGCACTCCGCCAACGAGGGTCGGATGCCCTTGTTGGAGCGAAACAGTACGGTCCCGCTCTTCTTGCTCACGACGGCCAAGCTCCTCCCAGGCGCGGCGCGCTTCCTCCTTGGAGATGAGCAGTTCTCGCCGCATCTCAGTGACGAGCTTCTGAAGCTTGAGATTTTCGGCTTCGTGCTGTGCCGCATTTCGAACGGCCTCGGCTCTCGCTTGGCGCTCCTGCTCCATCTGAGCTTCCAGCATCGCATTGACCTCCTGGTGCCGCTCCAATTCTGCACGGGTTTCGAAAAACCACCTCTGAAATTTGCGCTCGGAGCTGGCGCGGAGCCGCTGCAGTTCGACAACAGCATGGAAAAGATTGGCGCCGGCAGCTGAGAGATCAGCCACCTGCCGGGAGAGTTGTGTGCTTATCGGGTTGCGCTCCGCCTCGTCGGTGTTTTCTTGCAGTCTCCGCAGCCAGAAGCTCGTCATGCCCTCCCAATGGGCGGAGAGAGCCTCCCAGCGTTCGAAGGCATGGGGAAATGTGTTCTTGATACGGGAAGCAGCAGAGGGTTGGCCAGACGGCTCGCCTGACTGTGGCGGCGCCGAGGGGTTAATTCCGGGCTGAGGCGCGGGAGCCGCGTTTTGCGGCGGCTGGGCTGAAGCTGGGACCCGGGTTGGACGCAAAGGTGGCACGGCGATCGATGGCTGTTGAGTGGCAGCAGAAGGCACGTTTGCAGGCACCCGGGAAGATGATTGGGCTTCCTGCGCACGTTGTTGCCGGCGCTGGGTTGCCGGGTCTGTGGGGATATCGCCGGCTGAAACAGCGCCAGCAACGGGCGGTCTCTGTTCTGCCGCTCGACCTTGTGTCTCCTCAAGTAGCCGAGCTTCCTCCTCAGCGCGGGCACGCTCCGTCTGCTCACGTTCTGCCCGTTGCCGGGCCTCTCGCTCTGCCCGCTCTCGCATGATCATGCGAGGGCCGCGAATGACTTGCTGAGGAGATCCAGTCTGGGCAGGAGGTGCCGTCGGCCGGGAGGATGATGCGGCATGGCCATTGGACGTGGCAGGGGCGCTGCCGCCTGTGAGAAGATCCGCCATTGAAGCGTTCTCCTCCACCAGATCCGGAGAGAAGGGGTGCGGCTGTCGAAGTGCTTCCTCGAGGGCCCAGAGAATAGCACTCTTGGTATGCTTGGAAAGCCGGACGATCGGATGTGGCTGGCGCTTTGTCGAGGGAGGGTTTCCCTGGTTGAGGCTGACCGACGACGGTAGAACAGCCGACTCGTCTTCGGGGTCGTCACTCAGCTCCTCGGAGAGCTGCCGGCGGAAAGATTGAAAGACTTGCTCGGCCGGTCCAGGTTGTCCGGGGGCTGTTGAGAAGAGGGGTCGTGGGCTGATGCCGACGGTGGCGGCCTCAAGGTGGACCCGGCGCGGTGTCTCAGAAGGGCGAAGGCTGGGGCGGGGGCTAGCCGTGAATCTGGGTGTTCGACGGACGGTTCGGTGGGAAGACGGAGTGGGTGATCTGTCCTCTTGTTGGGGTGTTACGGAGTCTTGTCGGCGAGGGAGCGTCCGTCGCTGGCGCTGTTGGGCAGGAGTTATTGGGTTCTCGTGTGGCTCGCTGGGGATACGAGGGGACGACGCTTCTTGACTGCCAGCAGCAAGGTCTCCCAGAGCACCAGCGGACGCTGGTGTGGTCGACAAGGCGAACAGTCACCACGCGCAGTGGTGACAGTGATCTTGCTACTAGAACTTGGCGCTGCATGTGGGTGCAGGGTTAGATTCTGTTGTTCGCTGCGACGGTGGGGGATGGTGCCTGGGTGCAGATGCAACCGAGGAGGACTCACACTAGGGAAGCTGCGGTAAGTTGATATCGAGGAGGGTGACTGTGCGTCTCCTCAGAGCAAGTCAACGAAGAGGACTTGTCAGAAAGAATGGAGGAATAGACGGAAGATCCTGCTCTCTGGCACTGCACATGGACATCCAAGGCTTGGGAAGCGGGCTTGGACAGTACCAGAGATTGGGTGTTGTGCGGAAATGCGGGAGGCGGGACTCAAAAAGGGCGTGGCTGGCGGAGGGCCAAAAATTGGCTTCGGTCGGAGAAGCAAGTTAGTCGGGCAGCTTGTCTGCGCCGCCCAAAGTTCAAAATTAAAAAAGGAGTGACTGGTCGTGCTTTGTCAGGGCATCTAGCGCCTGATCTTGTCGAGTCCTGCGACAAGAGAGTGAAGCTGTCGGGATGGCCGCCGGTTAGCACCTCTCTGTTTATCGCAGCTCTGGTGCCCGACCGGCTTTCGCGGCCAAGCTCCAGCTCACAGCAACTCACCGCCACCTCAGCACCGCGATGGGTTGTGTTGTGCTGCATAAAACGAAGGAATATGGAAACAGAGCGCCTAACTGCTTGGACAGGGCATGCTCGGGTCCCAATGGCTTTAAATGAGGGTTCAATCCGCCGATGCTCGACAGGTTGCTGGAACTGTCGATTTTTGAGCGGCTGGCGATTGAGGTGAGGACCTGATCAATCGAACTTTCGGCCAAGAAAGTTGTGCTTGGCCAGGGATCGAGCTAGCTGGGGGGGCACGGGCCTCTGTCTGACGTTTAATCCCGACTTCGATTTGCGGCCGTGCTTCATTCACTACTCCTCTCGTTATTTGTAATATTCGTGCTGCTCGAGATCGTGTCAGGTGAATCGGACAGTGAGCAGGCAAAGATGTGATCCACGCTAGAGAGGGGGAGTTCGGAGTTTGATGTGCATATCATCCAAGGTCCCTTCATAAGGAGGGTAAGTCGGATTCCATACGCATTTCCAAGGCCTCACCGATGCCTGCAGCTGACGGCGTTGGGTCCAGGCTGGGTTAGACCCAACCTGGAATTGGCTGATACTTCGCAGATGCAATCTATATCAGACCCAGGTGCTCCTTTTACGGGACTTTTGCCCTCACGATCTGTTCGTCTAGAGCTCCATAATCAACTAGATAACTCCAGTCGATAACAACGTGGGGCTTGTTCCGAAGCTCCATCACTTCGATTCCAGGCTTCAATCTCTCCAGGGCTTATGCTGAGTGGACAAATGTCCTAATGTGCGCTGGACATAGATGCCCTCAAGACTGGCCCGTTTGTGCCAGGAAGCTGAAGGTGAGACTCAATCCTTCTTCACAAGGAAAGCGAGGAGGTTGGGCCACTGACAGGGAAGCTGGAGATGGAGGGGAAGCTCTGAGTTGGCAGTACATAAATGACGAAACAAGGGCCCTGCTGCCACCAATCGCATGTCGCCCGCAAGCATCCAACGATCCCAATAAAGCGGTTCCGATCCGGGGGTCCACACCATCTTGGGGCCGGAGCTCCTGCAGGTCTATCAGGTTTGCGGCAGCCCAATTGCGGCCAGAAAAGACAACATGGGATGAAAGAGGGCCCTCGAAGATGGCACAAGATTGGCTCAGAAAACCCGTGATAGTGATGCGATGCATTCAGTGATGTTTTGCATCAAGCATAACTGGAGCAAAATCCCGATTGTTAGCTTTCCTCCGAGTCGAACATGATCCGACGATTTCGGAAGCGCGGCTCGGCGCCGATCAGCGGAGGGGCGGGGTTGTGGGGCTCGGCTGTAAGTGGACCCTCCGGAAGGTCGACCTAAACCGGCCTCAGCCGGGCCAAACCGGCGCCGGGATCAGCCACCACACGCGACTTAGGTTGTGCGTCCGGGTTCAAGAGTTAGTGGCCCTCATGAGTGCTCTCCCAGGTGAGATGGGAAGCTGACAAACGATCCAATGCAACAAGCGCCGAGTTGACCGTGTCATCTCCTTCTCTGAATGATCTACGGCTCGGCGCAACTACAACCGTCAGCTCGTGCCCGTTCCCATCAGTGAGTGGGACGTCAGAAATTTCTTCGGGCAGCAGGAGCCTTTCGGAGGTCGTGTCCATCACTGCTAATCTGTATGCTGGGTGGCAAGTGAGGAGTACCATGTACTTTGGGGAGACAAAGACTGAGGCAGCTGAGAGTGACATGGATGCATATATCAGGCCAATACGGCCGAGAAATAGGTGAGCAGTTCGACACTCGTATCTGGAATGATTGACCGTTTGTGTTGCTCAGCGTCGTGTTAAGTTAGCACCAAGCAACCTGAGCATTAGGTGACTCAACTCGGGTATGAGAAATATAAAGTGGCGGATCTGAATCTGACGCTCGGCTATGGATTTCAATTTAAAGAAGCCCTCGATACTTTTATTCCAGGGTTCAATTCCCTTTGGTACGTGCACATTGGGATTCAAGCTCTCCTGAAGCCGGAAGATTCCGTTCATGGTTCGCAGTTTGTCACCGGCTTCCAGGTCTTCACAAATTCGAACACCTCCAGGAGAGTAAAGTAGAGAGAGGGCCTTTCGAGATGTGAACCACTCCTCCGAAGACTGGACTCCTTAGTGCCATGGAGTAGGTCTCCCTTGTGGTCAGTGCCCTTTCTTGTACCTTGCGTTGGGTTGAGTAATGGAGAATCAGTCTCCTAAAGTTGAGTAGCAAGTGTTGCCGGAGCTCTGGGAGGTCAACAAGTCCCTAACACACTGCCCAGCTACGGTTTGTCGTTTTAGTTACCAAGTGCTACTTGCGGCTGCCACGTTCAGATGGGATAAAAGTCGAATATTGTTAGGGCTATTCGACTGACATCAGACTCCAATGCCACAAAGCTGCCGAGTTGTTGCCGGAAAATTCCCACCTCACAAGTCAAAATTGATTGCTAACAGTTCTCTGTTTAGTCGGAGCAAGCTCTTTCCTTCTTGCTGTTCCCCTTCCGCTCCCTCATTAGCTTCTCCTTCCACTCTTTTTTACCGCAGCAAACAACCCCCATCTCGCAGCTGAGGTATCGGTGCTGCGGTCTCCACCAAAAAGTCAATCCCTCCCCTCTTCCCTTCATTTCTCCCATTTTTTCTCCCTTGGATCAGTCGAGCTTCATCATGGATGACAACAAGCAGAACCAAATCGGTGCGCAAGCAAGCAAGCACCAGAATCATCACCACGGGACTGGGCCTGTCACCAAAGGCCGTTCCGGGTTTCAGGGCAGTCTGCCAATGCCCAAGGCGGTCTTGGTGTACCCCTTCGGCAGACCGTTGATGAGGCGCCAACTGGGCGATACTGATGTTTACACGGCAGTGAGGATGAGCCTGGGCGTCCCGCACTTGACGCCCGGCATGCTTGACACGTCTTCTCATGCATTTCTTGAGGAGGCGACAAAGATGCTGCAAGAGAATCAGAACAAGCAGCTCCCCTACAACCCTCTCAAGTTCATGAAAATCCTTCGCAAGCGCCCTGCCCTTCGAGAGTCGTGGCTCAGGCGAAACTCCAGCTTCCTCCTCACAGTCTTCGTCATCCTCCGCGCCGCCCGATGGTAGATAGCTTTGCTCTGTTTTTTTGATTTATATTTATGTGATTACCAACAAGAGAAATATTACCAGCAACTGGAAGAAGAACCCTTGACACCCCTTGAACGTCGAGGATCACTGCCAGACAGCCCGAGCAAATCGATTCCTTTATGGCGGCCGGGACTTTCTTCTGGAGCGGCTCAGACACCGTGACGTGGTTCGTTCACGACAACAACGAATTGGACCTCATCTGGGCCATGAAGCCCAGAAGGGGCAAGCCCAAGTCCGCAAAGAAACAAACAGATGAGGACGCCGAGATCCGGGAGAAAGAGAGGGAGAATGTTGGAGCGACAGAAGCCACGCATGGCTGCCTGCCGCCGGCCCCAGCCAAGTGCCCAACCTGGACGTCAAGATTACACTCGAGGGACTGGTTGAGGGCATGCGGCGCCTTGCCTCCGACGTCGACGAGCCCGCACTGACGGAGGCCTTCGCCAAGCTCCGCGTCAGGTCTCGTTGGAAAATCACAGTGCTGAACAATCGTTCCCGAGATATGGGCAAGTTAGCTGTGATTATTCCAGTGCTCCGAGCCGACCAGCCAAAGGCGATGCATGCTGACGCTGCAGTCCTCCCCCCTCCCCCTCCAAATAATAATAAAAAAAGAAAACAGATCACGATGGCACTGGAAGGGAGCCGTCAGGATGCATGTTGGCGACGCTGTCAACCTCGTACCTTGGTAATGTTGACGCCCACGGAGAAGACCGCTTGTACCACGCGCCGCAGCGGCGAATTCCTTCATCGGTTACTTGCATAGCGACATGGTTCATCAACGGCGGAGGGGAAGGCACCGTTGCTTCCCTGTGGTCTAATTTCATTCGGTTCAGTCAAGGTATCTAGGAAACTGGGTGTATACGGCATGGAAAGAGACTGGGACTGTTAGCTGTACCTAAATATACAAGTACCACTATTGGTCATACATGTAGGAAAAGGTGGTTCATGAGAACTGAACAGTCCGTTGTTCAAGCACAGTTGGCAAAATTGCCGTTCCGTAAGCGTCGGGCCAAAGCAGGCCAACTACTTCCTTCGCACACTTTCTGTTTTTCTAGGCCACCATCCTGAACGAAGGAGTACTGCCCGCGCGCCCCCCCCCCCCCCCCCCCCCTTTCCCGGGCCCCCCCGGCGACACATCCGGCCTCCATCATGATATCAAGCCTTTTCTGGACCTCACGCTCACGGTGATACTCGTGGCTTTGGCGTGGCAACATATGAGGGGCAGACAGGCAGGGGAACTCGCGTCGATGAGGTCAGGGACGCATTCGACCGCGGGAAGAGCAGCGGCTTGGCATAGACGGCTGCAATGCTGGGGTCGTTTTCGTGGTGTAACTCTACACACGCAACGCCAGCGGGCAATCCCCACGAGGTGTGGTTCCACATGGGATGGTTGCGTCTTTCTGCATCCATGACCGCTAGCTGAGATAAGGTTCGGACCTCACGGACGGTGTATATGCTTGACTGGGTTACCCTGAGACTGCATCAACTGTGCTGTCCGTGGAAGTCACGGTGGGGATGTCTGCCCGGACATGCGCTTGGACATACGATGGACTTCGGGGTATAAAGAGGGTGCGTAACTCCCGCTTGGTCCTTGATTCTTCGCATTTTGCTCGTTCGCAGTCACCCTTCCCATACGAACACCCAGAAGACGTGATAAGAATCAAGAAAACCAACCATGCCTAGATGCATCCATCGCGAAACCTTCTTCAAGGTTCCAGACCAGGAGGGGGTCCAGAAGTTGCTTGAGGCATACAGGGTACTGGAAAAGAACCAGAATAGGGTGTGTTTGACGCTCCTCGCTCCTGGAGTTTGTTTTCTTCATGCTTGGGGTGGCTAACATCTGTCTCATTCTCCAGAACGGAAAGCCTTATATCCTCAAGTTCGTCTATTGGCCCCATAACACCCTCCGCTTTTTCCCCTGCTCCCCCGTCGCTCCTTCCCTCTCGCTCAAAGCCCTACACCTCCCCTCAGCCCCCCGGCCTAGGCATACTTCGTCGCAAACCAAGCTAACCATGCGATAGTCTCCGCGCCGAGCAGGTTCTGGATGATCCTCGGTCCAAGGGCTACACCGTTATGGCAAAAATGACGTTCAGAGACCGAGAAGACATGCAGTACTTTGATGGCTGGTGTGAGGCCCACGAGACGCTTAAGAAGACGGCAATGGAGGTCACCACGGAGCGGCCGCTCGTGATCGGGTTCAAAGGGGAGGAAATGGCGGACATTCCGCCCGCGGAGAGAGCAGAGGAAGGTTCGGCCAAGACCCGTACCAACTCAACAGACTCAATTACCGGCCCGTAGTTGTATTTAGTCGAATATAGTGATTTGTACTTGCAGTTGCGTCAGAGTTGGTCGATATAGTCAACTACCATACTTACCCCTAACCCTGACCAACTCCCCTCCTTTTTATCCACCTACATCTTCAAGAATTCCTCTAGGCTAACGAAGTGGTACTGGAAGACAGGCTCCGACTAGCTCTATTTACACTACTGAGCCGCCAAGCCGTAAGCGAGGAATATCCTGTCAAAGCCGGCGACGGCAGAAAGGTCTCTTTTGTGGCTGTGGGGGCGTTGACGGAAGCTCAGGAGGCCTTTTGGATCCTTGAGAGGCATCTTCGTGGCTTCTTGGTAGCTTAGCGAGTATAGTAAGTCTTGGCAATGATTAAGTTTGACGATACATTTGAATGTGAACGTGCGTAATTGTGCTTAAAGTTGCAGAGGCTTGGTTGAAGTTAGTTAACCAAGTTGACTTACTGTGAGCCTCGGGCTCGACGGTGCAGATGAGACGTGTTGAGGGCGGTTGGGTCCAGTTTTCCGAGACGAAGAGAGCAATCTAGAATCGAATGGTATCAGAGGAACCTTAACCATGGTTTATTCATGTAATGAATTGATGATACACACCTGACCTGAATACCAGGTCCCACTCCAACTCCAACTCCCCCCAACCCTCCCGTCATCATCAAGGTTTACCCGTCTTCTCAGCCTCGGCCATCCGCTTCAACCCCGCCAACCACGCATCAAATCCATTCTCAACCTGCCTCCCCACGGCTAACCGCACTACAGGCGCCAGCAGGCCATAAAATGTCTCCCAGCAACGATACTCAGTCTCCGACCCACCATTAACCTCAACAAACTCCTGCACCCGCTCGGATCGGAGCATCCACGCGGGCATGAGCAGGCTTCCGCGCTGCCTCCAAGCGATGCGCCACCCTTTGCGGCGGCGGCCGACGTCGGCGGCGGCCGCGTCGTCGTCCTCGGGGTCGTCCTCCTCGTCAATGGGCTCCAGCACGCTGACCTCCAGGGCGGTGGGCCGGCCGGGCGTGCCGTCGTGTTCGTCCAAGTTGAGATGCACGTCAAAGGTGAACTGGGTGCCGAGCTCCAGGGTCAGGTTGTGTGGTTCAGTGCATGCATCATTGGGTTGTGAGTCGATGGTGCATTTTCTGCAGAAGCGGTTCCAGGTGGGGTCTTTTTTGTGAACAAGGTTAGCAAGGTTGGTTCGTTGTATTTGTTGTAGAGATGGGGCGACGACAAACAGTCTGTTGTGTTGATAATGACGTCCAGGCAGTCCCGTGGCGTGGCTGCGATGCGGGATGAGCACTGGATTGAGAACGTCCCGCCCTCACCGTAGCTGGGGGTGGGGAGGCCGGGGCCGGTTACGGCGCGGGATGAGAGCGGAGTTGACATGGCTGCCGCGGTGATGGGGTCGGTAGCTTCCGGGCGGGAGGCTTTATCGTACGGAGCGGGAGTCGGGAGTGGATCAGCTCCGGCGCCGTGGTCTGGTGGTTGTTGTGGGACGGAGACCGGACGCTAATGCATTGGCAGCGAAGTGGGGGCGCCATAAATGTTGTACGGATCCGTATTGTACCCCTGACCCCCTCCCTGTCCACTGATCCTTCTCACTTGGATGCTGTGGTCCAAGCTCGTCGCGTTTTCCTTGTGAACAACCTCGTGATTCTTCGGAAACAAAGCCGGTGCCGTTGGGACTCGGCCATTGTTGCCAGCTGCATTATTTTTCTGATGGCTCTCGCAGGTTCGGCCCCGAGGAACATGGCAGCGGCACCTGACACATTCGACCTTCCAATGCGGCAAAAAGACATTTCGACCATTGGAATCGCCAGATTGCCGTCAACATAAATTCTAGCCAGCCGGGGAGCATCCGAGTCACGCCCACAGTGCGTCGTCCACTGCAGCAACGCAACCATGGGCCATGTTATAGAAGTACGCAAGGGTTCCGATTGACCCAGGTTTCCTGGGACCTCAGACAACCACTGCCTCTTAGCACCAGCCCATCCCTACCGAGGACCCAGTCATTGCTGGCACAGAATTCCCTGCAGAAGGCCCTCCTCCCCTTAATACCAGCCACAGTACCCGGGGCCGACCACCGCCAGGAGTACACCCTCATGGAACGGTCTCACGACGAAGTTCCCCGGGCACCATTAAAAGACCCGCAAACACTGGGGTAAGCCTTTCGCCCCATCTCACGTATTCTCCCTGTTGAACTGCTGACCCGGCCGACTCGGAAGCCTGGACAAACCACAACACTATGCCGCTGTCCCGAGGCCATTTGACCAAGAAATTGCCCGTTTTGTTGCCCCCGCCGGTATACATGATGGATCACGGTCCACTCTGTATACGGCCAGCAGTACTTGGCTTACAGCCTCCTGACTTGACCTCTCGAGCCGCAGAGTTCGACTCATGTCGTGCCTCGGCGTGAGAGATTCCCTGACTACCGAGACAAGGTCTCATCGCCCTTCCCCTGTTGTACAAGTACACCCGGCTGGCCCTCTCTCTTTTCTAGACCTCACTCTCCGCTTACTCAACGGCCGCAAGGACAGCTGGTCCCTACCAATTTGTGTTACACCTTGACCTTTTCCCACTGACGCCACTCATTCGACCGGAGCCGGGACATGACCCGAGCGGATGGGACTGTGGCGTTTCTGTGGGTGGTGTCATGCCCTATCCACGGGCATGGGCATGGGCGAGCTTTGCAAATGCAGTTCTGTTCTAACTCGACTTCATGGTAGATGCTCACACACCCTAGACAAATTAAGAGAGCTCCCCACCGTAAGCAAGCAATTTGCACAAGCGTAGCAACAGACAAAGTCGTCCAGCCAACAAAACCTAAAACGCCCTAACCGTAGGAAGATAACTCAAAGTTACCAGTGTTGTGGAGCAAGACCCAAGTTGATCTGCTAAACTCAAAGCAGTTCGACCGCCAGCGGTCCATCACTGGGTAACCAAAATTCTGTAGGAGGCAGTATAGCTCCTCGACTCGTCGACACCAACATGGACTGCCTGCCGTCCGGCGCCGCTTGAAGCGAACCCAGCGCCCCCAAGAACAGCAGATTTCCAATAATCCCTTTCCCCGTCCCCAGCCCCGGGGTCGAAGCTACCGAACCAAAGACCGCACACTGCTAACACTGGACAGCTCCACGTCTCGCCTACTACCATCCGCCCGACCCGCAAGCTGCTTGTGCTGCACCATGACACTGACAACATGGCTCTTGGGCCGCGAGCTGTACGTCCCCAAACTTAGCAGCAACGCCACCAGCGCGACGACCGTCATGACAAGCATCTGGTCCCCAAACGCATCGGAATACACACGGATAACCTCGAGCCTCGCCTCGTCCGGAAGCGCCAACACCGCCATCAGGTTCCAATGGATCTGCCCCAGCTCCTGGGGGCCCAATCCACTAGTGAATCCCAACCCCGATTCGGAAAGGGAAGAAGAAGAAGAGGAGGAGGAGGAGGAGAAGTCAGAACCCCCCAACGCGCTTCGAAGGCGCTCGTTGAAGACAATCGTGCACGCAGCCAGGCCCAGCGCGCCGCCAAACACCCTCGCCTGCGCCACGGCGCCCTGCGCTGCGGCTAGATCGTCGCTTGCGGCCTCGACGGCGGCGATCATGGTGCAGGCGGCAAAGGACAGGCCGACGCCCAAACCATACACAGCCGTAAATCCCAGCAGGAGGTTCAGGTTCAGGCTCAGACCACCGAGCTGTTCTTGTTGTTGTTGTTGTTGTTGGTCTGGCGAATACGACAAGGACAACGAAAACGAGAAACCGAGCGTCAGCGCCAGGCCGATGACTTGTAGCAAACTGCCCGCCATGACCGTCTGGCTGGTGAGGTTGGTCTGTTTGGAGAGAGCACCGCCCAGGAAAGAGCCGAAGGCGCAGGACCCGAGCATCGGGAGGAGGTGCACGCCGGCCCAGAGGGAGCTGTCGCTGTGGAGGAGCTGCAGGGACTCAGGGATCTTGATGACGAGAGCGATGTAAATGAAGCCGCTGAGGAGGGTGACGCTAGCATCATTCATTATTTGTCAGCAAACTGTGATAAGCAAACGGCTGTTGAAGCACAGAGACCGGGGATTGGGGATGGGGAATGGGTGGGTGTACAGTAGACATGACAGGTAGACTCGACTCCTGGCCAGACTCATGGGGAATATTGGCTCGATCCGATGGCATGCCCGGAAGAGGTAGTACTCCCATCCGGTGAGGAACGCCCAGCAAGCCGCTGCCGTCACCAGGGACCCTACGATGACCGGGCTGGACCAGCTCCAGATGAGGGAGCCGGCCTCCTGCATGGCAAACACCAATAGAATGGACGCCGCGGCGAGCAAGATGTTGCCCAAGAAGTCGATCTTGTAGACGGCTGTCCTGCTGGTAGTAGCGTATCGGTGGCATCGTTCGTCGGGCCAGAGGGCGTAGATTCCCAGCACGGCCAGGGCGCCGAAGGGGATACTAGACTCGGAAAACGGGGTCAGCCAATCAATGGTTCAGTGTCTCTTTTTCCCCTTTTTGTGACGCAAGGTAAACAAACGAAAGAGACGCACTTGAACCAAAAGATGCCTCGCCAGCTCCATTCCGATATGGCGCCCCCTAGCAAGGGTCCCAGAACGAACGAAATGGAGAGCGTGATGCCCACCAGAGCCCCAACGACCTCGGGCTTGCTCGGCCCCTGCTCGAGAAGGCACACCTGCGCCAGGCTGTATAGCCCGGAGCCGCCAACTCCCTGGACTGCGCGGCCAGCGATGCTTTTTTTTCCCGAGGAGAAATGATTAGCCAGGGAGTGCCGATGGCAACGACGTTGGCAAACATGAGGCGACGGGACGGACGTACAGTTCCCCCATGCGCCGTGCAATACCGCACCACACCGACCCCAGCGTAAACAGTAGCCAGGCTATGGCCAGGACATTTTTCCTTCCGTAGATGTCGCTTAGCTTGGAGAAGCCCATCGCGAAGCCTGAGAAGCAAACGAGTCAATGTACGTGTGAGCCGACACACGCATGACGGAATTCCAAAGTATATTTCCAGTTTTGCTTTCCTCGGTACTCACTCATATATGTCAGCAGATATCCCAGCATGGTCCACGGCGTGTCCTGGTAATTTTGCAGCTCAACCGAGACGGACACGAGCGCGGTCGAGACGATGGAGGTGTCGAGGCACGAGAACATCAGACCGGCGCAGATGCTGCATGCAGGAGGATGGTAATCGCTGTGTTAGATATGCCGGGCATAATGCGAAGAAGCATGAGGAAGAGAAGAGCGGGCTCGTACATTATCGTTAGAATAAGCTGCCGCGCCGAGGTTACCTTGGAGATGGACTGCTGTTGCTGTTGTTGTTGTTGTTGTTGTTGTTGTTGTTGTTGTTGTTGTTGTTTTGCTTGGTGCGGCGGCGTCTCGCTGCTCCTGATGGACCCGTGATCCCTGGATGCATCTTCTCCTCCTGCCATGTCAGACAGAGAAGGGTTGGGAAAGGGAAGTACCATGTTGTCGTCGGACCAATAGTCCGGACAGCTGGTGTTATGTTGTTGTTGTGGTTGTAATGCGGGCTCTCTGCATCCAACGTCTACTCCTGGTAGACCCATGCAAGATGGACCTGAGGTGACTTGTCGTTTGTCCCAATGGCCGGTTGAGCCTGTGGATGGGTTGGTTTGGAAGGGACGGATTCACAAGAAAAGGGGCCCTCCAATGGCCTCCTCTGGCTTGCTCGGAGAGATGTGAGAGTCGAGCGAGATCAGTCGTACATGCGCTCGGCGGATTGAAGAAAAGATAAACCACTGGCAGCCCAAGGTAGGTAAGGTAACTTAGGTAAGGTAGGCAGGACAGTGAAATAACCCCGAGGCAACCGCTTCAGCTTAGTCCAATACGGGATGGCGCGGACTTTCGGAGCGTCATTGAGTGATGGTAGTGTCTCCCAAGCAGTTGTCAGAAGCTTCGATCGAGTTAACTCGGATGAGGCAGGCTGCGTGGGTGGGGTGATGGGACGGGATTGCATTTGTACAATACGCACCTTGCCGCCGTAACAGGCCTGACGCTGCTAGTCTCAACGTCTCCGTGGCTGTCAACCCCATCTCCAAGGCATTGAAACAGCTTTTGATGTCTCGTGGGGCACAAGAGCAAGGCTGGGACGGCAGGTCTTAGACCGGAACTGACTCCCGCTTCAGAGCCGTCCATTGTGCGAGCCGGTGATGTTTGACCAGCATTGACTCTGTTTTCCCCGTTAGCTCACGCAAATACTGGACGGATATTGCACGAAGAGTGCATTCTGACTCCATTCCGACTGCTGCATGTTCCCAAGCCGAGCGACACAGGTAATACCATGGGCGGCGACCAGTGTCGCATTTAGTGTGACTCTAAACGGGAACTGTTCGCTGAGCAGACTGACTACCTAGAGGTAGGTAAGGCACCCTAGGCTCGACCTGGCCGTTCGACAATTCCTTGACGCTTCAAAAGGAAAACGGATTCTGATTCCTCCTAACCGTTCTCCTATCCATGGATGGTGGACTCGACTGTTACCCGTCATGGACGGTCTGTTTGTCGGCCGATGGGGCCGGAAGCTAAACAAAGTTATTCGCATACGGTAGGCATATCTCCGAGTATCGGCCATACCGGTCAATGGCGGGTAGTCAGTTGCAAGCGAGCTAGGTAGGACGTGTGGCGGTGAGGTGCATCTGTCTAAGACACAATTGCTGGAAGAAAAAGGGGAAGGCTCTCCTGGTCCCGTTTGGGGTGCACAATGCAGCAGTCCGATATCTGAAGGTGACACATGTGCCCATGCTTCTGGCGCCGGAGTCTTGTTCGTTGCCTGGCAAAAACGTCCATTCCTCATGCTGGAGCTGAGATCTGCGAGGGCAGCAGGATCTGATATCGTGCCATGGAACGGACCAGACGACGTGGCTGGGTCGGTCGAGGGTCGGATTGCCTACTTGCTGCCTCGATGCCATTACTGCCAGGTTCTCGACTTATGAGTTCTGTCTTAAAGGGTTAGTTAACCCTGAGAAAAGGATGTCAGGGTGAAAGGCTTCTCTTTTTCTTGCCTGACGTCTGGTGTGAGGAAAACCGAAAAATATGAAAGCAACCAAGATGATTGTATTATCTTTGCTTCACTGACTATCTGAGCAGAACATACTAACTGCTTGGCTTCATGTTGCTGCAGGCCCCCATCTGGACAATTGTCGATGCGGTGGGTTTGCCGTTGCGCGGCTGCAAGGAGCCGGGCTGAGCCGTTTCCAGTGGCTTGCTGCGCAACGGCGAGCAGCAATGGCCCGGAAAATGTCCAGGAAGGTAGTGAATACTCTTCGTTCCTTCCCGAATACTTACTGAGGACTGTAGCTCTACTCCCGAAAGTTAGGCATCGCACAAGGCATCTTCTTCGGTCCGTGAGAATGGCAGTCAACAGACTGGGTGCTACGGTATATCCGTCTTCTTTCTCAGTGTGCCATATGTTTGCGTGAGACGGATGAATGATCTAGGGACTGGATGGCTGGTACAGTACATGAACTGGTCGTTCGAGTCTAGTCATCGACTGGAGCTGATGTCCGGCCATGTCCAAGAAACGTCTTATCTTCTCAACCGTCATGACCGTTGAGATGAATAGACATTGTTCGACAGCCAGGTAAACACCGTCCGAAGCCAAGTAAAAACGGCAGCCATCTCGCAGGCCATACCAAAGCAGCGTCACCCGCCGCTTCCAACGCGAACAACGGGGTTCCCGTCAGCATTTCAAGCTACGAGTCCACCATTTAAAACCGTGAACGTCGCAATGACGACGGCAGCGTCTCAGCACGCCTCTGAAGCCATGCAGACACCGGTTTTCAGATCGTCGAATTCACTAAGCCATGCGATCAGGCCGCTATTGGCACAGCAATTGGTGTCATAGCCTTTCTTCTCGGACTTCTTACCATACTCGTCATCACCAGAAGGAAAGCAAGAAGGCTCTCCAGCATTTGTGCCCATGAAAGCCACCTTAGCCCCCACGATTCAAGCCAGCTGATCAACGTCGACGGCGCAGGGGCCGCGAGGATCAAAGCGTCCTCCGAGCCGCCGTTCGAGGACGACGACCTCACCCAAGGCCTAATTGCGGGCCTAGAACAGCTGGGCGGCAGAATCCAAGAGCACGTGGCGAGCAACTACCATTTCCATGGATGGCAAAACCATGACGGATTCGTCCAAGCCATCGCCCGTCTCCCCTTCGCGAAGCACGACGCCCAGTTTCTGGCCCATCTCTGCACCGTGCCGGCACGAGTCACGCCACCATTCAACACCTCATCGCTGTCACGATACTTTCAGCTGCCGACTACGGCACTTCCCACGACCACACATCTTGCTACCGCCGACTGTTCTCGCTCTTTGGGAGAGGTTGCGCGTCTCTCACGGCGACGACAAGAAGTACACCGAAGGCAGGTTTTCTCTTTTGTTTCCCACGTCGCCGACTTTCCATGCGTGCGACCTACACTGTCTCGCTAACGAGTTGGTCGACACCAACAGCCCTCTAGCAATGGTAGAGTCTCTCCGTGTTCCTTATCCGAAAAGATCATCCCACCCCGGACAACGACAACAACAACAACAAGACGCTGAGCCCCTCCTCAGACGCCATCCAAGCCCAAGTAATCAACCTAAGAGCCCTGCTCGACTCAGTCCCCGCCAATTTCGCCCCTGACAGCCACGAGGAGAAATACCGACAGAGCGAGCAGCTCGAGGAACTGGTCCCGAGGCTGGGTTACCGGATGCTCTCGCACCCGTGTTGATGGTCCTTCAACTGGCAGGCAGCAGCAGACGGCCATGAGATGGTTCCGCTACCGGGTCTGCTGCGGCTCGGCAACGCCCGTGGGGAGGTAGCTGGATCAGCCATCAGCTGTTGACCAACCCGTAACTATTTCTGTCGGAAGAGAGACAACCAGCTGGCCTGGCCTGGCCTGAGTTCCCCTGAGATGTTGTATGTCAAGCATCGAGAAATCCTCCCAAGTATACCATAGTTGCACTCAAAGGACGCTCTGCACGCTGAAGGATGCGAGGAAGATTTCTGGCTTTTTCGTGGTTTAATGTACTAACGTAAGCTCTTAGAATTTCCTGGGGATTTCCCATGATATGGCCAGTAGGAATGAACGAGTTTCAAGCATCTGTGATAACTAAAACAAAAAAAAATGTACAAAGAAATAATACTCCGAACCGCCGTCATCGTTTTGACTAGAAGATAACTCTCTGGGCACCAGTATAAAAACAGAGGGTATCGAACCACAGGAGTTTCAAGGCGAACCACAAGGCAAGGATCCGTCGGACGCAAGAGACCGAGCGTTTCCCTGATTACATAGCGCTTTTGCAGCCTGAAAAAGGGGTATCACCCACATGAAAGGTAAACAAAGCATCGTCAAAACAACAATGCGAGCAACCAGGAGGTTCAGCAGCGCGCATCACTATTTCGCCGCCTCCACCTTGGGTTCCTCATCAGCAGCCGCCACAGCAACCCCGTTCGCAGGAGCAGCCGGTTCATCAACAGCCTTGGCACCAGAAGAAGGCTCAGTCGCAGCAGCTTCAGCTTCAGCTTCAGCGGGAGCGGGAGCAGCAACCTCGGTCTCCACGACGACAGGAGAAGCATCCGCAGTGCTCTCCTCAACCTTTACCACCTTATCAGGCTGCCAGACCGCCTCGATAATACTCATCCGGCATCCCTTCGGTCTCCGCACACCCTGGGAACCCCCATCAAAGTCAGCATTCATTTACACAGTAATACTCCCCCTCCTAAGAGTAGGTACCCCCAAGAGAAAAGACATAACAGCTCAGGAGAAAACAAAGAGAAGAAAGAAACTCACCTTGAAAACAAACCCCTCCCCCGCGGCAGCAAACAGCGCCCGAAACTCGGCCTCGGTCCGCTCCTGGGCGTTGAGCAGCGCGAGCATGACGACGTCCATGCGGCGCATGACCCGCTCGTCCCAAGGGTGCTCCTGGCCCGGCTCGCGCAGGCAGTGATCATTAATCACAATGCGGGCGCCCGGTTTGAGGGCGGGGATGAGGTTGCGGAGGATGCGCACCGCGTAGGGGGTCGAGTAGTTGTGGATGATCCAGCGGAAGAAGTAGACTTTCGTCATTACCGCAGGCATTAGTTTTGAATGGTATAAGGGGGAGGGGGTCCGGCGGGGCAGAGGGATTTGGAGAGAGAGCAGGAGGGGTGTCCATACCATCGGCGTCCTTGGTGACCTGCTCAGTAAAAAAGTCATGCGCCAGCAGCTCAATCCGCTCCGCGACCTGCGGATCCTCACTGATCGGTTTCGGCGCGCTGTCGACCGTCTTGGGCAGGTCTTGCACGACAAACCGCATCCTCTTGTACCGCTTGGCCAGATCCACGCACATGAAGCCGTGCGAGCCGCCAATGTCGACAAAGGTGCCTCCCGCGGCATCAATCTCGCTCAGGTCGTAACCTCCCCTCTCGACGTCGACAAAATAAAACGGCTCGTACCCTTCGCCGCCCGTCAGGCTCGCCATGGCGCGGCCCATGCGGCGGGCCCGCGCCGGGTCCTTGCCGAAGGTGGCGAACATGGGCTCCTTGTCGACCGTGTCAAATGCGAACTGGAAGCCGGCGCGCGTGAGCGAGGTCGCTTCCGGGTGCGCCTCCAGCGCCTGCACGACATGACCCGAGGCCCGGAAGATGTCCTCGCCGTTGAAGCCGACCCAGGCTTGCATGTCCTCGTCCTCGGCAAGGACGCGCGACGCTGCCGTGTGGGCGATGACACCAGGGCTCGGTTCCCGGAAGATGCCGTTGGTCATGGCCATGCGGAGCAGGCGGGCCAGGTTGATGGGGTCCAGAGTCGTCTTGGTCTGCAGCTCGGCCAGCGTGATCGTCGAGTCAATGGGGACCAGTTGCGCTGCAATGGTGTGTTAGACAGGTCGTATGCAGCAACTTGGAGGCGAAGCGTCCCGGTGTCAAGGCTTACCGATTTTGTAGTGGTTGATGGCAGTGAGAGCCAAAACGTCGAGGAACTGCGCGAATTTCTTCGTATCACGCCCTTTTGGATCGAGTACAAGGGGAACGTACCTCCCAGATACCCCACCGGACGGACTCCCGGGGCCCATGGGCAAGCATGCCCAGCTCCTTGGTGGCGTGGATAATCTCCTGCCTGCTCTCCTGGATATCCTCGGGAAGATGCGGGAAGTCGGCTGGGGCATCGACGTCGAAGCTAGGCATGGGCAGTTTGTTTGTCTTCATGTAAGACTCGAGCTTCTCGGTGGCCTTGGTGATCTTCTGGGCCAAGGCAATCATCCGAGACGTGGACTGCTCGGGTCGTGTCTCAATCTTGTCAGTCCTTGGGGCCGGCGCCGCAGCTCCGTTTGTCTCGCCATTCTTGTGCCGCAAAGTCGAGAAGGCGGAGAAGGACCGCCGGTTCTGCTTCTTGATCTCGGCGTCTGCGGTCGAGGAGGAGCTAGAATGGAACAGAGAGCTCAGTCTGAGCTTTGCCATTTTGCAGCAGCGTTGCTAGCCTAGATATAGGTATAAGAATGTGAGACAACAGCGCTCCGCTGGAGGGAAGGCAGTGGTTAGTTAGCACGTGGTCTCTTGGAGGAGAATCCCAGTACGAAGCATCAAAGCCTCAAGAAGCGTGAGTGAGGGGCGTGAGTTGGTGTCACACATCGCTCTTGAGAGCCGGAACCAGGCCGCCCCTGGTGGTCTGGTGTTGCAGAACCAAGGAGGCACCGGCTGATTGGGTTGATTTCGAGGTTTGGGTAAGAAAGAGAAATACCTGGATGGCCAATGGCTGGTATGCTCAGGTTACCAATCCAGTGTCTATCCCGTCCAGTGTGTTGTTAGTCCCAGGCCCCCTTCTACGGTCTGCGGGAACCGGCATCAGTGGCTTACCGGGCACGGGCTTTTGGTAACGAATTGGCCGTCGTCTCCGGTTGCACGGCAGTGTCTCTGATCTCAGCAAATGGGAGTAGAGAGTTGTGGTGTGTCAAGCCGGACAGCCGGGTCTTCTAATGATGATGGAGGGACAAGGCGACCGCGGTCAGCGAGGATCGACGCGGGGAGACGGCAGTTCAGAAAGGTGCAACGGCAGGGGTTCTAATGTCGTTCTGGGTCGAATTAAGGTTCGTGCCGGGGAGACCGGGCCAGACTTTGTCTGGAGTATGTACTCGAGTATTGTACAGGTCGGTGATGCGATTCCCAGCCCTGAACGGGACATCCGTTTGTTCGTGAAGCAGACGTGGCCGTTTTGTACGGCGAAGCTCACAGGCAAAGGGGCCGTATCCCGGCTCCGCGTAGCCGACCAGGAGCAGTCCCGGTTCTTCCACAAGCGGGATGAACCCAAGACTGACGGGATCCACGATGGGATGGTTGCGTCCCTGCGTCTGCATCAACCCATGCTCCTAGCCATGCTCCATTCCCAGGTCGGCTAGGCGTCGACCAATGCAGAGTGCAGCTTTCGATAGCGTGCCATGTGAGAGAGTGTGAGAGAGTTCATCACTGAAGGCTCCTGCAGATTTCGCAGTTCTCCGTTCCTCTGATCAATGCCACCTCATCCCAGAGCTGATGCTGCAACCGGTACCGACAATTCGGGTTCCTGGTTCCGCGACCATGTGCCACAGTCTCGGACCGCGATTTCTAAATGCAGCTCTCGCAACACAAGGGAACCCACCCCGCAGTTCCAGCCGAGGTCAGGTTTGCTGGAACTGATTCGGCGAGCAAAGCCAGCGTGTCGATTGCGAGAACCTCGATTGCGAGAACTCGATTGCGAGCATACACAGTAGACAAGAAAACCGAGATTCCCGGATCCAATCAATCAGCGGCAGCGAGCCGGGAGCTATTCCGATAAAGGGAAAGAAGGACTCCACTGCCCACGGGGCCAGGAAATTATTACCGGTCTGGGCAAGCGGGGACCTTCCACACCTTGGGGGACCTGCTCTGTGAGCAAGATGGTGATGGAGTCGAAGCGATGACAAGACACCGTGACGACTCCTATCGACCGTCACTCATGACCGAAGATGCGGAACCGTAGATGTGGGTAGGCAAGAGGAATCAAATGCTCTGTCTCCGCTGTGCCACATCTCTCAAAGCACATGCAAGATTATCGTGCCATGCTGCTTCTCATTGGCCCAAATTCGCCAATGGCGTCAAGGGTTGTCCATTGGACTTCTGCAGTCAAGAGCGAGCTGGTTTGGATTGGGTGGAGAAGGGGATGTATCAACAGAGAGCGGTAGGTATGAGAGTAGTGAGGCAGAAAATGAATGTCAAGAGAACCTCAAGATAGCAAGAAGCCTGAGGTTGCATATCCCCCCGATATGGAAGCTCGAAGCCAACAACCGGAGGATTTCTGAGGTAACAAGAACAACAGTGGTATCATGCTGTTATAATACACAACCACCTCCGTAGCAACACAACATGCCGTTCCCCCCAACTCTACCTTTAGTACTATAAGTAGCTTAATACCCCGCCGGTTTCTGTCCGTACACGATATGCAGCGGCATGTAAGCCAGCATACTGTTATCATGGTACGCCTTGCGCACTTCGACCAGGAACAGCTCGATCTGCTCCCTGCTCCAGCCGCAGCCCCTCGACAGCGGGCCGAGCGCGATGGCCTGCATGCCGTCGACGAGGATGGTGCGCCAGTACAGCCCGACAGTTTTGAGAACCTTGTTCTTGGCCCAGGTGCCGATGGGGATCTGCAGGACGCGCTCCGTGACGTTGACAAACCCCACGTCGCGCATCATTTCGGCCAGCCGGCCGTTGGCAGCCGCGTGAAAATTGATGCCCAGGTTGCCCAGCCCTTCGTTGATGAGCGACCAGTACTGCGCCACGGGATGGTCCGGCGGCATCGAGTTGTTGACCGAGATGGGAAAGTGGTAGACTTCCTGCATTTCGAACCAGCCGCCAGGGCGGAGGTGTCTTGGAGACGGTGGGGGTTAGTAAAAAGAGAAGATAGGAGAGGGAGACAAAGAAAAACATTGCCGCAAGGCGAGGTAGTGGAAGAACTCACTCAAGAGTCCTCCGCATGAGTCTTGGCCAGTCCTTGATGGCCATGACGGTGTGCCGAGAGTGGACGTAGTCAAAGTAGTTGCGGGGGTGCAGCCAGCTTGAAAGGGAGAGTGGGTTAGTAACGCAGGAAACGAGACCGCTTCATCGTGGCAGGACTGGCGTCGGAACATACGGGCTTCTGTGTAGGTAGGGTCAGCTTTGGCATGGGGTTCCAGAGTAGATTAGAGTCAAGAACATACTCTACATCGTCCACCATGAAGCGCACGTTCGGTGGCACCCACTCGGGTTGTATGGGACTTAAATCAACCCCTAAGATGTTGGCGCCGGGGAACAAGTCCCCCACTGTCCAAATGAGGTCAGCTCGGTCGTAATGACCTGCGGGACGACGAGGTGTCGCGTACTCTCAATCGCCCAAATGCCTGTCCCTGTTCCAATGTCGAGAATCTCATGGGGATGCTCCCCGATGGGTGCAAAGTAGAGTTGGCCACAGAGCAACTTGACCATGGTGTGTTTCATGTCTTCACGCTGCTGCCTGCCCCTTGCGTCAGTGACACTGCTCGGAGGAGGATGGGCCACATGAGTGAAAAAGTCGCATACTCAACGTCGTCATTGGGAAAATTGTATCGCCCCTCGCGAAACCGATGGTACCGGCGCCCGTTCTCAAATATGTAGTCGCGGACGCTCTCGGCAAGCGATGTAGAGGCCGTGGTGTTGTTGTCGGTCCCGTAGCCGTCATCGGTACCCAGATCATCACTGTCGACGACAATGCTGCCTTCTTCCGCTTGTGCCACGGCAGCCTGCTCCTCCAGTGCATCCAAGTCCGGCTCGGTCTCGCCATCAACCGCGGGCTCAGGTCCTGAGTTGGAGGATCGGGATGTGCCCGAGAACATGTAAGGTGGCGAGAGGCTTCCGCGTGGTCCTGTCGAGAGGTTCGGTAGGGAGTCCGAAGCGGTGATGGACTCGGAGAAGGCGCTGTCGTGAAGAGAAAAGGCAGAAGTGCTGTCGTGGGCCGAAACCGAACTGTCGCCCGCCAAAGAAGCCGGTGGCTCCAGCGACGTGCTGCGGGAGTCGTTTCTGCCCCTCGCGCTCGCTTGTGGCGCCGGATCTTTGATAGGCCGTGGCTCTGTGGTCTTCGTGCTTGGAAGCGTGGCAGGTGCCTCAACCTCTGTTGGCGAAGCATCCGTCTCTGCGCGACTCCTTTTCTTTGACCTGGTCTCCGACTCGGTGACCACTGTCAAGGCTGGGGTGCTCGGAGGTTGCTCCATGATGTGCGGATCCGAGTCTCCGTTCTGGGATCAGTTGAAGAAGATGAAAGCAAACACGACGGAAGAGGCGGCGCCGTGGCTTGTCAGCCCCCTCGGAAGGCGATCCGATTGTTACACAGTATGTAGAGACAGAACTTGTCCAGCCACAGATTCCGAATGTCTCAAGGCCGGCCAATCGACGGCTAGCAGCAGCGTGGGCTTCGAGGTGCGAGAATATGGAGAGGGTGTTCAAGCTGCGACTCAAGAACACGCAGCGGTCGTCGAACGCCTGGTACGGAACTCTCAACAAGGGCGAGAGCCAAGGGCGCGGGACAGCTAGCAAAAATGAAGCACGTAGGGTAGTCCGGGGAAGCTGGATTCGACTGTCACGATTTTGTCCAAGCCGTATTGTCACGGGGCTCCAGATCTGTGACAGTGACATGGAAAAGACAATTCGCAGCAGGTCTCGTTCAAAGATTCGCCGCCTCAGGAGGCCACAAGAAGGGCGAATCAGCCGGCCCGTCCCCAGATTGAACGTTCATAGTCAGCCGATCAATGGAGCGCAATGGAGCACAACCGGACATTCGAGTGGACCGCAAAATGGGCGCGGCCGCCGGCCTTGGCTGGTCGTGAAGGAACTGGCGGGATGGGTGGTTCTCATCAAACAGTTTCGCCTGGGGGAACCCCGGGCGGGAGAGTGGGGGAGGAGCTTGAGCTTTCTTTTGCCGCCTTTCCAGGGGTTTGCCCCTCTTAGCTGGGGGGTTAAGGTTGCAATATCCCACTCACATCTTTCTGATGAGGAAAGCCAACGAAGCCGACATCGTCAGTTGGTCGTGGATGGTGAGAATGAGAGGCAGACCGGCCACAGATAACTATATGGCGTCGTGAATCCCAATGATCTGGGCGGAAGTCAGCCGAGGAATAGCCCCCGGAGTGAGAGACGCCATCGTTGAGTCAAGGAAACAGTTCAGAGCCCAGCGCAAAAATGGCTTGCTTCTGATCTTGTCCGCTCGGATCAGTGCCGCCGCGCCTGTCGCAGGACTGTCACTGGCCAGTTGCGATTTGTTGACTTCCACGTACCGAATACCGATACACACTGGAGGATCTAGTTTGGCCAGAGTCGGAATAGTAAGCGGACGTCTTCCTCGGCAGATATCAGGAAACAAATGACCACGATCTCGCATCGACGACCCCAGAGAACTTAACCCAACGAGACTCTCGTTCCATGCATAAAATCGACGACGACGGGAGAGGCAGCTATATGGAATTGTACGAAGATGGGTTTCGCGCAAAAGAAGGCGAGGAGAACAGGGCAGAAGCCAAGCCCATTGGTGGGGGTAGGTGTTGTAACGTACCAAACGCTCAGTGCTCTACCCTTACAGCAGTGAGCCACATTGAGTTCGTGGCTGATGTTGTCCAAACCTGGAAGTGGGTCACGGAATGCTGAGCTTCAGCCCCAAATCCTAACCTTGCAGGCAGGCAGACCAACTGACGTGGGCCTTGGCGGCAAGTGCTCATGAAACATCGAAGCAACCGCAGCAACAACATCGACGTTGGCAACACAACGCCAACTTCCTGAAGCCTTCCAAGTCACCTCATCACGAATTTTCAACGCAAACCTTGAGCTTCTAAGAGTGAAGACTACACGACACAACCACGTCGTCAGTGGATTTTCGTCATGGCGGATGCGGCATTCAAGCCGGAGAGGGACTACTCCAAGGAAGCCGACAAGCAGATCCCCGAGGCCGAACAGCTCGCAAAGGTACGGGCATCACCTTGCCCCGGGTACTACCGTGCCCCGGGCATCAGCTTTCCCAGCCATGTCTCTGACTTGGATTCAACAGACAGACATCCATGCTGCCATCGAGAAACTCTCGGTCCTCGAGAAGCAGACGCGGCAGGTAAGAAACGCCCACTCTGCCCCTCTCCGCGGCACCCCTTCCCCTCTAACGCACATTGCGCGGCAGGCTTCGGACCTAGCATCTACATCACGAGTCCTCATCAGCATTGTCACCATATGCAAAAATGCCGGCGATTGGAGCCTTCTCAGCGATCAGACCCTGGTACTCTCCAAGAAGCATGGCCAGCTCAAGCAGGCCATCACCAAGATGGTCCAGACCGTCATGGGCTTCCTAGACGAGACACCGAACATGGAAACCAAGCTTTCCGTCATTGAGACACTCCGCACCGTCACCGAAGGCAAAATCTTCGTTGAGGTGGAGCGGGCTCGCGTGACCAAGATCTTGTCCGACATCAAGAAGCAACAGGGCGATCTCAAGGGTGCCGCCGACACGCTCTGCGAGCTCCAAGTCGAGACATTTGGGTCCATGGACCGGCGCGAGAAGGTTGAGTTCATTTTGGCGCAGGTGGCCCTCTGCATCGAGATTGGCGATTGGACACAGGCCGGCATCCTCAGCCGCAAGATCAGCACCAGGTATCTTGCCAGGAAACCCAAAAAAACGCCGGAGCAGCTCGAAAAGGAGAAGAAGGAGCGCGAAAAGAAGGCAAAGCTTGAAGAGGAGCCTGAGAAGGACGAGGAGGATGTCACAGACCTCAAGCTGCGCTATTACAAGCAACAGATTCAGCTGTCCCAGCATGACGCCAAGTACCTCGACGTGTGCAAGCACTACAGACAGGTACTCGACACCGAGTCCGTTGAGGAAGACCCAGATAAGCTTCGCTTCGTATGCACCCCAGGCCCTCCTATATGGCTAACTAGAGTATGGGCGTGTGTTGCTAACTTCCTCGATAGGTGCTGCAGAGGATCATCTACTTCATAATCCTGGCACCGCACGACAACGAGCAACACGATTTGCTCCACAGGATCCACAAGGACCCGCGTATTTCCATGGTGACGGAAGACGCAGAGCTCCTGAAGCTGTTCACGGTTCACGAGCTGATGAGATGGCCCGAGGTGGCCAGGGTGTTCGGCTCGCACCTGCTCGAGACCGAAATCTTCGACTCGGCCCCGGGCCAGTCGGCCGACGACAAGGCCTTTGAGCGCTGGCAGGACCTGCGCAAGCGCGTTATTGAACACAACGTGCGCGTCGTGGCCAAGTACTACACACGCATCCAGATGGGCCGCCTCACCCAGCTGCTCGACCTGACCGAGGACGAAACTGAAAAATACATCAGCGAGCTGGTGACGGCCAAGACGGTCTACGCCAAGATTGACCGCCCCGCCCGCATCGTCAGCTTCGCTAAGCCCCGCGACGCCGACGACATCCTCAACGAGTGGAGCTTCAACATGAAGAGCCTGCTGGGCTTGCTCGAGAGAATCGACCATCTCATCACCAAGGAGGAGATGATGGCCAGGATCCAGCCCGGGGTCAAGACCAAGAAGGGCAAGGAACCCAAGCAGGCGTGCTAGGAGTGCCAGTGCAGTCTGCTTCAACGGACAAGCGCTGTCCCGTCCTGACTGTGGGATAGGCGGTCAGCAAGATGACTGCACGAATATACAAGCTTTCCGGGATCCTGTTCTTGTAATATCCGGTGGGATTCTGACTGCGATAATTGGGACAAGAGCGATGGTAACTGCATCAGCCGAGTGTTAACATGTGAAGAGAAACCTGCAAATGCTTGTAGAAGTTGAAGCTAGTGATGACTTGATTCGGTCCCGCTCACCGATTAATCCCATACCTCGTCAAAAGGAACTGGGAGAAGTTGAGTCGAGAACAAGCTGAGGAGCGGAATATCATCATCACCCGGACAGTGAGGCAACCTTGCCCTGCCCCTGACTGAATCAAAGAAAGACAGAGAGAGACATGAGGATGGCAGAAGCTCGACCGATAAGCTTGAGTGGAGGGTTCAGCTGCCATAACTCCAAAAGAGCACAGAAACAGCAGGCATGGTTCACCTCTAACTTCGCTGATATTACCAAGGACTAGGCTCACTGGAATCCTCCACAGAGTCTAGAAAGAGGCCGGGACATGTTTTTGATTCACCGACCAACACTCTATCCAGTACCCGGCCCCTACTTTCTCTTTCCACTCTTTCCCCCCTTCCCGCCCTTCTGTCCCCCACCACCTCCTCCCTTCCCCCCACTCTTCCCACCCGATCCACCGCCTACCGTTCCCCCGGACATCATGATGGTTACTTTCCCAACGGGCACAACATTGAACACCTCTTCAACCTTCAACCCCTTGATAAGCTCCACCTCCCTGGGCCACATCTTCTCAACATCCTGGCTCTTCTCATCCACCACCCCCCCTTTCTTATTCCCAGCCGCCGCCGCCATCCTCCACCGCTCCACAATCTCCTTGACCGCCTTCCCCTTCTTCACCTGCCCCGGCTGCAACTTCGCCTTGTACTTGACCCTCGCCATGGCATTCCACGGCCCGCACACGGGCACCACCTCCAGGATCTCGTCTCCCGGCAGCGGTGTGCCGACGAGCGCGTCCAGCGGGCCCAGTTCCATGATGGCCTGCTCGGCGGTATCGTCAAGGAGATCATCGACGACGCCCTCCTGGAGCATGAGCTGGCGTATTTGTTCGTGCTCCGCAATCTGCTTCTTGGCGCGCTCCTGCGCCTGGCGGCGGCGCTCGCGGGCGGCGGCAGCCTCAGCTTCGCGCTGGCGCTTGGCGGCGGCCTCGGCCTCAGCTCTTTGGCGCGCCGCGGCGACGCCCAGAAGTTCTTCCATCAGGGCGCGGTCTTCTTCGTCTTGGTCCTTGTATTTGGCGGCCATCTTCTTTGCCTTGCCGCGCTGGCCGCGCTTCAAGGGGGGTTGTTTCTTTTGAATGGTGGAAGTAGAGGGTGTGTTGGGGCGTGTGTTGGACGGCGTTGTGGTTGACGGCGGCGCAGAGGGTTGTTCTTCCTCGCCGGCTGCTTCGGCATCGTCTTCTTCGGCAGCCCCGGGCTGGTGGTCATGTTCCTCAGTTTCCGTGGTAGGTGCAGATGCCTCTGGATCGACCCCGAGGCGCGCCAATTCCTCAGTTGGCGGCTCGACATCCTTTTCCGGTGGGGGTTCAAGCTCTGCCTGATCCGGTCCACCCGGTTGCAGAGGGTTTGTCCTCTTCTCTTGGTCATTGTCTCCCTCTTCGTCGCTGCCCGCCATGAGGTTTTCTTCCTTGTCAGAGGCGGCACCGCTTTCCATCTCTGCGGTCGCACTGACGGACGCGGCACCAGTCGTGCTGATGTCTGCAGCGTCGTACAACCTATGCCTGACGTGTTTGGCCTTGCTCTCCTCGGATATCTTGAACATCAACCCGAAGCCAAGCATCAGCAGCGCTGGCGCAAGCAGGTTGCGCTTTCCCCGGACCATGAACGAGCCCACGGGCAGATATTCCCCAGCTGGCGCCGACTTGGAAACTTGGTCGGCATTCACCCACCAGGCGCCCATTGCTGCCTTGGAATCCCACGCGTTGGAGCAACACACCGACAAGCTGCCAGCTTGAGCGAGTGTTGAAGGCGGGATAGGGGCATCTGGCGTCTTGGGGTTGTTCTTGATGATGACGGAAGCCGCGCCGTGCATGTCGGCGTGAACATAAACGTCGCCTTTCCTGAGGTACCGCTTGTAAAGAATCTCGTTCTGTTGGGCATCCCGGCCACCGAGCACAAGATAGCCGTCTGAGGAAATAAACCAGATAAACTTCTCAAACCACATCTGCTTCCGGATGGGCTGCAGTACCGGTTTCTCCTGCTTTAGGCCCTTTTTGAGGTCCTCGGTAATCTTGAGCTCTGCATTCTTGAGGGCAATTTCAGCTTGCTGAATCGTCTTTTGCTGTTTTTCGGCCGCTGTGCGCTTTTGCTCGTAGTACTCCCGGGCGTTAATCCACGGGCTAAGCTTCAGGTTGATATCGATGGCAAGCCGCTTGTCTGGTCCCTTGTCTTTCTCCACCACGGCATCTTCGGCAGGTTCTTCATCCGTGTCGTAGTCAAAATCCATCTTGTCTTCAGCCTCGGCTTCTTCTTCTTCCTCCTCGCCGAGCAAAAGTGTTATGATGTTCTCGCTGAGTCTCATGGGAAGCTTAATAATCTCGGCGACAGGATTGTGCTGTTTCTGCTCCCGTTCGACTAGCTTATTCACGTCCACCCAGTCCATGCCCTGCTGAAGCAGGCCATTGATGGCATCCATTGCCTCCTGGACCCTTTCGATATTAGCCTCAATGGCCGCGGCCTTACGCAGGTTCAGCATCTGCGCCCCCTGAAGGCCCTCGATTCGCTGAGCCTGGTCGCGACGCGCAGCTTCAAGTTTCCGTTTGGCCGTGGCTTCGCGTTCTTGCAGGCGCGACTCAAGTTTCTGGCCCTCAAGCGAAGAAAAAAATTCGTCGACCGTCTTATTGTAGCCCTCAAATGATAATAGTTGGCAGCTCGGGTCGTCCTCGAACTGCTTCGGCAAGAATGGCTGAAAATCCTCATAGAGCAGGTTCTGTGGCTGGTTTTTCTGTTCCTGCTCGCCAACATCAACCTGTTCCGTGGCCCGTGGATTGGGCTTCGCAATGATGTACCCTTTCGAGGTAGGCGAGCTGGTAACTTCGTCGAGGATCGAACGGGCCCGTTCGAGTGAGTGGAACAGTGCGTCGAGCAACAACTCGTTGTCCAGAACGTCAGCCGGCTTGATGGCGGCGTCAAAGCTAGTGAGACGAAAGACATGGTCGACCAGAACTGGTGGCAGTTCGGTTATTGTCGTCGCAAGACCTCGTCTCAACTCATCGGCTCCCTTTTTCTTGGTCTTTTTGGCAGCGGCTAATGCCGCCGCCGTCCTGAGAGCATCTCGGAGGCGTTCTTTCGTCAGGGGCGGAACACCTCCAGAATTCTGCCTGTTCTCCAGCGTATACGTCAAGCCCACTCGCTGGGGTTCCTGCCCTTCACCCTCCGGGACGTTCCTCAATAGGGCGAGAATTTTGAGGTCGGCATCTGTCAAGATAACATTCCCGCTGGCAAAGAACTCAAGGTAGAGGCGGTATGCACCATCGCTAAACTGAAATTCGATGATGCGGTCCGTGCCAATTTGCGAGACGCCGGTGACTCGGCGTGTCTTGAGGAACTTGCGCAGACGCGAGACGAACGGGCTTGGGGCGGGAGCGGCGGCACGGGCGAAATCGGTCAAGTGACAGCGGAACCCGGACTCTATGAGAAGCTGCTGTCGGCTGTCGGGCTTGGCAAATTTAAGTAGGAGAATCTTGGAGTTGAGGTCGTAGATGTTGGAGAGGCGCAAGGACACGAGGGCTTCGGCGAGCTCGTGGGAGATGACCTGATGAACGATAGAAGTCGACTTAGTTCAGGCCTTGACAAGGGACAGCTGGAATTAGCAACTTGGAACATGGACATACCTTGACATCCAGTGACGAAAATCTCTGCTTCATCGTGGGCGTATGTCCGGCTGTAGATGACTTTCTGCAGCGAACAGGCTCTGAGTGGATGCTCAGTGCGATGTCATGGCGGGGCCAGGTTGGACCGAGAGTGTCGGCGTCCCAGAAAAGCAAGTGGGGTCCTGGTCAAGAACTCGCTGGAGCTTTCTGCCTGCCAGACACACACTTGCAATGGGGGTTCGAATGCCAACAAAGACCTTCACGTCGTTGAGAGACCGGGATCCCGCCTTCTGAGCATTTGCTTCCGAATGGCAGAGTACAAGTGGTAAGTGATGGAGAAAGCTAATCCGCCCAATCCGATGCCGATTGCAAGACAGTAAAACACCTGGAGGGACCCCATGTCCTCCAGGTCCCGTCTTCCTAGACATGCGAGAGGTTGCGGGGAGAACAGAGAAAATGTTGCTTGCTGCTGCTTCACCTGCATTTTGATTGGATTCGATGACGCTCGAACGACATCCACTGAGCCAGACCGGGGCTTAACACCTCTGAGCCAAGCCCACGAACTCAAACATCAACACTGCTCTGTGAAATCCAAGCAGGCGGTGCAATGTTGGAAGAGGCGTCCTTACCATGCCGGGATCGTTTCTGCAAGAACGGGAGAGGCACAAGTCTGGAAGACTCGACGTCGAGAATGGCTTCGGCATCAATAAGCCCAAGGAACAAGCCAATACGGGCGTTTCCGGGAGAGCAGCGACGAGCTCATCCTTGGATCATCTTCCCAATTGTACTACTCCGTGATTCTCGTAACAAACCCAAACACAAGTTGCTTTGATGGTCAACCCGCTCACGGCGACTCGCTAATCCCGGTTCTCATCCGGCCGCTCGTGAGATCTCCCGTCCATCTGAAGGACCGATGAGCGAGTTCTCGGCTCGGCGATTACTATGGTACAGCTAAGGTTACTGATCTTTGGTTGCCATGACAACAGAGCATGGCGTGGTTCAGAGCCGAGGACACCTCGGCAGCTGACAGTCTGACACGCAGAATCTCGCCTTTCGAGGATCCTGATCAGGGAGAGCAAAGTCATCAGGGGTTTTGACCGCTTTGGCAAAGGATGGTCTCAGCGAGCGAGCCCTGAGGTTGGGCTTTATTATAAGCGCTGACTCGGGGCAAGGTTGCTGCCAGGCCCGGCCGTTGGACGACGTTCTTGCTGCAGTGAACAACCCAATCGCAGCCGCCCACGAAATCTGAGGCGATGCAGAGGTGAGAGGCTGGGAGAGCGTCCAAAGAACCCCGAGTGATGCCCAATGGCGACGACGGTGTGTTGCTGATCAGCGGCCAGCCATGCTGCTCTTTGATGCAGCAGGGGTTTGACCGACCACCCCCAGCCACCTATCAAACGCCGCCTGCAGGTTGTCGCTGCAGGAGACCCCGGGTCTTTCCTTGGCCAGCTGCCAGTTCAGCCTCCGCATCTGGCTGGAAGCCTGAGATGCCAGCGGAGATACGGAGTATCGAGCTCCCAATCCTCAAACTCCCCGTCTCTGATCAGGACAAAATCCGCAGTCGACCAATTCCACATGAATATTCCCGTATGCCCCCAGCCCGTTGATGCCGCACCGCAATTGAGAAGGCTGGAGGTTGGATGTCCCTCGCGACGGCCCCGCGATACCTGACTGTCAGACGCGGCTCTGAGGTGGATTTCGCTTTCAGCTTGCAACGAGACAGCTGCTAGCTCAAAATGGCGGGACGCGGCGGGATGGAACAGGGGAGGTTGGGAGAGGACCTCGGCCTTGTGGAGGTGAAACGGGGCCAGCTAAGCCGGATTGGAGGACATAAACAAGGCATGCCCCACATCATGTAAACAGACGACCTGGAGCTCCTGCCACCCCGTTTCTGTCTTGCGACTGCCAATTGACCCCAGCCAGACCGGCCACAGAGTGATTTGCACGATCCCATTGGGCTTCGTCTGACTCCCCGCCAACCAGCAGCCGGTGTGAGAAATGCGTATTTGAAGCCGCCTCGCTCTGCACGTTGGCTTTGCTCTTTTTCTCCTCCTTTCTGCATCTGCACTTCCCGCCCACTCACAGGCCACCACAAATCCAAGCCCCATTTCTTTCCCTCGTTGGAATTCGATTGAAAAAGAAGACGGGTCCATCCACAGACCGCCTTCTCCCATTTCACTCGACTTCTTTCCAGGAAAAGAAGCAAGAGTCAATCTTCTTGTCCGCCTTTCGCATCACGTCGGAAGGCTGAGGAGAAGACTGCCTCTCTGCGCCGTCAAAGGTCGCCAATCTGGACTTTGAAGCCCGCGTCCCGGTCCCCTTCAGCGTATTCCCGTCCTCCTACAGGGAATCTGAGACCCAGACCCAAACCCACACCCACGAAGAGGTTGAGATCAAGCTCCCCCAGCACGCCGGACGGGAAGGTCAACACTCTTCGTTCCAAGCCCAAGCAACTCTTCCTGCACGTGGAGAGGATCGCTTCAGAGAAGAAGAGGTCCGTATCACTCGTAAAGAGGAGCAACACCGCCGTCCCGGCATCCGCGAAGAGTTTGTTTACCGTGAGGAGCACCGCAGGTCAGTGTGGGCTTTCCCCTTGTTTTTGTTTTGATCCACTGGTCCTGCTCTCCGCGCCTTTTCTTTGTCTCCATCCTGGCGTGCCACCTATGCCCCTGCTTAGTCGCTCGCCAAGGCGGTCTGGAGCTGGGGTGGCTGGGTTGACCGAGTGATGGACAGAAAACTGTCTGCGCTCATCAACAATGGCCTCTTCCTTTTTCTCTTTTCTTTCTTTCTCTTACTAACATGTCCTAACACATCAGACCTCGTTCGACCTACTCCGAATCTCACATCGAGATCGATACTGCCACCCGGCCCCACAGCTCGGTAATTGACGTCGCTGAGAGCGAGTACCGTTCCCGCTTCCAACCCAGCTACCGCAAGGAACACAGCGTCACCGGCACCACCGTTGACGTTCCGCGCTTGGCCCCCGGCTTTAAAACTACCACTAGTACCCACGTCGACGAGTACACCGTCGACGCCCCCCGCTCCGTCCCCGTTTACAAGGAATCGGTCCAGGTTACCGGTACCACCGTTGACCCCCCTGCTCCTCGCTCTACCTACCACGAGAAGGTAGACATTGTGGAAGAGATCGCCGAAGCTCCCCGCTCCAAGGCTCCTAAACAGAAATCCAAGATGGGTTACTACGACGAGGACGGTAAGCATAATTCCTTCCCCAATTGTCGGCCTCCCCTGTGCCGATGTCGGCTACCCACAAGTGTGCTCACGCCCAAATATCAGGCCACTATCACTCGTTCCGTCAGGGCTTGCACAAGTTGGCTGACCGTGTCGCGCACCCGTTCCACCATGAAGGCCACGAGCGTGTCGAGGTGAGCGAGGTCCGTGAGGTCCGCCGCGCCGCCAACCCTGCGCCCCCCAACACGGTGACAATCCCCTGCCACCATATTCGCCTGGGCGACATCCTCATCCTCCAGGGCCGCCCATGCCAGGTCATCCGCATCTCGACCTCGGCTGCCACCGGCCAGCACCGCTACCTCGGCGTCGACCTGTTCACCAAGCAGCTCCACGAGGAATCGTCGTTCGTGTCGAACCCGGCTCCTAGCGTGGTGGTCCAGACCATGCTCGGCCCTGTCTTCAAGCAGTACCGCGTTCTGGACATGCAGGACGGCACCATCGTCGCCATGACAGAGACTGGTGACGTCAAGCAGAACCTGCCCGTCATCGACCAGAGCAACCTCTGGACCCGCCTCCAGAAGGCGTTTGAGACTGGCCGCGGCAGCGTCCGTGTCCTGGTCGTCACCGACCACGGCCGCGAGATGGCTGTCGACATGAAGGTCGTCCACGGCTCGCGCCTCTAAGCGCACGGCGGCCAAGGAAGCTCTAGGAGCCAGAAACCTGCATGTGTGCGGTTCGCAATTGGTGCATATCTGGGTCTGACGAGTATGTCATTTGGAGATTGGACAAAAGATCAGCTGTGGTAAACGCCCGGCGTTGGATATACGGTAGCTGTCTCGACGGATATGAGGGCTTCATGTCGCTAGTTCACGTGTATATGATGACTGTAATGGATGGATGTTTATGGTTAACCTTGTGCTGTTCTTGCCTCAATGAATGTGACCGGGCGTTTATAGAGCCTCGCCGGTTCCGTCGGCCTTGGAGGATCGTTTGTGAGGGGGTTGGTGGGTACCAGCGTTTCGGTCAGATAAGCCCCTCTTTTCGGAAGTCACTTGCTGTTCTTGGTAATACGACCTACCCATAGCCCATCAAGGTACTCCGTACCCATTCTCATCCTCAGACATTCCACGCTGTCAATCTTCGGTCCTTCACAAATAATACATATAAGTAAGCTTAGTTCTTGACACTGTCTCGGCTTCACTCGCCTCGGGTTTCTTCAGAGTCGACATTCGGCATCGCACATCATTGGCAAGACCCATTCCCTCCACTATGGGCTCAAACCAGTCTCGGCCCTTCGACGAGGCCTCTGACCATGAGAAGGCAGCCTCGGAAAGACTCGGCACCCTCCAACTTGAGAAGGAATCTGGTCTAGAGGAAGACTATGTCTACGTCAATTGCGAAAAGGGCAAACAGGGTATCCAAGCTGTCCTGAACTCCCGCAAGCCAGAAAGTATTCCCGTCTCGCGGACGGCAGAGTGGCAAGATGAGCTGCTCGAGGATCCCAAGAACAGGTGAAGTGTCAACGAGCCGGTCTCGGATCGCTACCTAGATAACAGTCGCTAACCCCTGCCAGACTCGCCATCTCGGCCCTCAGCGCGGCCGACCCTAAGCAGGTGCTCTCCTCGCGCGCAGCCAAGATTGCGGAGCAGCACGTCTTCAACGTCAAGATCCCTTTTGAGGGCGGGCCCATCACCAACCAGCGGCAGAGCGGCCGCTGCTGGCTGTTTGCCAGCACGAACGTGTTCCGGGTAGCTCTGATGCAGAAGTACGGGCTCGACTCGTTTGAGCTGTCGCAGGCCTATCTCTTCTTCTGGGACAAGCTGGAGAAGAGCAACTGGTTCCTGGAGCAGATCATCTCGACTGCCGACATGGACCTCGACTCACGGCTGATGCAGACGATGCTGCGAGAGCCGCTGAGCGATGGCGGACAGGTGCGTCTCATTCCTCCATACCTTACCTCTGTACACGGTTTAATCTAACAGACCTCAGTGGGACATGGTGTACAACCTCGTCACCAAATACGGCCTCGTCCCCCAGTGCCTCTACCCAGACAGCTTCTCGGCCAACGCCAGCGGCGTCCTCAACAGCATCATCTTCACCAAGCTGCGCGAAGACGCTCTCATCCTCCGGAAGCTCCTCTCCAACAACCCGTCCAGCACCACCACCACCACATCCGCCCAGATCTCCACCGCCAAAGCCAAAATGCTTCGCGAAATCCAGACTATCCTCACCCTCACCCTCGGCCCGCCCCCCTCCGCCACGGCGCCCTTCGAGTGGTCCTTCACCGACAAGGCCGGCCGCGCCCGCACCGTACGCACCACGCCCCGCGCCTTTGCCGCGGACATCTACTCGCCCGGGCAATTCCGCATCACCTCAGCTGTGATCGAGAAGATGGTCTCGCTAGTCCACGACCCACGCCACGACCCGCTGAGCCTGCTGGCCGTCGACCGGCTGGGTAACGTCGTCGGCGGGCGGGGCGTGAGATACATCAACGTCGACATGGCGACGCTGAAACGGGCGTGCGTGGCGATGCTCAGGCGTGGGGTGCCTGTTTTCTTTGGGAGTGATGTCGGGCAGTGTAGCGATGCCAAGTCGGGGGTCATGGATTTGGAAGTCATTGACTACGAGGTTGGGTTCAATGTTTCACTCTTAAAGGGGATGGACAAGGCCGGTCGGCTGAGGACGGGCGAGAGCCAGATGACGCATGCCATGGTGCTGACGGGGGTGCATGTGGATGAGGAGATAGGGGAAACGGTCCGGTGGAGGGTGCAGAACTCGTGGGGGAGCGCGGTTGGGGAGAAGGGGTGGTTTGTCATGGCGGATGGGTGGATGGATGAGTTTGTGTATCAGGCCGTCGTAGATCCGGCGGTGTTGAGTGACGAGGTGAGGAGGGTGCTGGACAAGGAGCCCGTGGTGCTGCCACTGTGGGATCCGATGGGGAGTCTGGCTTAGGTTAGGGAGTGAGGGATGTCGCGGAGGGATATGCTCCCTCGTTCTGTACGCGTCTCTCTCTCTCTCTTTCTTTCTCTCTCTCTCTCTCTCTCTCTCTCTCTCTCTCTCTCTCTCTCTCTCT